GCGCGATGCTTGTTGTTGTGAGCCTTGGAAATACAGACGAATTTGTTTTCAAAAGCATAGTTTATTAAACGTGTCTTTAGAAGATTATAATAGTCCTATTTTATAGCTATCAATCAAATATTTTATTTTTCAGAAAAAATGGGCGAAGGAGCTTTACACGACTGCATTCCTTTGTTTGCGTATTTTTCATATTTCATACCATTTATCACAGTTCATTGTTCAGTTGAACGCGGACCACCCAGAAGAGGCAGAATGGCACAAATGTGTCGTTAAGTGCCAAGCCTCCATGAACATTCACCACTATGGAACAAGAAATAGCTTTCTTGAAATTTCACTAAATTTCTTTCATAAATTTAAATTTCTTTTTGGCTTTTTTACTGCAGCTCTGAGTATTTGTGAAGCAAATAGAATTTCGCGGTCAAATTTAGTAAAACTCCAGTCCGGCGAAATAATTGTGCCGGTTTATTTGTTTCTGCTGATTGTTTTGTTTCTGTTTGTTATACAGTAGAATCCCGTAAACTCGACATAATGTGAACTGAGAGACTGTCGAGTTTGCGAAAAGTTGAGTTTTACAGAATAAGAGGTGGGTTTTTCAGAACTCTTAATATTTAACTCGTTGATGCGAGCGATATTATTTTTAGTCGAAAGAGGCTATTTGCCCTGAAGGACTATTATTTTCGTTTTGACATTTTGCGTTGGTTCACTATAAATGCCGATTCACTTTTCAAATTTTTGCTACCAAATACTATCGCCCTGTATTATATTTAAAGAAATTAAATAATAAAGAATCTTCATAAATGTTTGTATGTTTCTCGCAATGTGATAAAACAACGGTACCTAGAGCCATCCAGTTTTGAATAACGTACGTTTCCACCCGAATATAGGCATCTGGAAGCCCGAAATTTCCATTTCATATTTTATAAAACTTTAACGAATTTTCGATTAACAAACTCAACGATTTCAAAGCGAGCAATGGCAACATGTAGGGGGGGGGAAACCTTTTTATCTCTACCGCGCGAAACTGTGTATCGGAAATTCTAAAAATATGCTTATTTTTGCGATAGAGACAAATAATATACGAATTATAAAAAAATCGGCTCTTGCCCATTCATCTGTGGGTGATGTCCTGTGAAAGCAGCAAGCGTCTAGGACTTGGAAACTTACTGAAGAAGTAATAGGTAAAAAAAAGCTTACCTTTCTCCTTGCTCATTTCTAATAAATGACGAAATTTGAGAATTAAAAAAAAAAAAAAAAAAATGCATACAAGAATTTCATTATACATACTTTTTTTACAATATTTTCTGAAGTAAATCGTCAGAAAAAATAAACATTTATGTAATTATGTTTTAGCAGTGAAAACATAAGAACGTAAGAATTAATGACACAATGCGAAAACTGGAAAACTACAGAAAAAGAACACTCAAATCTTTGAACAAAACAGGAAAGACATACGTATGAATAATAATTATATTTATTCTTTGTAATATTTGCTCTGTTTGGCCTAGAGATATCTTAAAAAAGTTCCTAAAAAGTTGTCGAGATATCGGGAGTCGAGCTTGCGGAACTGTATTTTATTACTATTACGATACAGGATTTCCAGGGGTGGCCATTCATCAGATAAATGGAAGTCCAGGGGGAACATCGGCAAGACTATGAGAATCACAGTTTCCAGGCAACTGTATGAAAATCTGGTAAAGATAAAGTTCGCTTTTCCATTAACTGTGTGCCCACCACGTAAATGGATTAGATAGCTGAATACTGATAGTTCATCCTGCCAACGAGTTGGCTTCGTAAGGTTTTTGAGGTTTTGACTACATGTAAAGCGAGTACTAGCCAATTTCCTCTAGATAATCCTCCAGTGCTAACCCGTGCTTTACCATAATTCATTAACTAAGTAACTAATCCATTGGCTGCCAGGTTTAATAGGAAACATCGCACAAAAACATGTCGACACTTTCTTTTCTTTAAAACAAATACTTTGAATTAGTAGTTTCATTAATTTCTTTTCTCATGTATACGTACATATAAAATTCGTAAAAAATGCACCAGGAGAAAAACCTTAAATTTAAGGAATTTCAATATTTATTTTAAAAGGATTAAAAAAATAAAATCCTGGGCTATCGCTGCGAAGATTAAAAATTTTTAACCCAAAGGAACGTTAGCCCAAGAGGGCTATTAGTCTGGAAACGGCATTTTTCGCTGAATCACTCTAAAAGTCAGAATCTCCTTTCAAAATGTTTCCACCAAATATTATCGCTGCGTATTATATTTAAAGAAATTAAATAATGAAGAATCTGCACGAATGTATGTATGTTACTCGCAGTGTGAAAAAGCGACGCTACATCAAATTTTGAATTACATAATCCTCCATCCGAACATGGGCACCTCGAAGCCCGAAATTTGAATTTCGAATTTGTTTTATTATCTCTTTCATATTTTGTAACGCAATACATTACAGTTTTTCGAGGGAAAATGTGGTGATAACATTACGAAAATGGGTTCTGATAAGGAATGTGTCCATTCCTACCTTGCAATAAATTGACGGCAGAGACGTTTCGTGCTGTCAATTAAGCTGTTGGTCAGTGAAATGGAAAGCAACGACCATACACTGAGTAATCCTTGTCCAAGCTCAACTAACGACCTTGGAAGAGGACTTGAAGAAGTAACCTGCCTCCGAAGATAGTCCGAAAGATGCTGTATTGGATTCTGATCTGGGGATTGAGATAGTCATTTCATCCGCTCCATACTTTGTTACCATAAAGCAACCCGAGCTCGGTGCGGTCGCGCATTTTTATCCATCAGAAGAAATCCAGTACCAATAGCAGCGGCATATGGGCGGAAATATGGATCAAGGAACTCGTCTTGATATTTCACACCGGCCAAAGTTCCTCCATGGAACATTAAGCAGATCAGTGTGACCACCGAGAGAGATACCACCCCAAACCATTATTCCACCACCTCTGTAACTGTGACTTTCCACAATGTGGGATTGGTTGTATTTGGTGCGTTGTTCCCTGCTGATCAGCTGACGACCAGAATCACTCTCCATTGTGAACCTGGGCTCACCTGTGAAGAAAAAAGACGCCCATTGCTTATTGGTACACGAGACGTGTTCTCTTACCCAGCATAAACGGGCACCTCTGTATCCTTCGGTCAAGGGGACACAAGCAATTGGTCGTCTTGCATACAGACCTGTATTGTGCAGGCGTCTGCGCACTGTAGTAGCTGAGATTCTGGTTCCTGTTGCCACTGAATGATCTGCCATGAGCTGAGGCACTGTAATGCCGCTTCTCATTTGGGCCGAAATATCTAAATAATGGCCTCCCGCAAGTGTTTTTAACTCTTGATCTGCCTGGAACATGTCTTCTAGACACAGTCTTCAGATTAGAACTGATTCCATTGTCGGTGGACCACACTGCGGGATACATTGAGATGTCTAGATGCATCAGCTAGTGACAAAACTATTTCCATTCATACAACCGCCCACGACCATGACGACTTCCACTGCGCATTGATAGACTCTCCTGGATATTGTCCACGAAATTGCTAATAACAACTGAAGATCAACTCTCGTAAACAAAACTTAAATTTTTGCAATTTCTCTCCAACTGAGTAACTTTATAATTCGTAAGTAATAATAATTCGTTCGCTTATTTCTGTAACATAGAAGTGGTAACTTTTTTTTTTTTTTTTTTTTTTCATATATTTTCTTAAACTTCGTTACTATCACGCATATAAACGGCTAATTTAAATGTTACTGACATTTTTTCAATGGTGAGCTTTGGAAAACATGCTGTTGCTTAACTTTTGGAAGTCAGTATATTAAATATAGCTAGTATGTTTCAGCATGAAGAAATTCTCCCATAAAATGGGATTTAACGAATGTTTCCCGCCACCGCAAATATCGTCTGCGCAAATAGTTCGCGTTGGCGTTTTTAATCATATTTTGTCAAATGATTTTTGGTATTTGAAAGAAAGAGACTTGCTTTAGAACACTGTGTTGTGAAATTTCTAAAAAAACATCGTTATCACTAAGTACAAGGTGTCTGAAATGGAACTATCACGCTCTCAGATTAGAACCATCATTTCCAATTCTGTTGCAAAAAGTGAGCTACAGAATGTCACCATGCTGTATCATATGACACTGTGGAGGTTTGGTATCAAAAATTCAAAAACAAGGACTATGACAGTCAATAAGCAGAGCGCTCTGTGTGGCCTATTGCTGTTAATGAGGCCCGCCTGCTGTCGACAGCGTCGCAAAGCGCAGTTTGACTGAGAAAAAGAACATGCTTTTTGTGTCTGGTGGTGTTGCCGTGGTATTATCCACGAAGAGTATCTGGAAATAGGTAAAACCTTGTCAGAAACGTGTACAGCGAGATACTGTTCCGTGTTGATGCTGCTGTCATGGAAAAAAGTCGAATTGAGTTCCAGGAAGGAGGGCAAAAAAGGTAATGTTCCATCAAGATAATGCAAGAGCATATGTGTTTGCATTCACTGGCTGGACTCTGTACGGATTTGAATGGGATCTTTTGCTACACCCAACATATAGCCCCAAAATCGCTTCGGACCTCTACCTTTTTTCACACCTGCAGCTACATCTTGCTGGTATTATATTCCATTCTGCACATGACGTCCGAAATGAGGGTGATCTGTTTTTGGACTCGCGGCCACCAAGTTTCTGAGCCGAAGGGTTTGAAAAACTGCCAAAACGTTGGCAGAAAATCATAGATTTGAGTGGCGATTGCTATTCGCACTAAAGGTACTGCTTTCGGATATTTTTCCCCTTAACTTTATTAAGATCGTTTTTTGACGGAAAACTTTCGTAATAACCAAATATAATTCCATCTCCTTTTTGTGAGTATCCATGCTTAGGATATATTCTTATTTGAAATTTTATTTATTGTGCCAGGCTATTTTTTGTGTGATTATATTGTTGTTGTTGTTATCTGTGTATAATCCATATGTTCTTATTTTGAAAGTATATATTTACCTTTTTCTAGCACTATGGGAAGCTTGCAGCAAGGGTGATGTTAGTAAAGCAAAGCAGCTAATAAAACAGCTTGGACGTGAAACTGAACTTATAATCAACAGCACTCCAAATGGTTGCAGTACATTACTTTTTAAGTAAGTATATTGCCATTTTTATTTATTTTATTCAAATATGAAGCACATTAAGTACATTTTTGCATAAGTTTCTCTTTTAATATTGGTATATTTTTCCTATTGGTAGAGCAGTCAACATCGCTGATCATTATATCGTCTGGCTGGCCAGATGATAAATACTGTTCTTTTTCTTCTTCTTCTTTAGGTTGGGTTTGTCAGGTATCAGGCTGCTAAATAGCACATTGTGCCAAATGCACGTAACCCAATGCCTCCTAGCTCCATTCGTTTGGGCTGCCCACTTTGTTTATAAAGTCTGACAGCCTTTATAAACTTTAACAGCTTTAATAGCTTTGACAGCTTTAATAGAGCTCAGGTAGATGGGAAGATGGGGCCCAAACCTGTAATTTTTTTTTTTTTTTTTTTTTTTTTTTTTAAATTTTATTTGTTATTAGAAGTTCAAGGTCAGTAGCCTGTTCCTCTGATAAATGTTTCTCGGGAAGTTCCTCAATGACCACACAAGAGCCACACAGCCATCTTGACCACCACAAGAGTCTCTCTTCACTGTCTTCAGGGCTATATTCTGCTCCATTCTTTGAAATTGTCTATTTTCCTCTTTTCCCTTGAGTTTTTCAACCAAAGTACCTTTATCAAATTTTAATTCTCAGGGCCTTTTTTTTTTTTTTTTTTTTCTCCCTCTGGATGTTTTCTTTTTGATTTTATCTAGAGAAGCGGTCATGCTTTTCATAGCTTACTGCCCTTCTTCAGATATTGATTGAGTAACTTGAGTAGAGATTATTTCTACCTTTCTCAATGAAGCATTCATTTCTGCTCCTTCCTCTGGATTTCCTTCTTTTGAGAAGAAAAGTCTATCTCAAAGGTTTTGCCTGCAAAAGTGGAATTTTGAGTTATATTGTCATATAACTAAAATTTAAGTATAGGATAAAAAAGCTTCTCCTAGTATTGCTGGATAAGCAAAATACTATGGAAGTTACCAGAAAGTCTAGATGCTTCGTTAAGACACTGTAGCTGCAGTGTCATTCACCCTCGGTCACCCGAGTCGTATAATACCAGGGTTATGGAAGGGAGTTTACGGCATCTAATTTATTGTTCGAAGGTATCCTGTCAGATAATATAGGACATCCAGCTAACCACCGTCTGCCGATGCATCTGGTAGCAACTACAGCCCTAGAACAGAGTTGCTGCCCCATAAAAGTTAACCATAATAATAATTAAAAGCAAAACATATCTTGAATTGTCGCTTGTAAAAACTACTTAATTGCCACCTTTCAGAATTTGGAGCCCTACGTAGCTACCTATGTCGTTTATACTTGGAGCCACCTCTGGTGGATCTCTATAGAGAAGACAAAAAATTCAAATGTTAGAAAAATATCTAGAGTTCAAATTACAGATGTGTAGTGATCTGCTCTGTTAGCTGTAATAAATGGTGATGGTGGTGCCATCTGTCTCTGGCATTTGGAAATACTGTAATTTCCACTGGCTAGCGTCGAACCACAGACCCTTTGGCACATAAACCAGTATATTTTACTGGAGGGGGGCCATGTCGTGCAATTAAAATGCCGAAGTATTTTCGGCACATATGTAAGATATTTAACGAGAAAAGGGGGGAAATTATATGTAAATGTTATATTTACAGTACTTTATTTATGTACTATGAATCGATAATTCCTTTTTTGCAAATAAAATACTATAATCTGTGAAAAACACTGAAAATGCAGCTTCCTGTAGCTATATGCAAGTCACAGGAGAGCTAGAAACCTGTTACATTCCGGGTTACACCTTCCTGAAATGGACTAATATCTATTTTCACTTGTTTTTGTAGCTTTCTGAATATCTCACCCGAGACCTTGCTTCCAGTCTTCTGATGATTCTGTACTTCATTCTATAATCCAAATATTGGTAGTTACTCATATTTTTGAATTTCATTAAATGTTGCAAACAAGTTCCAAAAAGTTACATGAAAGTTCCCGAGGAATGGCAGCGAACGAAATGCGCGAAATGCCATTTGTGCTTTTAATGATCTTCTCTTTAATACTCCACTCCACATGCATGTGCATGCTTACAGATTCATTCTAAAGATTTGCATTTTTTGTATTGAAGTATAATTTATACCTTTCATTCAGTACTTTTTACGAAATATTGTGAAAATATGCAAATTCTCTTAATTATGATCAATATATACCAGTATATTTATGCAGTATGCATATCTTTAACTCTCTGTAGAAGGAAATGGAGTTTTGCTTATGCAACTGTGGAAATGGCCTATTGCATATATGCAGTGGCCATCTGTAATGGATTAAATTTAATTAAAAGTAATTATTAAATATAATAGATTTTAAGTGGCTAATTTTATATTTTATTGTACAAGTTAATTTTTTAAGTGGAAAAATTTCAACGGGTAAAAAAAAGTCACTGATGGAATTCAAGTCTGACTTCAACATTTTCTGCACCCTTGGTGATAAGTACAGGTATAGATAGAAGTGAGGGGGACATCAGAATTTCTACGTTGGTTGTACTGCACTAACTGCGCAGTTCTGCTTTAATTTCAAAGGAGAACACCTGAGGGTGGTCCATGGGTCTCTCACCCATCTTCTTTTACCATCAGTCTCTCAAAGGACTTTGGCTCACCATATATTTTAATTCCTTCTTGCCACACAGACATTGTATGCTTACAAACATCCATGCCTTGTCCAGGATGTGAACCCCATCCTATTGGTATAGCAGTCAGCGTCACTGACTATTATACTGGCTGCATGGCAGACAATAAATACAGTTGATGCCCATAGAAATTAACCATAATATTGCGAAATATACTGTTACGAAATGTACAGGTGCGGTAAGATGGCTTCCTCGCAAAGCAGTTTTAGGGTTGCCGTAAAATGGCAAGGGAAGGCAGTGTTGCCACATTTGGTGAGAAATCGCCCCTTTGACGACAAAATTGGCGATATACCATGGACGGATGGAGAACCTTCTGGAACGAATTCTTACCGCTTTAGCCCAGAATTTTCTTGAACACAAGCTGAAAACTATATAAACTCTGCTAGTCCGCAGTCAATTAGTGTGTGTGCCTCGTGAGAGGGCGAGTCATCAGTTAGTGTGCACCTCGTCTGGAGATTCATTAAGAGGGCACGTTAGAGTGCCTCGTCGAGAGGGCAAGTGTCTCATCTAGTTAGTTCGTGTGGAGACTATCAAGTTGACAGCCGGCCAGCGAGTGCCGAGTGGGTCGTCAAGTGCACCGAAGGAATCTCTTAGTGCCTCGCGGTTAGTGTATCGTCGAGAGAGCGTGTTGAGCTCTGGGAACGACTGAACCGAAGAGTCAGGAGCAGTGCTCTGTGTCTCGTCGAGTGCATCGCGAGTTGTAGCGTGGAGAGTCTCGAGAGTACGTGGAGTTCCGAGAATACCAAACGGAGTCGGGAGCTGTACTCCAGAAAGCAGAGTCGGGTGCTTTGCAGGAAGCTTGTCTCCACCGTTTTGCCTGACAGTGTGAAGGCTGCATCACTGATTGTTCCAGCGTGTTTATAGTAGATCTTCGACGACTGTAAAACGTGTTTTGGAGCTGTCCTGACAATACTGATAAATAAAGCGTGTTTCGATACTTCATCAAGTGTCGTCATTATTCACTCCAAATCTACGAACCCCGTATGAACGTGAAGGAAGAAAATAAATTAACAAGTGGTGTCAGAAAGAAAAGAAAAATGCAACAATACCTTTAATTGTTGCTTGTAAAAACTGTTTAATTGCTGTGGCTGCCTATGTTATTTACGTGTGGAGCCACCACTGCGGTAGATCTTTATAAGAAGGACAATAAATTGAAATGTTAAAAAAAATCTAGAGTTCAAATTAAAGATGTGTAGTGACCTGCTCTCCTGGTTTCTGTAATAAAGGATGATGATGGTGCCATATATCCCTGACATTTGGAACTACTGTAATTTCCATTGGCTGGCATTGAGCTGCAGACCTTTTGGCGCATAAACTAGTATTTTAGCAAAAGATTGCTTTAGACCCGTCCTCCATATATGACATACCCAATCAGCAAAAAAGACTTTATGGTCTGATTCCTTTTGCTTTTTTATCAGGTGTCTGTTTTAATTAACGCAGTTAATAAATAAAGCATATATTTTTAAGAGAACTGTTTATTTTGAATTTCATAGCTTAAATTTATTATTTATTTATTTTATTTTATAAGCACTTCTGCTTAATGATTTAAAAATGATAAAGTTATACGAAAAATGGAGATATTTAAAATTAAGAGGTTTTCCCATTATATTATAAGTGTTCTTCTGCCTCAGAGATTGGAAATAATCAGGTTTTATATAAAACTGTAGTGGTATTTAATATAAAGTGAGCAATGAGAGCATTGTTGTTATTTTTACTGGAGGATTGTTTGCAATCTTATTATTTATATTTGTTAAAATTTAAGAGTATAATGCCCGTAGGAGTTCAATTTCAAAATAATTTTCTTTTTGGTTAAAGATAAATAGGTAAAGAATTTTTTATATAATGTTGCACAAACTGACTATGTTAAAACTAAAGTCAATAGTTTAATATAGTCAGTTTAATTATATCAGTCAGTTAAAATATAGTCTCTATGAAGTCAGTTAAAAATATAGTCCCTGTTGACTATATTAAAAATATAGTCAATAGGGATTCTTTGACCAGGTGACCGATATTTTCCAATGCTTAACAATAATGTCTTTTAGCTCAAGATATGAATGTCCATGTGAATTAGATATAACGCTTTGGAATTTTATTTTGCAGAGCATGTGAGGAAGGACAGAAAGAAATTGTAAAATTGCTTCTTGAAAATGGTGCAGATGGTCGAATACACCCTGTGACAAAATATTCTCCTTTATATATTGCTTGTTATTATGGACGAAAAGATATTGCAGAAATTCTTATAAAAGTAAGTTTCCTGAAGTTCATTCTTACTTTTGCAATGTTTTTATAAAATATATAGTTCATATGGTAAAATATATGGTTTTTAAATAATATATGGCTGTAATAATTTTTTAACTAGCAATTATGCCAGTAAAATTTTTTTAATTTTATTCTAAATATGTTAAAATGTTTATTTTTTGTTTCATTAATGTGCCTTATTGTTCTATTCATTTTGAATACCAGAAATAGATACACATCTCTTGGAACATTTAAAAAATACATAACACTATTTCCGCTGGAGAAGGAATCTTTCTTATCTTATAATCATTTAGAATGTTTCTTTACACAATTTATTTTTCATTTTAATTTATGTATGTTTCTGAACCTCTTTGAGATTTTTAGTTTTTGCTTAATTTATATTTACAGTTTGTATATTATTTTTGGCAATTTATTGAGTTTTTGGAGCCTTCATAAAATAATTAACTATTATCACAATCTTGGTATATAGTGACATCTAAAGAATGTTCTCAAAAATATACACTGAAAATAGATATGCTTTAACACTCAAAAATTGAAGATAGATTTTATTTTCTAGCTTACGAGTGTTTTGTTTGTGAGTGTCATGTAAAACATTTTAAACATTTTCAAGTGGAAACCACTTTTATAAATTAGAATGTTCTTTGACATGTTATTATAACTTTGTTACTCTGTGACTTGTTATTATAACTCATGTTATACTTTTATAAACTATAATTCTTTTATAAATTAGAATGTTCTGACAACCTTACTCTTGTCACCTTTGAAAGCTTTTTTTTTTTTTTTTTTTTTTTTTTTTTTTTTTTTTTTTTTTTTTTTATGTTATTTATGTTTTTAAAATGCAATTAATTAAAATTCATTTCATTTTATATGGGTATTAAGTAATTAAGAAAAAGGTTTATATATGTTTTTAATCATTCAAGACTATTAGAGTTTCGATGAACTAAAAATTAAGTAAACTTTAAATCTCCCCTCTAAGATATGAATACAAAACCAGTAGGTAAAGTAGCCAGTATAAATATTATAAAAATGTCAGTTTTGAGAGAAAGAGTGATAGGTGATTGCCACACGTAATTTCCAATCGGGAGATTTTTAAGTTCTATATGCATATATATATGCACAGATAACTTGAAATTCATTTTTCATCTTTTTTAGAAATCTAAGAGAAACAAAAGGTTAGACTTTAAAGACTACAGACTGAGATATGCTGATGTTAAGCATTCAAAAATTCATAATAATGTGTATTACAGTGGTTAAATAATGTAACCGTAGAGCTTGTTCTTTTGCAATATAACTTCCAGTGTATTATTCTGAAATTGCAAGAAATGAAAAGAAAATAATTTCAATCATAATAATTATAATATTAATGATATTTTAAAACTTAGGCTTTTTTTCCATTCTGAAACCTGCCTATAAAACTTGGTACAGTCAAAAGTCGTTAATCCGGACTTGTCGGAACTTCGGCGATTACGGATTATCGCTTTTTCCGGATTATAGATCATCAGTTTAAATCTGGTAAAATGGCATGCAGAAATTATAAAATTAAAAATATGAAACCGTAATTTACGAATAAAGAACAATTATTGCTCTAAAGGGTTTCAAAATTCCAAAAAAAAAGCTTAATATTTATTTGTTTACTTTATTAACATTTCTTTCAATGTAAGTGTTTAAGTTGGCTTCGTTTTTTATGTGATCATACATTCTCTGATTCTATAAAACACATAATTTTCTTGTTCGTACAAAGTTTCGCTGTTCAAGTCCTATAATTGCTGTGTCGAGATACCGACTAATAGTCAATCGAAAGTTTTTTCGTTTTCAATTACTTCGTTACTTTCTTTGCTACGAAGCGAATTATAACAGAGGCATTTGATTTAAATCATATCTAAGACAGAGTACATCGAGATGAAATACTACATTGAGTAAGCAATTATAAGCCAAATAAAATAAAAACATCTGCCCTTAAAATAAGGATAGTGCTGACAGATCAACTTCCAATTCATTGCACGCCGCCACAGCGTTAAAGATAAAAAAAGCTTAGATAAACAAACGTTAAAGTTTAGGTAAACAAAGGATATGCCTTTATCCATTTTTTGGAGCAATTCCACTTTTTGTTTAATGGACTCCGAAAGATAGTTTCGCTTTGTATATCCTTTACATATTAGTAAATATATATCGGAAATTCTATTTGACATAATCGAAAGTTCATGCTTACTTTTATAGAATTGCTCTAACAGTCTGCAAAAAATAATAATCCAATCCAATTCGAAGATTAAGGAACAACGCAATCTGCACATTACTGAAATAGATAATTAGATAATTTTAGCTTATCCCCGTTAACATTAAAACGCCATTCGTAAACGTATTTTGCGCACACACACACGCAAATTCACAGCGGTAAAGGTCTTACGCGCATGCATGAAAGCGACGCATGCGCAGAAAGTTTGTAGCTTTGAGGTCCGGATTATAGATCATTCCGGATTATGGGTGTCCGAATTAATGACTTTTGACTGTATTTTTATTATTCTCATTTCAGTATTATACTGGAAACCTTCATTATATTTTTTAATATTATGGCTAAAATATAATCTTAAAATATTGTATTTTAAATATATTCTATAAGGAACATATTACATTCTATAAGGAACAATGTTTTTACTTTTATGCTCCTGAAATTAATCTAAATTATCAAATATTAAATTACCTAAAATTTTTGTATAATTAACAATTTGAATAGTTTACTATCTGTTAACAGTTTAGCTATCTGAAACATTTTCAGACTACTCATAATGTAATTATTATAGAGATACTGAATTCCTTTTTTAATTTTTTTTATTCTTGTGTAATTTATTGAGATATCTTTGATAATAACTTTTACTGTAGCATCATAGTAATTAGTGTTTCTAAAGGTCTATCTTAAATCGATCGCTGTTTTATAATTGAAAATTGATTAAAAAATTATGTATGTAATATATACTTACAGTATATCAAATCACACATATGTGTCCATCAAAAAGTACTTTTAATAATGTGTTTTATTATCTTTATTATCTTAGCTTATGTTATAAATTTATAATTATTTTACTTCATTAATTAATAAATAAATTTTCATATTGCAAAAATATAAAATTTTACATTCAGTGCAACATTTCTTGTGCTGTAAAAAGTTTCAGATCACACTTGCTTCATCATCATCATCATTATTATTATAAGTATTTTGAAATTTAACTGTAATCTAAAATTTAAAATAACGTGATAAAAAATCTGAAGTTTTGCATGTGTATTTACCATTTTTTAAAATATATGTATTAAAAATAAATTTCATTATGTGTGTTTATATTAGCCATAAGAAATTTATTGTATTTGTTTTATATTTGTCTTGTATATTACTTGATACTTAGCCTTAATTAATTAAATTATTCATACTTTTTCAGAAATTCCCTGAACTTGTGGTTGTTGCAACTGTAGAAAAATGGCTTCCAATTCATGCAGCTGTGATCAATGGCCATGTAGCTGTTTTAGATCTTCTTTTAAAATACCCTTATGATCAATTTGTGCTTCAAAAATTCATGGATAAAACACAACAATGGGAATACTTCTTTCCTTTTGATATAAATGCTAAAGATGTCACTGAACAGACTGTGTTATATGTTGCCTGTCTAGTCGGTAATCAGAGAATTGTGGACCTTCTTTTGAAATTCCGGATTCCTGCAAAAAAGGTAAAAAAAGATGATGCTAGTCCTGATCAGGAGAAAAAAAATGAAGGACAAAAGTCTGAGTCCAATATTAGTCCAACAAAAAAGCGCTTGTCTAATGGTATCCAAAATATGATATCGAGGTTAAGTCTTAGGAACAATGTAGAAAAAGAAGAAGAACGTTCCGAAACTGAAATTTCTCCTGTTGATTTAGATTTGTATTGCAATAATAATACTGAAACTGCTTTGCATATAGCTGTTAAAAAGAAGTATCATAGTATTGTTCAGCTTTTACTTCAAAATGGAGCTAATCCTAATATTAGTATTAAACAATCCGTTGAAGAGTTGAACCGAGCCAACGAAAGTTCTGGTTCCACGTCTACTGCACTTGTTGAGGCTTGCAAGAACCGTGATGTAAATATGGTCGACTGTCTTGTTCGTTATGGAGCTCGTGATGATAACTGCAAAGCTTTGAAGGTAGCTAGTTCAAATAAAGATGAGCATATAGCATCTAAGTTATTAACTCTGAAAGCATATCAAGATCCTGAATTTAAAATTAATAAAAAGGCTCTTGAAATTAATCCGTCAGCTCATCTAGGTGGCCTGCTAGGAAGTGTGACTTTTAGTTCTATGTTTCCAACCACTCCGGTCATGATAAATTGGCATGGACAAAAGTGCCTGCATTATATAAAAGAAGAGTGGTTAATAAATGCCAGTATGGCCCATAATGTTAAGTTAAAATTAACTGCCAGAAGTCAAAGCACAGCTTTGATGGCAATTACAAGGTTAGACATATCTAATAACCAATTGACTGAACTGCCACTTTGTATTTTTCAGATGGCATCTTTGAGACATTTTAATGCAGCTAATAATAAAATATTTAAATTGCCGGAGGCTGGCAAGACTACTTCTTCTCCCAAAGGTAAACGTGATGCACGGACTGTAAACCAATCTGGATGGTGTTGTCCAGTTTTAGAAGAGATCCATCTTCATGATAATAGACTCGATAGTGTTCCTGCTTGTCTCTTTACTCTGCCTGCATTAACAGTTTTAGACTTATCAAATAACAAACTACAAACTTTACCTTTCAAAATGTGGTCTGCTCCTAAACTAAGAGAGCTAAATCTTTCATTAAATATGTTACACGATCTACCTTCAAAACCTCCACCGGTGCGTTCAATATCTGCATCTCGCTTAGCTCCCAGCATATCTGAAGACCCGGCAACTTCTACTGAATCTAGTCCTCGACATTCCACAGTCGAAACTTCATCACTGGAAAGTTCGACAGAAATTCCAAATCTGTTATCACCTTCACAAGACTTAGAGAAAAGGTTTAATGTTGATGGAGATTTAAGGCATCAAGAATTATTACATCATAATTTATGGAGTGCAACAGTCAAAGTAAGCATACAATTTTCTATGATTAAAATTTGATTTATAATGTTTTATTTAATTTATTAGATTTATAATTTGTTTGTTTTTAGGTGTATAATAAAATTAACTGCTTGGAACCTGACATTATTGAAATTGATGCCCTCTGGTCTAAAATTCTATCTATGTAATATGTATAGTTTTATGTATAACAACTTATTACCTGAATGTTTCGTTTTGAGTGTGAGCCTTATATTTAAAAATACTTTTTAGCATAATTTACTGTGCAGTACGTTATCTGTTATTTTGTTTCTGTTATTGTGTATTATGTTATTTCTGTTTCTGTTATTGTAGTATATTTTATATGTAATTATTATTTAAAGTAGAATTATTTTTATGTAGAAAAAGTGTCATTTTTGAATAAATTTTAAACTTTACAACTGTGTGTAGAAATGATTCCCAAGAGTCCTTTGATTACAAACACACTATAAAAATGTATCATTTTCATAATTGGTTTTCATGAAATGTTATTGTAACTAATCTCACTTGTCTTACCTCACCAGTCTGACCTCACCAGAACAAGCCAATGAAATTCATCATGGCAAAAGAGTACAAGATTACACCTGTCGTTGGCAAGAGCCTTTGCCACCAAATAGGTGGCAGTACGATATTTTCCAATTCCAGCCCAGTTTTGAGTAGAGCACCTCAGGGATTGGGTCTGAGGGTCTCCCACCTCTCTTTCCCTACCACCAAACCACATGACTGTACTTTTGGCTTATCATATATTTAGATACCACGTGTAGCAAAGATGCAATACCATTATAACCACTTCAGGATTTGAATCTGAGCTGTTTGGTATGGTAGTCGTAGTTTCCTCTTGTAATCACCATCCTGTTTGGACAATTCATGAATTATTATGTAGCATCATTAATAATCTCTCAAGGATAAGTTCTTGCAAAATTTTATTATATTTTCTCTAAGCAACTTGATCATTTTTATCTTGTCTTGTGATATACTGTCATTTCCTGCGGGCACTCACCGACACTGAAATTGACTCACAAGGCAGTACTGAAGACATAGAATTAAAATCGATACATAAATACCCCAGGAGAGCATTTCAAGTATGACACTACCTGTGAGAGAATCAAAGTGCATAAGTGTTGCCACTAAACATATTTTTTCATTGCAAAATTTTTTCTTTGGTTGTTGGTAAGGTTACTCAACTAATTAATTCATCATAGTCAGCATATTCCCATAGTAAGTCCATTGAGAAAAAATTGCATCATGCAAGATATCCATAGGAAGCTGGTTATTTAATATTCTAAATTAAATATTGTTACACTAATGCCACTTCCTTCATAGTAATAAACAATAGACACACTGTCCAAATGCTCTCCACTGCCAAGGGCATTCGGAGGGTCTCGAAAAATATTTAGTTTCGAAATGTAACAGTACAACACAAATAGTAACAAATAAGCTAATGGAAAACTAAGTTTACCTCTTAAGGGAACACAAAAACTTTGCAGCAAAGAACTTTCATCTTTAACACCTAATGAAGTAAAAATTGAACTAAATGTATTGACTTTTAAATTTATTTTACTAGTGAGAAAGTAATGGACGTGACTTCTCGAGAAAACGTTTAATGCATGCTATAAATAAAAGCCGGAAAGCAATCTCTTACAAAGTCCATATTATTGTTGCAGTGTACAATTTTTGGGTCTACAATAAACATATCATTATAAACATATAGGATTGCAACCTTGGATTTAAGCTATGTCTGTGGAACCTTGAGAACTGGTAAGCGAATAATCGCTTTAGCTCAGGAAACAGAAATGTAACTCAAGAAAAGTTAATTACCCTTTATTGCTCAAAATAAGGATTAACATATGGCCCTTTTCTCAGGACATACAGAAAAGCCCGAGGCTTGGGCTTGAAATCAAGAGTACTAAGAAAATCAAATTTAACTAAACTAAAAAGATATAGTCGAAGCTATCAAAGTTCTACAGGAGTTGGCAAAATCAGTGGAACTTCAACTTAAGTACCACTCTTCCTTCATTTGCATTAAACGCGATTCTAAAAACACACTCTGGCAGGAAATTTGTAAGCTGAAATTAGAAAGGACAGGAAAGTAGCATTAACTAAAGATAACTGTTAAAACTTAGAATAAACCTTGCAAACATATTTGACATTTAAGACCTCATTCATGGTAGCATTCCTGACAAACTGAAACTAGTTTTAATTCTTGGAGCCTTATATCTAAGTTTCCAAAATTATTATATATTTGTCTCCAACATAGCAGCCCGGACTGAAGCAGCATAGAGCATTGTTGATTTAATTAAAGGAAGATACAAAAATCCCTTTTGTATTAATGCTTTATCAGGAGCAGCATCCAGCTATCATATATATAAATAGAAGTGTGTAAATGTTTATCATGATTTTTTTTTTTTTTTAATTTTTAGTTGTATATGATATGGCTGAGCATGCAATCTGCCTTTCAGAATATACTGTTGAATTACATCTCTGCCTCTGTGAATGCAATTGTAAAAAATATTATGTCACTGCTGTTAATAACATGCAACAATTTATGCATTCTTGTATATATGCATAGCAATATAATGTATATATCCCTGCTCATCAAACAGGCTTGTAATTTTGCAGGAACATGAAGCATTCCTGTAGTCGTATGCTTGCCGACAGCATGTACCTAGCCTATTTTGTCTTTGTTGAACAGTCTTTAAATATTCTTAACAAATCTGGAATTTTTCAAAACTTGCACCCATCAAAATTCATTAGATCCTTATATTTTCATCTCACAGTAATTCTGAATTAACTTAATATCTTCATCTAGAAAGGGTACACCTAGTCTAGAATTTGTGTGCTTGTTGCATACCTCATTTTGTGTGAAGTAGTTTCAGTGTTAAGGAGCATATTACCTTGTTTTGTAAAGTTTTTGTTTGTTTATTTCTGTCTTGCTTATATTAATGACATAAAATTGCTGTAATTAAAGTGATAAAGTAAATATTGTTTTAACACTAAGTACAGTATGTAAATAATTCTTTATAAACGAATCTAGAAAGTTGCGGCACTGAGCAGATTTATATTTTTTCCCAATTTGTGTTTTATCTGCAGTGTAAAACTACAAATAAAGACATAGCAGGATAGATTCAGTATTGGTATAAATAGCACATGTAAATGTGACCTATTAGTAGCCGAAGAGAAAACTTTTGAGCCGTGTGTTAAATTCTTAACTGCATGGAATTTTCATAGTTTAACTATACAAATAATGTGAATACGTACTAGCCAATAAATCCTCCGTCAAAGTACCCATTCTAAGCAGATAATTCTAAAAAATTTTCCTTTGATAAATATAACAAACTGTATATCTTTCCAGTTATACCATATGATGAGAACTGTTTTACTCTTTTGCATTGGTAGAGGCCAAAATCTATTTCACTCAAACAATTGAAACGCCCGTATGTATGTATTTTTGTTGGAATGGATTTCCTTCCCCCATGAGACATGTAGAATGATTCAATGCTAAAAATAACTTACTTAAGTAAAGTGACAACTTCTTTCTTGGACACTGTGTGCAGCTTCCCTTTGGGACAAGGTTTGCAACTTCGGGCATCAATAGCATCAATGTTGACAGTAAACAAGGGAACTTCCGGCATCAATATTGATAGTAAAGAAAGGAAAAGGAAGGTGTGTTAAAATAACAGAACTACTTTTTAGCTGCTTAAAGAATGATTGGCATGTCATTTAGCAACTCCTGAAAGCAATGAGCAATGCATTAACCTAATGGGGGAAAGCACTAGGTAGAAAATGATTCAGGCGTTTGGGTCACCTCCCAATGTCTGAATAGTTGGTTGTTTTGGGTGACTTCGATGTGAAAGATTTAAATACTATTATTTTCCATAAGATCTGTATATGTTGTATCCAACTAACTATTCAGTGCTAATTTGAATTTTTGTAAATTAGGTTGTGGAATCAGCTAACGAAAATGGAACTGAAAAGAACCAAAAATGCCAACTATCTGCTCTGAATCTAGCACACAATGCATATGAAATTGTGCCTCCTATCTTGGCATGTTTTGCTGTAAACTTAGCTAGGCTTAACATGAGTTATAATCGCCTAACTGAAATGGGGCCAGTAAGCAGCTATCCGGCTTGTCTAAAACACTTAGATCTTTCTCATAATCATGTGAAGACATGGTTTTCTTCAAGAAGGATAGATCCTGATCCAAATATTGATGGTACTGGATGCTACAGTCAGTTTGAAGCAAGCACTGTAAAAATAAAATCTTCTGCATCTACTGGTTCAGGTAAATAATAGTCATCATTTTATATACATTAAGCAATATAAAAAGCTTGAGAATATTTTCCTACTATTTAATTTTGGTTAATTTAAGTGTTCATTTCTATAGTGTTAATTTGGAGTTTAATAGGTTTAAAAATGAATAAAAGTAAAAGCTTTCAGAATTATTAGTTAAAAATTATTCCTATTATGTGCTGTTTGACTTTACAAAATTGTATGAATTCTTCTGAATTATATATAAAATAGAAGTTCAAAAAAACGTACGCTAAAATCTCCAAAAAAGTCAAGTATTTTATGTGAGTCCTGTCATTATATTATTGTTACTGATTTGTCTTGCGGCATCTTTATAGTAAGAAAGACTTAACACAATCTGGAATTGTTTTCTATTTTAAAATATAAAGAAATACTTCATTGTTGAAAGGAGGCATGCAAATTGATCCATTTTTCTTTCTTATGAAAAACAATGAGTCAAAAAAAAAAAAAAAAAAAACTCATCCAAAATTTCTTTGCTTTATTCATTTTCACAAATAAAATTCTGTTTAATATGTAAAAAAAAAAAAAAAAAAATTACTATGCTAGTAATTTGTATGACCTTGGACTTTCTTATTGGTCAACAGCATGGAATACTTCCATTCTAGAACTAGTAGGCATTGTTGCTGTAGTTTACTCTGATGAACTTCTGTTTCAGCACCAGTTAAAATATAAGGAGAAGCCAGTCTTGGCCATAAATTTCTCTTACTTTTGCTAGACTGATAGGGTACATCTGATTCTTTTTGCTTTATGTAAAAGCTTGTAGAAACTCATTTTGCAAGTACCTTATGAAATCCTAAGTGTGCTGTTATTTGAGATATTCTATATAATAGAATCATGTGGGCATTAATTTGTTCAATTATTTGTCTTTTCTGTATTAAATTATATCTTGTTGTTCGCCAATGCCAATGATTTTAATTTACTGAGTGCCTATGGTTCAAAACCATCTACCTCCTCATCAGAATTAAATTAAGTGAGCAGAAATAAGAAAATTGCATAATTTACTTGATGCAAGCTAGAGGGAGCCACATGAGCTCGAGTAAGTTTAGGGATAGAGTTAAATAAAATTAAGATTAATAAAATGAAATTTTAGTTTTTATATTCATTTTTCATAGATGTTAATTTTATATATATATCTAATATATATAGATATATATGTTGTTTTTTTATAGTTTGGTATACACAACACAAACACTACAGCAAAAAGTGGATAGGAAAGGTTTTAAATATTAGTAGGCTCATTGGCATGTGGCACGAAGTATTAGAGCAAATATAGTGGGGTAAACACGAGAAACATTTATAGGCAGAAGTAAATTCTGTGAGGAGGTGTGATTTTTATAATAACAGATTGATAACTATGCATTAGGCCGTTTTTCAGGTTGATGTAAGCAATTATAATGTAGATGGATAAGCATTTTGGCAGTTCTAGGGCATCGTGAAACACAGAAAACATCTCTGTTGTTCGTTGCTGTGTTTATTGTTGTAATGGTGTCAATCTTTAACATGTCAGTGGTTGTCATTTGTAATTTTCACATGATGACAGATCTGTCTGTCTGGACCACTACAATTGGTTTTGATCTTTGTTTGTTTCCACCCAAGCAGTTATCCCATTTGGCAAGTTCAATACATGTATCCATTAGTGCGGCATTGTTACAAATATTATGTATCTCATAAATTAATTTGTGGCATGCAACATCTGGAGTTCTTTTTCTAGAATGTTACATCACTAAAGATGTGAAATATTTGTAGATTTTCTGGAGGCATTTCATGTTCAAAAATATCTTTCCATTCTAGTTAATGAACCTCATACCAATCTATCTTCAGTCTTTAAGGAAATTATGTTTTAATTCTCTTGTTTCAACCATAGATCCCGCCAGTAGCTGAACTTCTGTACAACCATTTTTATCTCCTTCATTTGCACTTAGGCAGCTAAGGAAGCTGGTTCTGTAATTAAACCATTGAATCTAATCCTGCAAAATTTACAAATATTATGCTGATTCTTGTTGTTTGACTTCTCCAATAATCATTGCGTGTTTTGGTAGTTTAAAGTAAAATAATGATTTCTTATGTGTTTATAACTATTTTAATTCTCTGCATTCCTACATGTTATTTAAATTTTATTCTGTGAGTATGGATCTAGCAGTATCGCTTACAGATCTGTATTTCTCCACTGCATGTTGGTGAATTCTAAACAGCTTAGACATCTCTACAGTGGAGGATTTTGAGGAAGGAATGGGCTACTTATCTTAACAACCTGGCATACTTTTCCAGAGATAATGCAGTTACTGCCTTTTGTTTGACTACTAGACACAACTGATTGTCGGTCCATCTCTTTCCATTTGGAATTGTCTGTAGCCCATCATGTCCTCTGTCAATAGATGCACCTATGAATGATATCAACTTTACTCCTTGTAACACCTTGTCTGACATTTCTCCTGGTACTGGAAGTTGGCAAACCACATGACAAACTTTAAATGTTTTTGTATTTGTTCATAGTTTTGGTATCTTATATTTTAGGCAGTGTCTTACTTTTGCTCAAGTATCTTCCTCTTCATTTCTGTCTGAATACTTTTCCCCACAGGTAGTATAAACAATGAAAAAAAAAATTCACTTTTAAACACTTTATTTTAATTTCAGGACGAACTCAGTCTCCTTCATTGCATTCGTGGGGCTCAGCTAAGTCACTCACTGGGTCTGTGTGCCAGCATAGACGTCATATAAAACTGGACAACTTAAGGACACTCATATTAGCTGATAATGTATTAGATCATTTGGTACTGATGCTAGAAGATGATGATTTTGAAGAAGAAGATTCTAGGTCATCAGAATCTTTTGAAACAGTTGATAGTACTGGAAAGGTCTGTAATACTTTATGTTAACATTTGTATTTATAATTTGTTCAATAAATTTTGGCTAATTTTTGCCAAAATTAAAATCTGTTAAATTTATTAGGGTAATTTTTTTATTATTTGCAGTTATTTTATAATTTCCATATGCAAATAAATTATTTATTGTTCTAATGTTTTATATTCAAGTAAATTCTTGATATTTTGTTGGCAAGTTCAGAAAGAATGTACTTAATTTAATATGGAATAGTCATAAAAAATGCTGAAATCTGGAACAGAATAGTACTGATCACTTAAGGACAAATTAAAGGGAAAAATATTAAAGTTCTATGACAGGGAGATTATGTTCTGTGTTCCATTTTCTTTTATAAACAAAAAATGATGTGAAAAATTTTATTAGTTGATTATAAATGCAAAAGTATTATCAGAATAGTTTAAATTTCATCTTGAATCAAGTATCTTGTCTTGAATACCAAAGTATGTAAGCACATTAAGGAAGAAAAATATGAATTGAAATCTCAAAAATGAGTTCCTGTCATTTTACTTAGAATTTTTCTGTTCTCTAACATGAATTTAATGACTCTATGTATGTATTTAACTTACTGGCAGCTAAATTAAAAATCATTGCTTTCAGATGCTCTTTAGTGTTTTTTTTTTTTTTTTTTTTTTTTTTTTTACTAATAATCATCTTAAAATGCTTAATTTAAGATACAGTTGGAAAACAATATTTCCAAGTGCGCTTTTATTATTATTATTTATTTATTTACAGACACATACATATTTCAAAAACATTTGGGCTAATGCTGCATTGTGCTAAAAATATTTAAAAAGAGCATATCTTTAGAATTCCAGATAGACAGTCTTGTGCACTGGAAATAAAAAATGTTTTACTCCTTACAGTGTTGCCATTGCTTGCTTTGAAATTGTTCAGTTTTTTAACCAAAAATTGTTAAAGTTTTGCTCAGTATGAAACTGATGATAAAAGAAATTTGAAAGTCCAAATTCAAGCTTCCAGGTTCCCATGTTTGGGTGGAGGACTATGTTATTCAAAATTTGATGACTCTAGATACCATTGTATTTTCACAATTCAAGAAATGTGCATACTTCCATGTATATTCTTCATTATTTAGTTTCTTAAAAATATAATACAGGGTGATAATATTTGGTGGCAACAATTTGAAAAGTGATTCAGACATTTAAGGTGATTTGAGGTAAAATACCATTTTAAGACTAGCCCTTCTGATAAACATTGTACTGTTTAGTACCCATTTTGGCTGATAAACTGTTAATGAGATCAGAGGAAAGGAATTTGAAAAGTGGCAACATGTGCAGTTTGATGAATAGCTTTTATAATTTTGATTCAAAAGAATTAAGAGAGTCGGTACAAATGTTTTCTTTAAATTTTTCTTCTATAAAAAAACTTTTGTGTTGATGTTATTTCAGCAGAGAAATCACCACCAACTGTGATTATAATCTAGTACTTTACAAAGTTTTTGAAAGTTCTATACAAAAATTTTTCCTCTTAACAGATTCTCAAAGCTGCATTCGAGACCACTGAAAATTATTGTTTACATCCTTCAGTTACATAGTATGATTATAAAGTAATCATTGACATTCTTTTATCTCTTACTAGCAAAATAGTTCTTCACTAGATTTCTAATCATTGTGGTTTGCCTGGAACTGAAAACTTAGATAATGTTGCAAAGGCACAGTCTGGATCCCTTCACTCACCTGCTCAATTAAATATATAAAAAGGCTTCTTAAACCAAACATCTGTAAAATGGAGTCAATTATGTGCAAGAAAACAGTTATTTGCAATTGTTAGAAATGTCTCTTGAAAACTTGCTTTCAACAAAAAGATCCTTCAAGCAAATGGAATCTCTTCTTCTTTCCTGATGACTGATTATGATTACTTGCAGGTTCATTTATGTTATATTTGTATTTTTTATGTAAGGTCTTTTTTGTCTAACAAAAACGAAACAAGCAAAACGTTTCCAAAGAAGCTATGTTTCTCTATCTTCTACCAGACATTTCCCTATCTTTCTACATAATTTCTTCATAAGTTTAAACATTTATCATAATGAACAATGAGTTTTTGGATATTCTTCACATAGGACTGCACCAGCTGTGATGATAGCCAGTTATTCATTGTCAATTTCACTTCTCCATCAATGTTCCAACTTTTCTTAAATACTATAATTTATTTTAGCACTTTACAATCACTTGTTGCATTATCACATCTACTTCACACGTATGGTGATAAATATCCTCAGTTAGTGTAACGAAAGCACACTCGGCGCATACTCGAGAGGTCCAGGTTCGAGTCCCGACGAGGGGGTTTGCTCATTTATCACTGCCCCAGCTTAAAGTAACCTAATGACTCTATAGTGGTGGCCAAACTAAAAGTTGGTGGATGATGATTATTCACCACCAGGAGTTGGCAGTTGGGTCCCCTAATCCTCAGTCAACCCTTTTAAAGGGTATTTTCTCTCCCCTTTGTGCATGCCTTTGGGTGTAACGGTAGCACACTCGACGCATATTCGAGTGGTCCAGGTTCGAGTCCCGGCGATGACATTGCTCATTTTTCACATCTCCTGCTTTAAAGAAAAACATCAGCATAAGATAATTTTTCATACCTATATTTATAGGTTTCTATTTTTTTTTAAACAGATACCACTGTTTGTGAAAAATTGAGCTTTTGAATGTAACTATGTGTTGAACTTTAGAGTATTAATAATTGCTATTCGATTATAATAGGCTTATTATTTTATTTCTTTTTTTTTAGACCATCCAGCCAGATATCAAGAGCAAGATTTTATTTCCAAATCTTTCCATGCTCGATGTTAGTAATAACAGGATATCTGAAGTTCCAGCTACTATTTCTGAATTTAGTAATCTTTCCGTTTTAAATTTGAGTGGCAATACTGAGATCTGTCATCTGCCTCCGGAAATGGGACTGCTTAGTAAACTGTGGAATTTAAATACTCGAATGTGCAATCTCAGCGAGCCATTACGAAGTATGATTGACAGCAAGAAGTATAAAACCATGGATGTTATTGGCTATTTAAAGTCAATTCTAGAAGAGTAAGTAGAATTTCTAATATGTTAATTTAATTTTCAGTTATATTGTCTTTGTGCTTTTTTCCTTGAAACTCGAGCAACTCATTTGTGTGTATTATCTCCTTAATTATTTGTCTTATTTAAACTTCTCTTGAAGTCTTGGATAAGATTTTTTGGCATTTTTTTGCACGTTAATAATACATGTTTTGCATTGTTAGGCAGAATGTAGAATTTTTTAATTAAATTTTGCTTTTCTTAAATAGCTTAAAATTTTATTTTCTTGCAGAGAATTGCTTATCTTAACTATATTCTGTAGCTAAATTATTTAATAAGCATCCATTAATTGCATTTCTCTTAATTCTTCTATAAGCTGAAGTCTTCTATGCTATGGCTTTTATCTCGTATGCACCCAGTAATGAATCTAACAAATCATATTATTTATTTAGTACTTACATATCCTTTGTGTACATTATGTTTAAAACTCCTATATTTGTAATAAGTTAAAAAAATCTAGCACCTATATTGCTTGACAGAAAAAATGTCACATGGTACAGGAGCAGATATATTGCCATGCAAATATCTGTGCAAGTGCATATGTGCAAGTTAAGCAAACTGATGAGATGATTAGCACACAGGATATAAGCATATAATCAATGCATAAAACCATCATTTTCAATGATATCATAGGTATAATACATGAGTTTTTCTGTTGTTTTTGTACCTGGTAAATAAAAATGGCAAAGTAATGCCTTTAAAGCATCATCATACTTAATATGATCAAATGGATAAGTTCGTGAGGAACTTTGTTATACCTTCTTATTGTTGGCCAGCTTTTACATTGTATCATGAAAAAAAAAGTAGGTTGTGGATTTGTAGAGAATGGATCCAGGAAGGAAATGTGCAAGACTGTAAGGAGAACAGAGCAAGAGGATGGACATCAAACATTCAATCTCGTAGCCCTTTTGTTGAACTAACATATTACATCTTGATTTCCAAGATAAAAGTTCTTTTCTTAGAACATCAAGGTTGATTTTATTCCACTCCTTCTTCACAATCTTTCAGAGTTCATCCAATGTTTTGGGATGCTGCTAATAAAGAGCTTGTTTTAGAAGTCCACATGCACAATAATCCGTAGGAAATACATCAGGGAATTTGGGTGTGATGCATTTAAAGTGTTCAATTTTGGTTCCATTTCTTATTTTTTCGAAAAATATAACAGTAGATTTAGAGGTGGAGCCTTATCCTGATGGACCTTAACACAGTAAAGAATGCTTGGATAAAGAGGTGGAATTTCTTCTTTAAAAATAGGTGTTAAAACACATTTTCGATAGTAATCCGAATTAATTTTGAAGTTTTTTCCAACTTTCCTTATTTTAAGTTTTACATTATAAGAGAATCCAGTAATAACCGTGAAACCCTTAGAAAAACTTTCCTTGTCTTCTTGAACTGACATATTAAGTCTTTTTCTCCTCTTTTTTGGTAGTAAATCTATTGCAGTTGGATAAGTATATCCAAGCCTCATCAGCTGTAAATATATATTTACATTTTTCACCTGCCAAATAATTTTCATGCACCAATCTGCACATAGTCTTATAAGAATTTGCAGTAACTCTTTGGGGGGGGGGACTGGATTTTTTTTTAAACCATGCGATGCGATTTTAGATTTAATGAGAGCCGCACGTACCTTTGTTGCATATCCATTTTTGCCCTTTTGCCCAGTGAGACGTTTCTTTTCTTTCATATTAATTATATCACTTATTTTATGTATACTAATTTTAAAACCATTCTTTTCACATCCTTTTTTAATTATTGAATAAGAATACTTTTTTTCCAGCAGCGCAAAAATCTAGTCTTCGAGCCATTATTTATTTTTCAGTGACATTTTAAAGAAACGAATATTTTTAATGCTGTAGATGATAACTAAACCTTATTTCAATTGGTTGCCAGTCATGTTTATATTTTAAAATTAATATTTAAATTCATGGAGAAAATTAAAATCGTTACAAAAATGTGTAAACACCCTCTGTTCTGGCCTTTGATTCATATATGGAGACATTTTGTGAAGTATACTGAATATTTCCATATTACCAGTATTGACACAGATAGTTTTCTGACAATAGGCTCACATGTATTTGGTATCTAGCTATATCCTCTTCAATGGCTTCCATTATCAAAAAGCCGTCATTGTGGACATGTGCTGTGGTTTTCCAGCAAAGTTTCTTGGAGTGCTGAATGGGACAATATAGTCTTCAATTACAAATCTCACTTATTCCCGACTCACATATCCTTATTGGTATGTGAAAGTGAGGAGGTGACATATATGCCGTGCAGATATTTCTAGCCTTAAGCAACACGTGACCCGTAAATATGGAGTAGTGATTTGGAATACTATTGGTGCTAATTTCATCTCAGTTATGTTGTGCATTTCAAGCACATTAATGAGACATCACTGTGTTGCTTATATGCTGCAGCCCCATCTTCTTCCTTGTCCTCTTGGCATCCCAAACACCATTTTTCAACACGATTATGTCTGGCCACATACTTTTCAATCCACCTTGAATTAAGTTGGTTTCCCTAATATATCGATAAGTAATATTTAATATGTACAGAAGATTTAAGCTAAATGTATGTTCTCTGAAAAAGAGTGCACTTTGTATATTCATGTAAGAATAAAAATTCAAGAATAAATATCTTAGCATTGCTAGCAGCTTACATACTTGCTTTCACCAACTGTACTGAAAGTTGACTTTATTGTTTCAGTGCTAAACCATATGCTCGTATGAAATTGATGATTGTTGGTATTGAAGGCATAGGAAAAACATCTTTACTGGAGCAACTGAGGCTTGAAGGTACAGGGACTTACCGAAAAAAACCTCCAGAAGTGAGTATCTTGAAATTTTGTGTACATAACTATATTGTTATTACATTACAATGAAAAAGAATATTACAAGTTTATATATAGTTCCATATGTATATTTTTAGAGAAGAGAGAACTTGTTTTTTGCCATTAAAAATATATATTTGTTTTTGTTTTATCTTTTTTAATGATGCATGTTTTTAAATAAGTACCATTTTAATATTTCATAAACACAAGAATAATTTTTTAATAATTTTATTTTTGCATGAAAGCCTGGCATTAACCCCTTCGCGCCGACTGTCACGTCTACATGCCAGCAACGAACATACTCACCTTCCGGCCGACATGCAGGCGTGCCAAAGCATTTTCCCGTTTACTACCGACTTTCACGTATTTGTGCCAGTATCCTGGAACGTTTTAGAAACTATAATTTCTGCCACAAGATGGCACCGTATGTCCATATGGTTTCAGATACATGTACATTAGACCTTCTACTCGAAATGAGAGAAGCATGACTCACATACACGTGTTTTTGATTATATAAACAAACGAGGAACTAAATGTTTCTGAATGGCGTGATTTATGACGTCTCTTTAAATCGCACTTTATTCACACGTGGTAGTTGTTTATTGTAAGTAGAAGATTTATATGCGCTAAAGTGTTGAGTATTTTGGTTTACAGTTCAGTTTTTAGAAAATAATTAGATCTTGTTAGACGTGAATTCTTTCTGTTTTTACCGTTGCAATGTCAAAGCGTCGAAAATGTTTTAACAGAGCATGAAATAGCAGAAATGATGCAAAATATTTCAGATAGTGATTCTGAAATTCTGATATTCTCATATTGATTCTGAAAGATTAACTGAAAGACGTTTTCCAAAACTTTGTTCAGAAGAGACTGATAAGAAAATGAGACGACAATGCTTCGTTTGTTCACATTCCCGGAAAAATCCTCCAAAACGGCAAATGAGTTATTACGAGTGCAAGGAATGTAACGTAGGACTGTGTGTAGATCCCTGTTTTCAGATTTTTCATACAAAAAGAGAATTTTATGTAATATATTTAGTTTTCAGATGTATAATGTTAAAAGTCATAAAATGGTGAGTAATTAAAATAAAATGTGTAAAATATGCATTTAAACAAGAAATAAGGTAATTAAAGTATATATATATATAAATATTTATAAAGCATAAGCCGTTTAAATACTCTATAGAGCATTATTAAATAATGTGTTTATACTTCGGAAATTTCATGGATTTAGGCTTAGTAGCAAAAAAGCCCCCGGCCCTGGAGAGACGCTCTCGTAAGACACTGCCGGCCTCCACGATAAGCGTGCGTTTTCGCTACCCAGTTCGAAGGGCTTAATCTACTTTTCAACATAATTTTCATTTTCATTAAAGCACTTATTTTATCTTATGACCAGCTTTTAAATTGTATCTATATAGAAATCTGTTGTTTGGTTTGGTAACCATTTTTAGCACCCAGCATGAGCACAACTTCCAATAACTGTGGCATTCACAATGTCATACAGAATGCTTCTTGAAATGGTAAAAAACTTCACTAGATATAATGATAAAATCATGGAACATGGAGATGAGGTACAAAGGGGGTGAACATTAATGATGATTTGATGCAGAAAGTTGAGGAAGAAGTTTGCGAAAACAGGTGCAAGTTTCAAGAAGTGTCCTATGTGAAACTGTTACTGCATGCTTAAATTATAGGAAGCTGTGCTTATGCTGGATACCAAAAATGGGTATCAAATTAGGCAACAAATTTCTTTGAAAATGGGATTCAGAAACTGGTTATACAATAGGTTAAGTCCCTTAATGTAAATTAAGTCCCTTAATTTAAATTATTTTCAAAAGTAGATTAAAAACTTTCATGCTAAGATAAAAATTGTAAAAAAAAAAAAAAAAAAAATTGTTTTTGTGTTTATATAATATCAAAATGGTACTTAAAAAACATGCTTCATATCCGCAAATTTTAAAATATATCGTTTTGACAGTTTGGTTTTGTAGTTTTAATTTATTTTCTGTTATATTAGATGCCTTAACGCTTCATATAATGATATGTAAAATATCATTTTATTATCTTACAATCTGATCGATTATTAAGAAAACAAGATGTATTGCAACTCAGAGATGCTTTTCATGATAGCTTTCTTGAAGTTGAATAAAAACATTATATTATATTGCTGTGTAGTTCTTTTTTTTTTTTTTTTTTTTTTTTTTTTAATATTTTGGGAAAAAACACTTGAAATATTATTTGTGAAAATTATTTCAGTACTAAAACACTTAAGATTAAATATCATTATGAGTTGAATTTAAAATGTTTTTCATGATGACTGTAATGAAGAAGTCAATGTGCAAAATCATAAATGATATTCAAATAAAATATTATTTAAGGAGAATGAATATTGTAAAAATACAGAGTGTGCATAAAAGACTAGCCCAGTTTCAGTATTATAACAGATTAAGTTATACTATTTACAACAAATCATTTAGCAGCTTGAAAATAAATTAACCTAGTTTTTTCTTAGAAATGTTCAATATGTGCACCTTTCATTATACAGCACACATCCAACCTATAGTCCAGTTTTTGCCACACTTTGATTAACAACTAGGAGTAATGGGGATAATACCATCTTCAATTCTATGTCTCAACTTTGAAAAATCATTAGTTAGTGGCGGAACACAGACACAATCTTTTATAAACCCCCAAAGGAAAAAAATCACATGGTGTTAGGTTAGGTAAATATGGAGGCCAGCAAAAAAGAGACCAATCCAGTGGCCAGGGACTTTGACATTGAACCACTCTTATACAAAGAGATTTCAATGGGGAGGGGAAGAGCCATTCTTGTAACATATCCATATAAGCCTTCCCTGTTATGGTAACTTCAGCAAAATAAAATGGTCTGTACACTTGATGCTGGAACACAGCACAGAAAATATTTAATTTTAGGAAATCTCCTTGGTGTTCTACAAGTTCATGAGTATGTTCTGACCCCCCAAATGTGAATATTATGTGTATTTAGCTTCTCACTTGGATGAAAAGTTGATGATCACTAAAAACCACACGATCAAGTTAGTCATCTTTCTGCTCAAACATTTGACTTGAAAGTTAAATCGTATACCATAGTCATCTGGCTTTAAAGCATGTACAAACTGTAACCGGTATGGAAGCATGTGTAAATGCTTTCTTAAAATCTTCAAAACTGTTTTCTTTGTCAACTGAAATTCAAGACTTGATTTCCAAACAGATTTCTTATAGGACTATGAAGGTAAGATTCCCTGACACAGTCCACATCCTCTACCGACACATTTGGTCGTTCCCCTTTACAAACACATCTGGTCGTTTTGAATTTGCCTACACCATCCTGGATGTTTTTGGCACGGGATCACAATTAAACTTTAAACAAAATGCACATTGAACTGAAATGACAGATTTTTCTCTTAGCAAATTGCAGAATACAAACTGCGTTATGCTTGGGAGTTGCTATTTTGCTTATATGGTGCTGCAAGCGAGAAAACAACGAAGCAGTATTCACACGTGCACTTACCTAAAACTGTTTGAAGTACTCTTTAATTGATACTCTTAAAATTTATAATTGGGACGTTCTTTTAGGGCCGTACTGTATTTTGTCACCTTTATTTAAATAAGTGTATTTAAATAACTGTATTTTGTCACCTTTATTTAAATGTGATTTTGCAGTTCAGGAAAAAGAGTTGTAGTTTAAACTGCTTATTTTTTTAAGTTCCACTTGAAAAACATTCATTAAAAATATTAATAATTTTTCAAGTTTTGCATAACAGTTCATTTATTTTTATTACTTCTTAAAACAACTCATTTTAACTGTGTTTTAGAGTTAAAATAGAGAAAGGAGTAGTTACAACCAAAATAGTAATAATAACAGTAGTAATGTTAAGGCCATTCTGGAGATTAAATTTATGAATATGCAGGACAAATTAATCCTTTGTGAAAGAACATAGGTGAATTAGATGTAAGTGGTTCCCAAATATATGTATAATTTTTTCCTCATTTTATTCCACTCTCCTATATTCCTCATAAATAAATGATAATTAAAAAAAATAACATCTTTAAATGATTATGGCATGTTAGTATATAAATTACATATTCTAAAGCTTAATTTATGTGCAGATGCAGACATTTTTTTTAAAATCTTATCGCTATTTTCATTGGTTTCTTCAAGGGTAATTCATCAGTTTTGTCATTCATATGTGTTAAAAAGGTATCATCTGTGCTTTTCAAAATACCAATAAAAGTTTCTTTTCCTTCAACAGCACTGGGCAAAAAGAATGGGAAACAAGAATATCAATTTAAAAACAGCAAAAGGTATAAACATATCAACTGTTGGAGTAGATGTTGGTGACTGGATGTACGAGAAGAAAATTCGTGGTCAGTCAAGCTATGGCCCCGTTGTTTTCCGAACTTGGGATTTTGGTGGTCAGGTGAGATTAAGATCTAAAACTAATCTTTATTTATAAATTTTTACCTCTATTTGATAAATTCATTAATATTTCTTGTATTTATTTTAGAAAGAATACTATGCTACGCATCAGTATTTTCTTTCAAAAAGATCTCTGTATCTTGTTGTTTGGCGAATCATTGATGGTGAGAGAGGAGTAGATGGTATTTTGCAATGGTTAGTCAACATTCAGGCAAGTTTAACAAAACTTTTAGTGGTTTTTATTATTATTATTATTTATTAGAAATATTTTCTTGCATTAATTTTTATAAATGTTCAAAATACTACTTTGTCTTACATAATTTGGTTATTTTTTCTGGAAAGTGTTCTAATTTAAAGCAATATAAAAGTTTATTTTCAGAATAAAATAACTACCTCATTAATATATGAGAATTTAGATCAAATGATGCAACAAGATTATTGATAAAGCATTATGTAGTCTTTGTATATTTAATTCTCTTGAGTTATATTTTTAAAATCCGAAATACAGTATGTTTGAGAGATGATATTTATAATATTAAAATAGTCTCAAAATATTATTTTTCTCTCTGGTTTGTGCTTTGGATAATAAATGAAATATTGGTACTTTTCATTCCCTCCTCAATGGCCTGACAACTTAGGGAGGATCCTGGCCTTCTCAAGAAGCTTTTTACAGGCCAACCCTCTCCCTGCTAGTGTTTTCCAATTTTTGGTTTTTAAGACCAGTAGGTCATTTTCTAGGCAGTCTAACCATCTTAGATTTGATCTGCCTTTTTTTCCGTGTGCCTGTTGGTGTGGTTTTAAAGACTTTTTGATTGGTACTTTTGTTTCATATTTAATTTGTAGTTGAATGAGTTTTCATATAATTTTCCCTTTTTATAATTAAAAAAAAAAAAAAAAGCCAAGAGATGTTCTTGGAAAAGTTCTACTTTTCTAAGCTTATACCATCCTGTGCTTTGGCATTATGAACTTAATTTAAATTTGTAAAGGATATATACCTTCATTAAGTAAACAGTGCTACTTCCTTATTATTATGGCCCCTGCTGTTTAAATGATACAAAATTATTGCCAAGTTTTATTAAGAAAAAGTTACATGGTGAAGTGATGTGTTTCTGGCATGCAGTTTGTAGCTGCTGGGTTTCCACAATTGCTTTTGATGTAGCATCAAAAGCACTTTCTCATCCAGCATCAAAAGCACTTTCTCATCCAGCATCAAAAGCACTTTCTCATCCAGAGGACTTCTGCAATGCAGCACTTAAAATTATATTTCTTCTGTTGTGGAACTGTGCCAGAATTTCAGCCCTATTTGGAGGTCTTCTTGTGAGTCTATAAATGACTGTGATTAGGACTGCTGGGAATTTTACTACCATTTGTGATACACGTTGGCTCTAAGTAACGGGGTGTCTAAAAAAATTACTTGATTTTATCCTTGATAATTAATAATAACTGGTTTCATTCAAAAATATATGATTAAATCTATTTTAATAAATCAATTATTAAATATTATTATTATTATTATTATTATTATTATTTTGAAAATTGAAATTAAATGTACATTTGTCTACAAATAAGTTCTCTCTCTCTCTTTTTCTTTCTGTAAGCCACTTTTGTTCTAGTTTGAATGAAAAAAAAGCTTTTGAACATTAATATTTTACACCAGGTGTCAATGCCTTAATTTAACAGGTTAACTGCATAAAGTACTTCATGCTTTTCCTGAAATTTTACCTATATAGTTTTTTCTGTTTTGAAGTTCCTGAAGTATATTTAGTAACTCTCATAATTTATTAATATTAGTGCTCTTTGGTAATGTAATCTAATGCATCTGGTATGGTGGTTAATCTGACTACCATGCTACTGGGTTCAGATCCATTGTCATGTTAATGTATTCTAGATACATCACATATGTTCATTTAATGTCAGAATTCATAAAATATGCAAACTTTGATTTTCAGAGGCAATATACATACATGCACACAGACAGGTAGGCAGGTAGACATTAATTAATAATAATAGCCCATGTTGGTTTGATTATTGCCAAGCTCACTATTGACTACAACTATTGGCTTTACGTTGTCTTTGACAGGTTCACACCAGCTTATGGAGAAGATTTTAAATGTGCAAGACAGTGTTTTCCTTCCTGCAGGATGTGTTCATATCCCTCTGGCCCACCCCAAACTCATCCTTATTCTCACAGATGCTTCAGTGAAGTCAGTTTTCAAGAGATAAGGAAAAAAGAACTCCTGTTATGCATATGCATATACTTTTATGCATTTGGGAAAACATAACTAGTAAAATCTGTTTTCGGTAATGTGTTTGAAAATAGTTGTTAGAAAAACTGCTGCTGAATGCACGTACTTCCTGATCATTCCGAAGGAAACAACTCGAAGTTGAACAGAAATTTTGAATCTGCTATATAAAATGTTTAATTGCTGTTAATTTTTTTCTTTACTTACATGTTTTCCTTTTGAGAGTTATTGAGGTCTTTCCATCTATGAATAAAGGCAAGTTATTGAACCTTAAAAATGAAAACTGTATGATATCCATACTTGAAAGTTTTGGATTAAAACATATAGCTCTTACATGAGCATATGCAGTATATGCTTGTTTTTCCATCCACGTATGAAAAGGAATTTAGACAGAGCAACAATAAATTTTTCATCAGCATAATGGTTTGCTGAAACTTTGCCCCCTGCCTTGGAGGCTTTTCCCTCTTCACTTCCCCAGTTATGTGTTGTATGTTTGTTTTATTACTTTTTATTTTAAAGAATTTTATAAACAACACTTTCTCAAAAATAGTTTTCAGAAGGGGAAAGAAATTAAAATTAGAAGCAGCACTGATATTATTATGTTTAAAATTAGATTGATATAAATCTAAATAATGTTATGCATTACCAGAGTAAATTGTAACTTAACTCATCATCTACTTGTTTTTCTGAATCCTACTTATATAATACATTGCTGCATTTTTTTTTTATAAAAACTGGGATTGGATGTGAAACTTGCTTTTAGCACAATTTCAGAGAATACATAGTCAATCTTCCAAGATAATAAAGGAATGTTTTGAAACAGTGATGTTAGTATTTTCCTCCCATACAGGCACGGGCTCCGAATGCTCCAGTGATTATTATTGGCACTCACTATGACCTGGTAAAAGAGCGATTTCCACCATCTTATTCTGAAGATCTACAGCAGATGATTCGGGATCGTTTCATCAATGTTGTGGATGCCGATAAATGTGGCTTGCCAAGAGTGATCGATACAATAGAAATCAGTTGCAAAACTAGACATAATATTAAATTGCTGTGCAACCTTATTTATGATACAGTTTTTGATTTAAAGTGTCCAGGTAAGTTTTATTGATTTATTTATGTATTTTTTCAAACTGTAAATGTCTAGAATTTCATCTCTTTCTAATTCCTTGATTTCAGTCAGTTTCCACAGTATATAAATATGTTCAAAATACTGCCAACTTCCAATTTATCTGAATGATACTGGATACAGTTTCTGCAGTTAATTCCAAGTCGCTTTTAATTCAAAGGCAAATAAAAGATATAAGAAAGGGAAATAACCCGTATTATTATAATTAGCAAGAAATAAATGTTAATAATTTATATGTATTTTTAAAAAGTTTAACTTAATGAATAAATTAATTTGGCTGTTTAAATTAAATCAGTAATCAGAACAGAAAGAACATACTGTAAATAATGGAAGAAAAATTATCATTGCAAATGAAAAAAACCTGGATTAAAGCTAAATTGCAAATGAAGAAACAAAATAATAATATTATTAATATTAGGGTGCAGTGCTAAAAAAACTATGATTGATTTCTATATGCTTTGATTTATTTTTATCACTTAACAATTTTATTTTAATGGATTTAACAATATTTATATTATTAGAAATTCAATATAGCAGAGAGTGGTTCTTGCCATCCATGAGAATAAATAACACACAACATACATTGGGAGTTTGAAACACAAGTAAGTTTTATTGGATATACAACAAAGTATATAAACCAGTGGTGCCATCTATGGGTCGAGAACATATTTAAAGCTAACCTTTTAACATATATTGGGTTTTTGTACACTATTTCAACAAAATAAGAGGGGTTAATAGTACCCGTCCAGGAGAACAATATTTACTACGGATCCTAGAGCCACATGTCACTCACACTCTCAGAAAAGAGTAACTTTGAAACACATCCATACCGTCGAGAATTTGTTGTATGGAAATTTCCTGTGATAACAAGCAGCATTGATAGTTGTATCTGATTAGTTTATGATGGGTTAGTAGAATGAAAACTCAAGCAAAAGTTGTACTAAACAGCACATCTTCAGTATTTCAGATTATTATTATTACAACATAATCTAAAACAGCTTTTTTTAAGGCCATTTAAATTACATATATGAGGAATACATCTAAAGTTATGGCCAAGTAATAGGGAATAGACGTAAAGCACGTGGAATGTATTATCAGTAATTTTTGGTGTGTCATATTTCATGCCATTCTACCTTCTTATTGTTGACAGAAGACTGCATGAAATTGGTGTATTCTTTATCTATAAAGCAAAATATACAGATATTGGAAATGGAAGAGCATGTCTTGGAGAGATTTTCCAAGGAATCATCTGATTTATAAGGTCCAAAATTATAGCCATTGGCTTTGCTTTCACTGCCAACTATAGTACGTTATACAGTAGCGTTAAAAAAATGCTAAGAGTGTTGCAAAATTAAGTAAACCAAGGTATGATGTTTTCATGATTTAGCTCTGATTGGACTATGTTGTTATTTAGGCTTTTTCAAAGAACCATAATTCTGTTACTGTTACTGATCAGAAAAATGTGACAGTACTTATTCATTTTCTTGTTAGTCATTTTTGGTGAACAAAAACTATTACAAAATGGTGTGATTTAGTGCACTAGCACTAAATCACACCATTTATGGTTGACCATTTATGGTTTTATTATGACATTATGCTTATCCATTACTAAATGGATAAGCATAATGTCACAACTTGATCATAAGATCTGCACCTGCATTTTATGTGACCCCCAATCAATTTTTTATCTGCTTTACCTGTTTAAATTTTTTTATATTATACCTGCAACCTGTACCTGTTGATTATCTAACTAACTAAAGAGAGATATGTACCTTCAAACTTCTGTTAAAGTGATTGGTGTAAGTTTGGCATGACCTTCACCTATTGCCATGGTTAATGGCAAAATATGTTAATAAAGCATAATATATTGCTTAACATCAAGAAATAACAAGATCTTTCCTGACATATAGTTAAACGAAGCTTGCTCTAAATGAACTGTTTCTTATATTTTTAATTCTAGAAAGCTTTTAATTGTAAGTCCATTTTCTATACATTTAGGGGAATCGAGCCAAAAACTAGATTTAATTTATTATGCCATTTTTGGCTGTGAGTGTTTGTCATTTTTTAAAATTTATTTTAAAAATTCATACTGGTATTTAAATATTTACTTCTTTCAAATTTTGACCATAGGAAGTAAAGAAAGATTGTTAGAACAAAAGATTCCTGCGACATATCTAGCCTTAGAAGATGTTGTTGGCTATTTAGCTGTTGAGCGTCATGTTCAAGGCAAAGATCCAGTTTTAAGAGCAGAAGCTTACAGGTTTGTTTATTATTCATTTTACTTCTTCGGCTATATTAAACTTGGTGGTAAAAGAAATGAATATGCAAAAATTAAATATACCATGTTGAAAATTACTTATATAATTATGCTTTGTGGGGGTATTGAAATTAATAAATTTTTCTTTGATCTACTATGTTTATATAAGGATAATGAATTTTGCTTTATTTACTATGTTTGACATGCTTTTAATTAATTTTAAGGAGATTGAGAAAATTGTTTGGCAGAATTGTTATGGGAAAAAGCAAAGCTTGAACAACAATTTTTGTATTTTTACTTTGCTTAAATTTTTACGGTAGTTTCAGAAAAAAATGCATCGAGGAGCTTAGCTATGCAAAAAATATATGGTGTTTACATAGTGGACATCTCTTGTAGCAAATATTTTGTGTAATACATGGGCACATGGAACAAAGAGAATGTTCTGTATAATGTGCTTTGTCCTGCATTTTGAACTGCACTTGAATACTGTCAGCCATTAAACACTAAATTTACTTCCTGTTTAAATACCATATACAGAGTGCTCCTAAACTGCTCCAACAAAACACGAAAGATATTGGAACTTGCCAAGACAAGTAATATTTACAATGGAACCTATGACGAATTGCACTCAAAATGATGAAGAATTGTTTGCATATGTAAATAAATTTTAATGGCCTTAAATACTGGCCTTTTGGTATGGAATTTTGTCAGGTATCCTTCCTTCTTTATGCGTATAATATCTTAATTAATCTTTCAGGCCTTTGTCTGAAATTCTATTATCTTATACTTCTAACAGTATTTAATTAGCCTTCCATCAGATTCTGCACTACAGAGTTTGATTAAAATTATCCTGCTTTTGAAGTGAAATTTTTACCCCACAAGTTGTTCTGATTTAAAAAATACACTGAGAAGTGTCTTATATATTTCTAAGAGTAATAAATCTGATCAGAATTTGTCTCATGATTTTTAGCCCAGTGTCAGAAAAATGTAACTTTGAAACACATCCAACAAACTAGTCATCACTTTTGATGTCATTTTTGTCCTGTCAGAGAAGTGGCACACCTCCAGGACATCACTATCAAGTATTCGGAACATACAAACATCACTGTGAATGAAAAGAAGCATTATCTGCATTTATGAAGCTGTAGTTGTTTGGCTCTTCAAAGTTCAGTAGAAAGCCAATGGAAGCTAATGCTGTGTTTTAAAAGTGTTACATCATCAATGTGTTAGATTATTACTGTGATAACCTTGCCCAAAATGACTTCATGAAGGCCATAGTGGATTACACACATGAAGAATCACCAGATAGCATCTTAACTTGGACATTATGCTTTTTTGACAATCTGAGTGAAATGCATCCCAAGTTCTCATGATCACTAGTAATCTTGATAGGTGCTATCAGTTGTTTTATTTTGTTAAAACAGTTTATGAACACACTGTATATGTGTCAAATTGGTATGTATATAAACAAAGATGACAAAAAGAGCAGTGGGCAAATAAACTTCTTAGGTCCTTCTTGAGCAGGAACATAAAAAAAGCCCAGAAGGAAGTATTTTCTGTTAAGAAAGGAAGAAGGTATGTGACAACTGTGACTATCAAAGACCTTCTGGTGAAGTGGAAATTAGTCTTATTCCACATTTCTTAAAATCTAAAGTTACTTAATTAAAAGTGTGAAAAGGTCCAGGTCACAACGAAATCATGACATCCCAATAAACAGAGTACCTGCTGTGTTCTGATGTGTTCAAAGACAATGCCATGCATTACTTCAGAACCATTCTGAAAAACAGAAAGGCAACTGCAGGCAGTTTCTAAATTGCTTTAGAAGAGTAATCGCTCCAGAAACCTGGACATTGCATAATATCAAGTGTAGATATGCAAAAAATATTTAAATTTTCAGCCTCTAATGGAAGATTGGAAAGACTCAACCTAAGCTGAACTACAAAACCATAAGATAGTATACATTAAAGTGTGCAAATAGTTTTACAGTTTAGTAAATTCCTAACATTCCCAACATTGGTGGTATCTTTAATATTCTCTTAAATTTGTTTACGATCTGCAAGTTTGGGCATGGATTAAAATTATTCCCGTGATTACGTATGAGAAACAGCATCCTGTGCAACAGAGAATTATTGCAGAATGGATTACATTCATTACATGAGGCACACTGTAAACTAAAAATTAACTATTAGATAAACAATTGTTGAATAAATATGATAAAATAAATAAATACTGCAGCTATTAAATAAAAACAAAAATGTGTTTATTTAATGGTTAAGCTTATTAAGAGACTTTGGGTAACTACATTTACTCTAATTAATTATTTTAGGGATAATTTTTATTTTTTTTTGGGGAGGGAGGCTGAAATTTTATTTTATTTATCTTTTATCGGGATTGCCATACTGAATGATAGTATAAATTAGATTATACTTTTAAAGCAATAATAATTTCCATCTCATTTTTAAGCTTCTTTTTTGTTTTCAAAAACTGGGGTGTACAGAATTTCATCTAAATTAATTAACTGAAGAGTGTAAAATGTTTTTATTTTGAAAGTTTTAAGTTTCATAACTAAATTTGATCCATAAAACTATGTATGTCATTAGTTGTCATCTAGTATTATTAAACTATGTCATTAGTTATAGAATGCTTATGTTACATGTTTAATAATGTCATGTTTAATAATTTCAGTGTCCCTGATCACTGCTAAATATGAAGATTACATGTTATTAAAGTGAAATACTTTGCATACAATATAGCTTTCAACTTTTGTTCATTTTATCAACAGTCGTTTGTAATTTTGTCTCATCTTTAATTTAGAATCCAAAAACACAGGTTAAGTGTACAGTAACTGCAAAATCTACTGAAAGTTTACTTTTACTGTGGCTGGTAATATACAAATTAAAACTTTAACAAAACTTAATAACCACCTCTTGCAGCCTCAAATTACAACAATACTTTAAATATTTTCAAATTTAATACATAGTTGACTGTAGATTAGTAACATGATTCCAAATCAAATGCAACTACTAATAAATATTAGCAAAATTCTTTGTAACCACTACACTTGTCTGGTCAACTGGTGAAGTTCAAATGTTAGTGATACAGATTGGCAATACTCTTCATAAACTTAATTCTCACTTACTATTTAAACTCAATGTATTTGCATTTCTGGTGAAAATGATAGTATAGGATATATTCAACATAAAAAGTAACATGTTAATTAAAATAAACTCACTTTTAAAAGTGTTACATCATGTTATATTTGGAAATTTATTTTTAAAGTGTTACATCATGTTATATTTGGAAAAATGTTATATTTGGAATTATCAGTTATTGATTTCATGTATTATGCAGGGTTCAACGTTATTAATTTCATAACTTTTTTGTAGGAATTTAGTGATGCAGGAAATGATGCAGAGATATAGCATAGCTTTCAGAGATCTTTCAGAGTTAAATCAAGCAACAACTTTTCTTCATGAAAATGGTAACTTTATTGTAGATAATTCAATTCTTATTGTGTGTTTAACTTTCCTAGTATGTAGATATTTACTTAGTAAGAGATTTGTAATAATCTGTTCTTAGATGTGATTTTACTGTTTGAACAATTAATACCAGGCACGCTGTTTGTTTCATTGTCCAGGAGGAAAAAATTTAATAAATGCTAAATCATAGTGGCAGATATGAAATCTAGCTAAGCACGAGCTGAATAGAAATTTCTGTGTGATACATTACACATGAATATATTCATTCGAGTGTATTAAATCTGGGTCCGCATCCTGGACATAAGTAGGTAACCAGTTTAAACACATACTAAATTTTTTTTTAAATTTTTAATAAAAAAAATTTGTATTTAATATATATATATATATATATTTGTATTATTTTTTTGGCGAGGAGTTTCTTTCTTTGTTGACCTAAGTAGAAATTGACTCGGGTAAAAAAAGTTTCTTATATGACGATGAAAATCATAAATCATATAGCACTTTTATATGCACCTATTTTTAGAGTGCTTCACGCACGTTTCAAGCTAATGATAAGAATAGCACTCGCTTTTAATATTTTTTTAAGATTTGTTTTTTAACATTCAGTATCTATATTATTAATAAATGTTTTATCCAGTTAGTACAAGATTAGAAATAAAAATAAAAGGAAGATAAATAAGACTGAAACTGTAATTTTTTAATAAATATTCTAATCCTTATAATGTATAATATTTCTATTCATTTTCAGCTGCTTTAAAGCAGCAGGACATTATTTTTATATTCTTCTTTTTGAAAAGAGGATATGGAAATTAAACTCTTAACTTCAATTTATAATAGCTCCTTAAGATTGCTTTTTAATTTGGTTATAGCCCCTTAAGATTGCTTTTTAATTTGGTTATTTCCGCTTTCTGTCATAAAAAATAGCAATATGCTTATAATATGACTTCCGAGTTGGATTTTTAAAATTAATTCCTGTCATTCTTATGAAATGCAAATAATGCATGTTTTTACATGATCGCATAAGTGGAGCTAAAGTTTTTTTCATCCAATAATAGTAATAATGAATATATAAACCAAAACTTTCAACCATCTTATAAAAATAAAGTACAACCATAGCTTCACTGTTGTTAATTTAGTATCAATATAATAATCTTCACAATCTTTACTATGCTGTTAACATAATTTTTGATGTATCTTTTCATCAATGTTGTCAATTTGTAAAACCTGTGTTTATATTGCTCTGTTGAATTCTATTCTCTGAATAAAGGATAGTTTTCCTTTCTCACATTTAAAGAATTAAGAATAAGAGGAATTACTTCAGAAAACATTTTATTAACAAACATGCCCAGATAAATTGCTCAAAAGACCTTCCGCCAGCTGTAATGCAGGCTTCACACCTGCCTGATAGGGATTTACACACATGTACGAAGACACCAGGCATTTCCTGAATATTTCCGGAAACTAAATGCATATTGGTTTCAATGGGGCACTCGTAGAGCCATCTCAATTACATTGACCAATCCAGCAACCTGGAAATTTCATGGTTCGTACAACCACAATTCACAATAGAAAATGCCGTTGGATGCGAGGACTGACCCTTTTTATACAGTTTATTTACAATGCCATCTAGCGACTCGCTGTTTACATTCCAACCATACATTCCATGAGAAATATTGCTCGTATAGCTGCTTTCTATCACCCCCTAAAGTTTTATCCACTTGTTCAGATTCACCCTGTATATATGTATAAACTAAAAGTAAAAAATAAACTCAGTGGTGTAACATCCCTAATGGGCCAAAGCCTGCAGTGACCGAAATCTGCACCCCCAGTGTTTAGTCCCCAAGCAAACTTGTTACTCATTTTATCGATCCAAGCGATGGAAATCAAGGAATTAAAGGCTGAGTCGACCTTGCCCAGCCCGGGAATCGAACCCCGGACCTGTAGTGCTGTTGCGCTGTGGGCTAGCCACTGCACCACCGGCCCTTATATATATATACACATGTATATGTAATGAAAATAAAATAGTAATATGAACTTCCATCACCCAGAGCTAATCTGACAGTCATAAAAATATGTTTAATACGGTAATAAAAAGAATAAAAATATATAAACATGCAAATATAATTCAGAAGTCAAACAACAAAAATCAGCGTTATATTTACAAAATTTTCACAGGACTAGTTTCGATGGTTTTACCGAACCACCATCCTCAGCTGCAAAACCGAAAATGAACAAGATAGTAAATAATGATTAGATAAGATAAGAAAGCCTGGACAAGAATAAGCAAGTGGCGCCATCTGTTGGTGAAACCAGAACTAAAGCATAATTTCTTTTAAAGGCCGAAGGCAAATTTGGATTGGAATTAGGATCGTTAACTAGAATAGAAAGATTTTTATGAATGTGAAATGCCTCTAGAAAATCCAGTTCTCCAATTGAAGATGTTTTTTGAATAATTTTGGCAGCAGAAAAATTGAAAGTGTGATTTTCGGACCAACAATGTTGAGCAACAGAAGACTTCTGTGTTTCCTTTTTTCTAACATATGCCTCATGTTCCTTGATGCGAAATTTTAAGGCTCTCTTAGTTTGGCCAATGTAAATTAAACCACACTGGCAAGGAATCCTATAAATACACCAGGAATTCATATCCGGAATGGGGGTCCTTGAGTATGGAACTCGGAATTTTATTGATGGGAGAATAAACAACCCGAAAGTTAAATTTCTGCAAAATATGTGCAACTTTATAGTTAATTGATGGAAAGAAGGAAATGACAACAGAATTTTTATAATCTCCTAAAACAAGAGTGTGCCTTTTAGTGTGTTGAGATGAGCATTTTTTAACTGCTTGATTAATAATGTTGGATGAAAAGCCCCTGTCAATAGCTATTGCTTTTAAATAATTTAGTTCTTCATCAAGGGCTAGTTTGGAGGAGCAAACTTGAAAAGCACGGAAAACATAGGAATAAAATGAAGCTAACTTTTGTTTAGTCGGATGACATGATTTAAAGTGTCGTGGAAAGCAAACCGATGAAGGTTTACGGTAAACCGTTCTACTGAAGTTGGATGTGTTACGTGTGACCAGAATGTCGAGAAACGGAAGAGAATTGCATGTCTCAAGTTCAAAAGTGAACTGAATAGCAGGATTAATAGAATTCATTGTTGAAAGAACTTTATTTAAATCATCTTTATTACCTTGAAACAGGGTAAAATTATCATCTGCGTAGCGGAACCATGTCAGGAAGTTTAAAGTTTCAAACAATTTTGATTCATAATAATGCATGTAGATATCAGCCAGGATGGGACTGAGGGGGCTTCCCGTGGCTAATCCCTTAGTTTGCTTGTAATATTTATTTTGGAAAACAAAATGTGTTTGTTTCAAACAGAGTTGAGTGAGAGAAATTAGCTCATCAATTTCGATGCAAGAGAAATGAAATTCGCGAAGTCTGGTTTCTAGACATCTTAATGCACCCTCCACTGGAACATTGGTGAATAATGATTTTACATCAAAAGAAACCATGAGTAAATTACTAGGAGGAATGTTTTTAACCTTTTTTACTAACTCTATTGAATTTACTCTGTTTGAAGGTAATAAAGATGATTTAAATAAAGTTCTTTCAACAATGAATTCTATTGATCCTGCTATTGAGTTCACTTTTGAACTTGAGACATGCAATTCTCTTCCGTTTCTCGACATTCTGGTCACACGTAACACATCCAACTTCAGTAGAACGGTTTACCGTAAACCTTCATCGGTTTGCCTTCCACCACACTTTAAATCATGTCATCCGACTAAACAAAAGTTAGCTTCAATTTTATTCCTATCTTTTCCGTGCTTCTTCAAGTTTGCTCCTCCAAACTAGCCCTTGATGAAGAACTAAATTATTTAAAAGCAATAGCTATTGACAGGGGCTTTTCACCCCCAACATTATTAATCAAGCAGTTGAAAAAATTCTCATCCCAACACACTACGAAAAGGCACACTCTTTGTTTAGAGGAGCTTATAAAAATTCTGTTGTCATTCCCTTCTTTCCATCAATTAACTATAAAGTTGCACATATTTTGCAGAAATTTAACTTTCGGGTTGTTTATTCTCCCATCAATAAAATTCCGAGTTCCATACTTAAGGACCCCATTCCGGATATGAATTCCTGGGGTATTTATAGGATTCCTTGCCAGTGTGGTTTAATTTACATTGGCCAAACTAAGAGAGCCTTAAAATTTCACGTCAAGGAACATGAGGCATATGTTAGGAAAAAAGAAACACAGAAGTCTTCTGTTGCTCAACATTGTTGGTCCGAAAATCACACTTTCAATTTTTCTGCTGCCAAAATTATTCAAAAAACATCTTCCATTGGAGAACTGGATTTTCTAGAGGCATTTCTCATTCATAAAAATCTTTCTGTTCTAGTTAACGATCCTAATTCCAATCCAAATTTGCCTTCGGCCTTTAAAAGAAATTATACTTTAGTTCTGGTTTCACCAACAGATGGCGCCACTTGCTTATTCTTGTCCAGGTTTTCTTATCTTATGTAATCATTATTTACTATCTTGTTCATTTTCGGTTTTGCAGCTGAGGATGGTGGTTTGGTAAAACCATCGAAACTAGTCCTGTGAAAATTTTGTAAATATAACGCTGATTTTTGTTGTTTGACTTCTGAATTAGTATTTATTCGGCGTGTTATTGTGTTTTAATGCAAATATAAATTAATATATGGGATAAAAAGGGGATATTTGCGATGAAATTGCAAAAGTATGACTGAATTGAAAAAACATCATGCTGCATCAAGCCATGGATCTTATTAACGAGACATAGGTTGATATTCTTAAGACCTCGTAGTCACAATTAGCATCATTGCTGCAGAATTACATATTGTAGAGCATCTTGATGCTTATAATTTTGTTGTCATTGTAATATAGTTGGTGATCATTCATTTGAACAATAATTCTTGTAAATATGTGCGATTAAAATGACTTCTTGTATACATTGTGTGAGTGTATTAGATAACGTACAAGGTGCTTTTTTTGTCAATCATCTTTGTGTAGTTGGCTTGTCAATCATTTTTGTGTTTACTTTACTGAACATTGCAAACAGTCTTAACTAAGATAATGTACCAAAGAACAAATGTGGAAGCTACTGAAGCAACAAGTACCAATGTAAGTTGCAAAATTTTACGGGACTAGTTTTGAAGGTTTAAATAGAACTTTCTTCTTCAGTTGCATGAGTGAAGATTCTTTTCAAACCTTCACAACTAGTTCTGCAAATATATGTAACTTATGCTGATTCTTGTTATTTCAGTGTTTCCAGCATTATTTATTAGCTGGTATTTAACTAGGAAAACAATCTATTATATAAAAAATATGATGTGCTGTCATTTCACATTTTATTTTTTACAAGCACTGAAATAACAGAAAAATAGCTAACTTTTTATTGTGCTTTTTCTATTTTCAGGTATTTTGTTGCATTATGAAGATGCAACTTTGAAGGATCTCTACTTCCTTGACCCACAGTGGTTGTGTGACATGCTGGCTCATGTGGTTACAATTAGAGAAATTAATCCATTTGCCAGGAATGGTAAGAAACTATAACAGACAACTTAATTGATATGTTTGTAAACTAGTGTATATTTTTGCAAAGAGTATGTTCATTACTTTTTAGTGTCCAGTTAAATGTCCAAATTATTATAGATAATAATCATATATTTTCAGAGATGAAATTGTTATTGTATAATAACTAAATTATTTTTAAAAATGTATGATTTTATTTATGATTTTTGTACACATATTTTTATAAATTTCTGGTTATTTTTAATGTCAGTTAATTCTTGGTAAATAATTGAAATATTATTATAATTTTTTTGATAACACATCAATAACTTTTAAAAATATTTTCAGGCATTATGAAAATTGAAGACCTGAAACATGTTTTTAAATCATCTCAGTTTGCACCTTCTGATGCACAGACTTATATTTTGAACTTGCTGAATAAATTTGAAGTTGCCCTAACATGGGATAACCGTACTATTATTATTCCTTCTCTTTTACCTTCTGAAGAACAACTGAGAGCTGGGTTTCCTGGCTGTGATGTTAGGGTAATTTATCTTTCTTATCTTTCTCTTCAGCTTGAAACAATTAGAATAAAGCTAAGTATGAAACATTTTAGGTTAAATTATATTTTTAGCTTATTTCATGTGAATTGTGGCAACAGTTAATGTGAGAAGCTTTGTAATATTTTTATGTATGTTAATAGGTTTTAGTACTTGTCTTGAATGTAAAAGCCATATAAATATGTAAATATGATAAAGAAAATTACAAAACAAAATTGTGGTAACAATTAATGAAAGTTGGTTATAAAGAATAAAAGTAGTTTCTTATATTATATGTACATAAATATGTAAAATATATTTTACATATAAATCGATGTGCAAAACTATTTTTATGGAAAATTTTTTTATTTCAATGACAAATACCTTTGTGACAGTAAGTAATAAAACCAAGCAAATTTTTATCAGGTGTGTAATATAGTATTAGAAACATCTTTCATTAATTAAATAATTTTGCAAATGTTTATAAAAATTATCATTTGGACATATTCTCTGCTAAATTTATGGAAATTATATAAATTATTTAAATTCAAAAATAAAGATTCAAATTTTAAAAAAATATTCAGAAGTGTTTATTGCTTTTAAATCGAGTTTATAAAGCATTTAGAAACAAAGTAAAATTTAATTAATTTGAAAGATGAGGTAAAGATTTTATGTTTCGCCAAGTAACAGTATTACAAGAACTGGTTGCACATTATTCCATGTGACTTACCCCATTACCAATTAAGATCTCAGGTTTTGCATGTGGCAATCCATGTTAAGAATGAATCATATATATGTTAAAGAGAATTAATTATATTTATATATGGTAACATATTATAAGAAATGTGACAACTGAAACATTTTAGAAAAGCTTTGCTGACGATACTTCTGATGTCAATGAAACCAGTTTCTCAGCATAATAATCACTCATAAGATTAAAAAATCTGAACATAACATGACTTATAGGCTATTAAATTATACACATTTTTTGCTGCATTTCATTTAAACTTATTTCCTCAAATTTCATTAGAGATACATTTCTCATTCAATTAATTAAGTTCTCATTTCACAGCAAAGCAAAAATACACACAAAGCAAAGCAAAACACACAGCAAAGCAAAACATCTTCATTAAAAATCGTAAAATACAGAAAAACATAAAACACCAAATACAGTTAAAACAGTTTAATTTTTTTTTTTTTTTTTTTTTTTTTTTTTTTTTTTTTTTTTTTTTTTTACTATTTAAATTAGAGTTTCTGTGCAAAAACAAGCAGTTCAGCCAGTGGGCAAGATGGCAGATTTTTCCATGCACAAAACTGAAAGTTTGCTTTTGGTCTCCAGTCGGAAAATAACATTTAAGGTGCAGAAGCTGACTTAATTAACTATTCTACTGAGTTTCAAATGTAAACAAATGGCATTTCATTAGGCATAACTCGCCACTTTAAGTTTTAAGTTGTTGATAATTCTGCAACTATTGCATGCAGATTAACTAAAAGCATAAAAACCCTAATTGGAACCCAAAACTCTCTAACAAACAAGAAACAATACGGATCACAAATTTGCTTCAGCAGTACGTTCAGTTATACAACGGTCTGTAACAAATGAAAAGAGACACTGAGCTTAACTGATTCAGAGTTCAGTGCGGCCTTGAATTTATTTCATACCAAAGGGGAGAGGATTCAATTCTTAAGGCTTTGAAAATGCATTTTCTGGAATTCCTGAAATTCGCCAAACTGATGACAAAATTGTCACCAAGGCCTGGAAGAGTAAGGTTTTCTCTGATACACCTAGTTCTGCTTGAATTATTCTCACAATTATGATGTTCTGCAATGTAATAGCTTTGCAATATAACACATATGTTAAATGTATTGTGCAAAATAAGCAGCCCAAAACCGAAATAAAATACATGGTATATGAGCATAAAATTTCTGCATAAAATGCATTAATTAAAAAAAAATTTTTTTTTAAATCTGAAAGCTTTCAGATTTTAATTTATGCCCAAAGGGGCTTTTTTTTAACATTTTGTGCATTACCTTTATTTATCAAATATCACGTTTTCTTGCTTAAACCATAAAATCCAGTTCAACAGCAATATTGCAAAGTAATTTTAAAATGAGCGTGTCTTTAGAATTTCTGATACATAGTCTCGCACCCTGGAGATAAAAATGTTTTATTCTCCATAGAGTGTTGCCATTGCTCTCTTTTAAATCGCTGAGTTTGTAAATAACAAAATTGTTAAAGTTTTACAAAGTATGAAATAGATAATAAAAGAAAATCAAAATTAGAAATTAGGGCTTCCAGATGCCCATATTCGGGTGGAAACATCCGTTATTCAAAATTTGATGCTTCTAAGTACCATTGTTTTATCACAGTGCGAGACACATACATGCATTTATGCAGATTCTTCATTATTTAATTTCTTTAAATGTAACACTGGGCTCTAATATTTGGTGGTAACTATTTGAAAAGTGAACTGACATTTTCAACATAAATGCCACAACGAAATTGATAGTCCTTCTGAGCAAATTGCCCCTTTGGACTAATAAAACAATGCATATTAATCATATAAAAATGTAGTTTTGCATGTAATTTATATCTTTGTGATATTTCTTTTGGTTATCATTGTTATCATTGCTGTCTGTTTAAGCCTAATGGTCTTTTGGGGATGATAATCAATACTTTTAAGTTTACTGATTGATATCTGGCTACTATATGTGAAGTTTCATTACCATGGCTTCTATAGTATCTTGAAAATTTATAACAGGAATCAATACAAAAATTCTGCTTGACTGTTTATTTCTGTTATAGGTTGATGATCTTAATGCTGAACAATATGGATGCTAAGCATTCCTGGAAACTTTTTCTGTGTGGATTGATTGTTTTGAATATATGCATTATATTGTTTAGGAGATTTTTTTTTATTCTACTTAAGGTATGTCTTTAACCAAATGACTTTTTGAGTTACATATGTTTTGTTTCTGTTTAGGTTCCTGTTAGATCCAGAGTATGGGCTATGCGTAAAAGCTATGGAAATAGGCATTCTGTTGGCAGTACACCACTTACATTAAAACTGACAACTACTGAAAGGCGCCCCCAGAGACCCGTGAGCGAGGTTCCTCTAACAGCAGATAGTATAAGTGCTCCCAAAGTAGCCGATCCATTGGAGAAGGATTCCGAAAATTCTCCTGGCATAACATGCTATGTTCGACACAAAACACAGATTGAAAATGTTATACGTCGTCTTTTGCTGATGTCATATTTTCCCAGTGGATTCTGGTCTCGCTTGATGACCAGAATGTTGGCAGATGATATCGTGGTTGAAATAATTCGATCATATTTTCTTCTTCCAAAAGATACAGACATGGATCCACTACTCGCAGCTGTGTTTAATCGCCGTGCCGAGTGGATATGTTGGCAGACTGGCATGGAATTAAGATATCTGGACACAACTTTGTTTCGTATGAAAGAACACTTGAGTCACTTGAATAATGCACCTTTTGAATATCGACAGATGAAGTTTTTTGTGCAACAAGAGGGTGCTTGGAGTGATATCGAGATTATTAACTCTGCTATCTTAGAAATTATTTTGCCAAATCAGGCTGTTGTTATTCAGATACCAAAAGTTGATGCTGAAGGCATCATTGTTGCATATGATAATGTTGAACTCCAGCCCAATTCTGAATGTGTTGCAAAGCTTCTTTCTGTGTCAGTTGATCATATTGATACCCTACTGGAAGACTGGTACCCAACATTGGGGACTAGATTTGTACATACATCAGAAGGTAAGTTTTATTTTTGCCATTTTTTTATTTTACATCTGAATTTTGTTAAATTTTAGAATTCATTTCATTCAACTCTCCCTTTTTGCTTCGATCATTCGAAGAAAATTGTTTTTGTGTTAATAAATTATTAATATTTTTTATATTCATCATTTTTAAATAAACACTGTTTTTCAGAAGCTTTTACCATTATGCAATTAATTGCATTAATTATTAAATAATAAATGCATATAAAGCTACATAAAAAAATCATAACTTTTATCTCCTTCTGTATATGCTTTGGCTTAATAGTAAAAAATGATGTTTCATGTGTGGTTATTCCTTTTTCTCAGTAGGCATGTGAAGTTGACGATGACACTTTAGATTAGTTGATAATTCAGGATGACCTTTTGATGTGATTGGTAAAATCTTCAGTTCTCTCTGCTGATTTTAGCAGTGATTCTTTAGATCAGGAACTGTTGTGGTTTATTCATGTAAGCATATTTAATATAACCCCATAAAAAGAAAATGTGTTGTCACAAGACCTGCCATTACCAGACCTTGTATGAAGTGAAATCATGCATCCAAAGAACTCCTCATGAGTTTAGGTAATTGCATCTTGGGGTGTATGGCAGGGAGCCGTGTTCTGCTAAAAACCACATGTCTGCATTATCTGAGCAGACCACAAAAATTTGTGATCCTATTCTAATAACAATCACTGTGTATCGTAATTTTATTTTCAAGAATGTCTTCAAAAAGGAAGAAATTGATTCCACTCCTTATTCCAAAACCACACCAAAGAGTGGTTTGGGGGGATGCATTTGGTGCTCTTTTGATCATCCTAGAATATTATTTACTCCAAATAAGGCAGTTTTGTCTCTTGGCAAATGCAGACAGATGAAAATATACCTTTTCACTGAAAATTATTCTTTTTGATAAAAATATTGCCCTCTTCTTGTTTTGTTAAAATCCATTCAGACATTTTTTTTTTTTTTTTCATTTTTGATGATATGTTGCTTTGATTTATTGTGCCAAATGAATCTTGTATGGGTATATATGAAGTCAGAGCTAGTATTCATATTGTGCCACACCACTGCAATAGTTTGTTCCATTTGATTCTTATGATTTTGTCTGAGCAATTTTATAATTGCGACTGATCTATTCTCAAATTCTTTTATCAAATGAATAACTATCATTTCAATGGGTTAATATTTATATGTACGAACCATAATTGAATAATTTCCATTTTTGTAATAAGTTTTCATGATTACAATACATTGTTCTTTAGCCATTGTTCAGATGATAGTTTTATCATTATAAAGCTTTGTGGCTTAAGGCATAAAGAATCAGTTAGATTAGAGTTGAAGCTGTAGCCAATTATCTAAAGGAAAGTTGTGCATATTTAAATCTGTAACTGACTCAACAAAACCATTTACCAATATTTGTTTCTCAATATTTGCTGATTCAATATTTGCTGATTGGTTGTTCTTATACTAATTTGGCAAAAAAATTGAAAAATTAGAATTCTTAAGCCAATTTTTGTGACTCTGGCTACTTAGCAACAAAGCTGAGCTTATTATTTTAAAACCACCACATGATTGAAGGTTTTGTGAGCCATTCCGTGGCACTTAATGAAAAACGGCAAATGCTAATTAATCAGTTTGATGGTAGACAATGAAATTGATAAAAACAGTACTAACAATCCCCCCCCCCAAAAAAAAATTATGCTATTCAAAATCTGCTTGCTTAATGAAATATATTGTAGGCTTAGACCTACTGAATTTTTTTAATTATATTTCTAAATTTTCTGTGTTATTCATAAAAGAGTGTGCTGCATTCTATTATGTATTTTTCATATTTTTCTACATTCTGGTGTATTAATATGAAAAATAATAATTAGCATTACCTTACATCTTAGAGAAAACATTGTTAAATTTTGTTATCCTGCAATCTTTACTACTACGACTTTTAATCAAAAAATTCATTAAAGAAAGGCAATATTACTAAGTATGTATGCAGTAAAATATCTGTGTACATGCTGAATATGTACATTTATGCAAAACTGCAAATGAACTAATTTTAATTATAATCTATCGCCAATCTGCTAATTCCTTATTAAATGTTTCAATACCTTTAAGTAATTATGCAGCCATATCAAGCTCTTGGACTTATGAGGTTAGGTTATTTAATTACGGCAAAGCCTCGAGGGCTATCTGCCTAAGGGAAGGGATGCCTTCGTGGAAGACTTTCTAAGGGAAACTGGCTCGTATACATGTTACACATGGGGAAAACCATGAAAACACCCATGCAGCCAGCCCATTTACGTGATTTAAACCTCCTTGGACTTATGAAATGGTATAATTTGTGAACTGCGAACATGTGTGCAAAATGTATTATATGTTGTATGTATAATAAAAATAATATTTTGATTACATTTTATTTTTCAAAAGAGTAAAGTTATGGCTTAATGTTTGGCTGCTAATTATAGTATTTATTTCATAGATAATTGATTTTTATGAATGTTATCACTTTTAATTAACTGTTTCTGGGATAAATTTTAAAGACCGATAGTGCCAAGGATGTTTTTTTTTCACTTGCCATTTAAATTAAAGCACTTATTAGACTAAGATATGCTTACTTTGGTGCATTTAGATTTTTCCAGTGTCAAAATCAACAAAATCAGATATAAAAGTAGACAATCACTTATTTAATCACTTATTTGTACAGTCTGTCCACTAGTTGTACTGCTCTAAATATTCTGGTAGTTCGACCCAGGTTTAAATATTGGTAAAGGGGATGTCTGAATGAGTATTCTTGGTTTTCCCCAAGCAACGTAGACAATGTGAATACGACTAAGTTTCTGTTAGAAAGTCGTCTGTGAAGATGTCACTTCCCTTAGATATATGTTGCCCTTGTGTGTTTTATTATAAACCAAATAACCAACCATTTACACTATGTACAAATATTGTCAACTAATAACACCATAAATTGACATCAAAGACATGTTTTTAAGTACTTTTTAACTTTCATTTTTGAAATGTTTTTCTTTGCCAAAATGATGATTATATATTTTAATTGGGAAGAATGACATAAAAAGAATCTCTTCCTTTAAAATTCACACAAAAAAGTGGTTGATTTTTCACATTAGGTACTCCTATTGAAATTGTTCTGAGTTAATTAATGCATATTAAAATAAGTATTCTGTACAGATTCTTTTAATCAAAATACTGTCCTGGAACAAAAATTATAATAAGTACATGCATGCTTATTTTATATATTTTAAATATTTGTTTATTTAATTTATATTTAAAGGGGAATGAATTTGTCAACTGTCAATGTAAAATTTACAAATAATTGGAGTTTAATGTAAACATTTTTATTGCAAAATATATAATTCGAATTTCTTTGTTATATAAACAAATCATAACTCTGTAAACTGTTAGATTGGCTTTGGATTTTTTAAATTTATATATAACATGTTTTGAATATAACTGGGACACCTGTTTATTTGTCAAAAATGCTTTTGATATGAAACAACTGAAATATAAACTTAATTTTAAAATAAGTGTGTTTTATATTCTTTATCTCGCATTACATTTTGTCATTTTATTGTTACATGTAAACTTTAGAAAAGAGTCATTTTCATTGCTGTTTGCTTATAACTAACATTTAAACATGTTTTAAAAAATATTCAGTATTTTTAAATTCAGCATTCTTGTACTATCAGAAATGTTTAATTATTTTGCATGTTTAATAGAAAATAGCTTGTAAATAAATGTCACAATCTTTCAGGAAAATTTTTAGTCACTCGCATAGTTCCTTGCACCCAGTGTATCGTCGCTCATGTGAAAGAAGAGACAGGTTCCTCCGACAAAGGACACTTTTCTGTTACCGACCATGCATGGGAACCTGGCCCTTGGCACGGTGATCCACCTTGGAAAAGTGGAGCTGAATCTTATGCTTCAAGAAATTTATCAACAGGCAGTAGTAAATTATCATATTCTCCGAACCTTGCTCAAAAAAACAGAGGCTCTCGGAGTAGCACAATGTCTCATGATAGTGACAGTGGTGTAGGCCCTGATAGCAACAGTTCTAGGTAACTATTTAAAATTTGTTTATTTCAGAAATGTCTGATAGTGAGTTGATGGATGTAATATTAACTTTCAGAATGTCAATTTATGTGTAATCAAAGAGTTACTGAACATACAGAGAATAACTGCATACTCCCTTGCATGCTGTTGTATAAGTAGTATACCATGTACAATTAACTATTCAAAGAATCGTAGCTCAAATTTAAACAAAGGAATATCTGAGTTTTCATGTTTTCTGCACTGGGAAAGGGCTGAATAGTTTTGCAAACTTAGTTTAAAAATGATAATAAATTACTTTTAATCCAAGTGGGCTATTAGTCTTGAAACAGGATCTTGCATTGAATCACTATAAAAGGCATATCATTTTCAAATTGTTGTCAACAAATATTATCGCCTTGTATTATTTTGAAAGAAATTAAATAATGAAGAATCTGCATGAGTGTATAAGTTTTCCGCAGTGTGCAAAAATTTGCGGTACTTAGAGCCATCAAATTTTGAGTAACATAGCCCTCTATCCAAACATGTGTGCCTAGAAGCCTAAATTTTGAATTTCGGATTGGTTTTTATTATGTTTTACATATTTTTAAAAACTTTCATGAATTTTTGATTAACAAACTTGACGATTTCAAAGCGGGCAGTGGCAGCACTGTAAGCAATAAAACATTTTTATCTCCAGCTCATGAGACTGTCTATCGAAAATTCTAAAAATATGCTGTTTTTAAATATCTGATGATTGTACTGTTGAATTGAATTTTATGTGGCTTAAGAGAGCAAAGATCGGGACATTTAATAGATAATGTTAACACATAAAACGTTAATAATAAAAAGACAACAAACATGTTTTCTAACCATCTTATGATGAACATCAAACATCTTATGATTTGATCTTATATTATTTCTAACGTCTTATGATGAATATCAGTGTTCATCATCTTATGAATACTGATAGGATAAACTAAGAAAGGAATGAAAAAAATATAACAATTTATGCCAACATTTAACACTGCATCAGGAATTCTAAATTTGGTTAAATTAAATGAAAATTTTGGGTATTTGCTGTTGAAATGTATATGACATCAGTGCGAAGAAAATGATGCTTAATAATGAAGCTAAAAAGCAAAACAAATGGGTTAGCAGACTAAGATCGCAAGCTCAGCAAGAGCTTAAAAAAAATTAACAAACCTTTTTGGGTGATTGTTAAAATCTGAAATCTTTCAGATTTTTTATATCCTATATTTTTTTCCCATGCCTGAGCTATCATGTTAAGAAATATTGGAGTTATACTGGATCTTTAAGAGTATCTGAATATCACGTATAAAGAAAAAAATGTGATTTATCAAAAAAGAATGTGAAAAAATTTAAAAATTAAAAAAAGCTACATATCAGAAAGCTATATATATAAAAAAGCAATATACAGTACAAAGTCTTTAATCCGGACTCGTCGGGACTTCGGTGATTCTGAATTAGGGGTTTTTCTGGATTATAGATCATTAATTTAAATCTGGTAAGATGGCATGCAGAAATTATAAAATTAAAATATGAAACCGTAATTTATGAAATAAGGAGCAATTATGATCTAAAGGGTATCAAAATTTACAAAAAAAAAAGGCTTAATATTTATTTATTTACTTTATTAAACATTTCTTTCAATGTAAGTTGTTTTCAATGTAAGTTATTTCAATGTAAATTGTTTATGTTGTTTCAGTGTAAGTCGTTTTATGTGCTAATACTTTATTTTTAATTCTATAAACAGACATAATTTCTTGTTCGGTTACAAAGTTCCGCTGTTCAAGTCCTGTAATTGCTGTGCTGAGAATACCGACTAACTTGTCAATCGAAATTTTTTCGTTTTCACTAACCTCTCTGTCACTTTATTCTTGCTTTTATCCATTTTCTGCAGCAATTCCATTTTCTGTTTGATGGACATCGAAACATCCTTTCGCTTTGAAAATCCTTTGGAAACTCTTTTTGACATAATCGAAAGTTCAAGCTTACTTTTTATAAAATTGCTCTAACAGTCTGCAAAAAATAATAAGCCGGATCCAATTAGAAGATTAAGGAAGAACGCAATCTGCAACATTAATTGAAATAGATAATTAAATAATTTTAGCCTAGCTTATACTGTCCATTATGCATTAAATGCGCATGCGTAAAGGTATTATGCGCATGCATAAACGCTACGTATGCGCAGAAAGTTTGCAGCTTTGAGATCCGGATTATAGATCATTCCGGATTATGGGCGTCCAGATTAAAGACTTTGTACTGTATAAGAAAAGAATGTGGTATATTTGACTAAACAAAAAAATTTAGTCACATGAAGCACATCCTTTTATAGCTTTAACTTTCCGACACTAAAAGGGTGCATGATGGAAAGGATTATGATTTGGTTCTTAAAAATATTTTTTTTATTTAACGAAATTCCACTTTTGTTCATATTATTATAATTGAATGGACCACTATTAAGTAATGAGTTGGGCAGTTTTGTTGTAGTAATAAAATTAAAATTCAAGGAACAAATTTTTAAAATGTTAAGCATCTGACATACTTTTTAATATTTTAGTAAAAATTCAAAGTGCATAAATTATTGTATGGTATTTAGCTTAACTTTAAAGAATGTAGGTTAATATATTTTTAAGTTAACAGGCTTTCTGGCAAATACACAATAGTAACAAAATCTAATATAGTGAAATAATTATTTAAGACATTTAGTGTTAATAATAAGGAAAAATTTTCAATATTGTATTATATTTATGCTCATTTCAAAATAACATCAGTCTGTTTCAGGAAAGTTTTTTTTTTTTTTTCCCTAAAACATGCTAGATTTCATGCTGCTATATCAAAATTCAATATTTTTCTTAATGAGAAATTTATTATATTTCTTTAAAATGTTGCTGAAGAGTTTATATGTAATAAGCTGTATAACTTGTGTCCAGGTATAAATTTAAAAGGTAGGTATTATAAAAAATGATTTTTAAAAGATCACATAATAAACTTAGTAAGCATAATTCACATTGCAAAATTAAAATAAAAACTTTAGCAGTAATATTTTCTGTAAATTTATATGAAGAAATGGCTACTTACATATTATCCAGTTGACTGAAAGTTGGCTAATATCAAACCAGGAAAGTTGGAGGAGATTCTACCAAAGTCAGACCAATCATTCCTGCAGAATTCTTAAGGCATTGATGCATCTTTATTTAATAAGTAATCGCTATTTGAGCCATTTTGTTATTTCTAATATTTTGTTATACTTCCAGTTTTACCAAAATTTATGTTCAGAACTTTATGAGTACAAACATCCCACAGATCGTTGTTTCAAAAACGGTACTGTTTTATCAACCATATTCAGCTGACCATATTGTGTCCATTAATACACACTTGTTTTGATTGCAGGAATCCGTAACTTTGGATATCATCCACTATTTTGTAAAAACCAGATTTCAAACTGATTTTTATTATTTTCAAAATGCATAAAAAAATACAGCATAACTCATTTATACCCTTGTTCATAAAAATAAGAAGTGGGATATCAAGAATCAAACAAAACTGTAGATGTTAAGCATGTGTTGCTGAGTCGCACTTATTCATAAAAGCACTAAATCGTTCTGCTTGGAAATCATTTCATAGTTGACAGAATAATATGTAAGTATCTAAAACTGCACTTGCTATTAAAAAAAACATTGGATTTTTTAAGAATGAAATATTACCTTTAAATTTATGCAACTCATTCCATTATCAGTAAAGTAACAAAGTACTTTTGTTGTATTAAAAAATACTTAATTTTTTTTTTTATATATATAGTAAGCCTAGGTAATTGAATTATGGTTCTCCTCTTTTTATGCTTTTTACATCTTAAGAAAATATTATAGAACTGGCATTTTCCTTTAGCAGATTTATTTTGAAAAATACTACTTTGTAGATATATATTTTTATGAATTATCAATTAATATATTGTGATATCTAAAACATTGCTTTATTTTTTTATATTGTTATAGTCGCAAACCTTCCACGGAAAGTCGGCCTGAGGGCGAGTTAACTTCTAGTGTAGAGAATAATTTGTGTATTGAAACCTTACCAGAAACTGTGATCTATAGCTTCATGGTTGAAGAATGTATCTTAACTGCTTATGAGCAAAGATCTCTTCAGTGTCCTTTGCATGGAAATCAGTCTTTGTTACAAATTGCTCCAGATACAGTAAGAATAGTTTCGTTACTGAATTAATAAGTATTACATAATAATTCAGGTTGCTGTATCATGAAGTACTTTTAATATAATTGGAAATAAATTTTAATTATAATTACTTCTGTATACATTATTAAGATATGCATTTAAAAAGTATTATTGAAAAATGACTTTTATCATATCTGTGTTTTTCTGTGTTGTTAACATGTTCTGTATAATTTTTCATTATTATAATTTTCTTATTTTACACTAAAAATAATAAAATAAAAATTAGCAGTTTCATTTAAGAGTATTTTGTTAATTTTCTTTTGAAAAAAAATATTTTAATTTTAATAGTTTTTTTTTTTAGTGAACTTGTTTCTATATATTTTATAAATTCTGTTCTTGATTTTAATTATTTTTGTTCAAATAGTTAACTGTAACAGTAATTAATACAATGTTGTTAAATTACAGGTATTTGTTGATCTTGGAGAACGCTATTTAATCCCTCCTGATTCGGTTCGAAGAGGGAAAATGCTCGGCCGTGGAGCATTTGGTTTTGTTTTCAAAGCAAATGTTAAACAAAGGGTAAGCATTCAAAAATAAATCTAATATTCTAAAAAAATAGAAATCATTTTTAATACTGCTCAGTATTTTAGTTTGAATAAGGTTTTGAAGTGTATTGTTCATTAATTGAACTTAAATACCAGAAAAATAGGTTAACATTTTAATGTGAATTTATATGGCAAATTTTTTTCAAATTTTTTATCTCAGAGAAAATATTTTTATACTCAATAGTGTATTGAAAAATAATTAGAGGCCTCTTCAGAGAGCTGCTTTTTCCCAAACTTTATTTTAAACATAAAATCTTGTATTTTAAGCATGGAATTCTTATATGTGTTAAGTAATGTGTATTTAGCTTTATTTTATTATATCTACAAATGTAAAATATCAGAATTTATTTGTGATATGTGTATACTGATACATATCAGTATGCCTACTCAAATCATAAAATTGCATCTCGTAAATATCTTAGCACTGTCACGTTAATATTTATTTTACTAAATTTTTTATTCTGCACTTTATTACTTGTTTTTACCTTGAGGAAAATAAGGGTCTGTGTGTAAATTTTATGCTGAAAAGTATCGGAATTCTAGTGTTTAAACATATTAGTTACCTAGAAAGACAGATAATATTTTGGAGTAAAAAAGTTTGATATAAATGTTTAATGACAGGATTGATTTTATTTATAAACATATAAGAGAGAGAAAGATTGGTTAAATCAAATTTTGCTGAAATTTTACATTTGCGAAGAGATCGAAAAGCTATGCATATTAAGTTATTATTAGGTGAGGAGTTGTTAGACATGCTGAGAATATCATAATCCAAATTATTTGACAGCTAATAAACTTTCCAAAGATATCAGAAGATAGTATACTAATATACCATCTGATCAAATGACCCTGCATATCAGTTTGTTGTAGCAGTTTCTACAATGAGAATTTTATTAGAAAAATTATCAGGTGAAACTGAATGAACAATCTCAAATTACCCCTCAGAATCCTGAAACGAAAATCTTATCTGGCCATAATGAAATTCTCCATTAAAATGAAAATAATTCATCATGTAAAACTATTCTAAATTCATCATGTATCTATTATGGAGAAGTTTTGTGGATTCAGCATACTGGGATGTGTTCTAAGCAAGATACTACCATCAAGATGTGCTTAACTTATTTTAAGCGAAGCTATAACACTTATAACACATGCTATTAACTTTTTGGACTTGGGGCCTTTATCTCACAGCGCGCCAGCAACTCGAGACGCTTCACAGTCTTTTTGGTGCATTTCTTACCAGTAACTCAACTAGTCATTACACACGTAAATTAATGCATAAAATTTTTCTATTTTATCATTTTATATATCTTTACACCTTTATAAACATAATTTCTTAAATATTAGTCTCTGTAATTTTTCTGTGTGTGATATTTCGTGTAACAATTCCCAAGATGCATGCCCGGCTTGTCAGGGTAAGTATTACAATAATATATCATTTGATGCCTTTTTATGGGTCATTTCTCTGAGAACAGACTTTGTGATAGATAAAAAAAGATAAGATTTCAGATAAGAAAATCTTATCTCTATTTAAAGGGATGTCATTTTACACTTCATAAGATTATACAAAAAGAGCGTAGGAACCCGCTTCGAAGAAACTAAACGTAAACAGTTATTGCTGCGCATTGAGTTTCCGCATCAAATCAGGTGGTGAGTGAGAGTAACCTCTCGAGTTGCGGCGTCAAATCATATAATGAGTAAGAGTCGCCTCTCGAGTTACGGCGTCAAATCACATGGTGAGTGAGAGTCACCTGTCGAGTGCAAAGGGTTAAAGCAGTGATCTCAAATTAACAACTCTCACCACAATTTTATGAGGCCTAAGAATGCATTTCAGTTATGTATTTGTTACAACTACAATGTTGCAAAGTTTTAAGATAGTTCAGTAATAGTTGTCCTGCTTGCTTTATTGTTGAAGGGAATTAATCTTAACTGTTATGTTAATTTAGGATTATTTTTTATTTTTATTTTTATTTAGGGTTGTAACACTTACACGGAAGTAGCTATGAAAATGCTTCAACCAGTAGATCCTGGTTTTGGTGCCAAACAGTCTGATACTGCTGCTTTTAAAGTATGTATCCTTTATTTCTTAGTACATATTATTATTTTTTGGTCATTCACTTCTGTTATTTATAAATTGTGTCCTCAATATGCTCATTTTTTTTTCAAGTATTGTTACTAATAATTCCTGCCTGAAACTAATGCCTGAAACTTTTTTTCAGGCATTAGTTTTTTTCAAGCAAAATTTTATTTCAGACATTAACAAAATAAATATTTCATTTAATATTTCAGGCAGCTTGGAATAAATGGCAGAGGGATCCTTTACAGTATGCCTGTAAAGCGTATTGTACAGCAAGACAAGAATTAAATATTTTACTCTCTCTACGCCATCAGAATATAGTGCCTTTAGTTGGGGTATGCACAAGACCTCTTGCCCTTGTTCTTCAGTTGGCACCAATGGGAGCTTTAGATTCAATTCTAAAAAATTACAGGAGATCTGGTGCCAAGCTGGATGTATATGTGATGCAAAAGATAATCTTTCAGGTAAAGTGGTTTTAATTTTGTATGTAGTAATACCCCAAAATAACACACTAATGAATATGACAAAAAGTAAATATATATTGATATGCAAAGTCCATATTTTATACTCAGTAAAATTTTATATTTTATTGAGTATTCATATATGCAGAACCATTCATATAGCATTCATATATGCAGAACCTAATTTTGCATATGAATGTTAGTTAAATAGGACCAAGGCATAAAAAAATGTGTTTAGAAGAAAAATATATATAAAGGATGTAGTTTTCATGCATATCAATTCAAAATAATTTTAAAATAAATGTTAACATGAAACAAAGTTATTTCGATGCCAGTGGCTTCACAAAGTTTAACAGATTTGTCAAGTGGTTTGTTGACTTTTTTTAATCACATAAAGTTTCTTCATAACCAACTCATAATCATTTTATTTTTTTCCTAGTAGCTGAAACCTGTTATTTATTTATGCTTACGTTCATCAAAATCTATAAACCTCTTTCAACTAAGCCAAGATCTCTTACCAGGCTTACAGTTGTCATGCAATTTTCTAGTGGAATTTGGATTTGGGATGATGGTTTCGTCAGCAGTGTCTATAAGCTTGCCAACTGTCAGCTTTTTATTCTATCAGACCATCAACTTGCTGGTGTTTTTATCTACTTCCAAATCTAATTAGCTGGCTAGATTGGCAATTTCGTGTGTTAAATGAGTGCCTGTGCTATTTTCATGTGTTATTTTCATCTTGTTTTGGGGAAAGATTTTCTTCTGAACATTGTTCAAGGTGTCTTTGGGAAATTTCATTCCAAGATTTTCTAGTGATATTTTTATAGCATCTAAAATTCTAAATTGTCTCTAAAAATCTTTAACCGACAGCTGATTGATTTGCCTCAGAGTCACTCAGATGAGCAAACAATCACTGCGTGTAATAAGCCTTGAATGTTTCGATAAGTCCTTGGTCCCTTAAAGCTGGAAATAGAAATAAAGACTTGCATATCTTTGAGTGTACACAGTACATCAATTACTGTACATGGTTATTATTTGCATGATGATCTTCATTTTAAACTGTTGATTATCATTGTGAGTTTGTTTTTTTTTTTTTTTAATACAAATGAGTTGGGTTGTTAATGAGAAGAAAATGACTTTTTCAAGAGTTGTTACAGCCTGTTCTGTATATATTTAAAACCATGCTGAATTTGTATTTTTTTTTCAAAGTAATCTATATTATTCTCTTATTTTCTTGAATTATTTTTGCATTTTATTAAAAATCCAAGAGAGAATGTAAAATTTCTTTCTTTTCAGAATCTGAAACCTTAAAAGCAATTTTATATTACAAAATATTTATAACTTTCTGTCAGTTGTTTTAAGAGAAGCTGTGTTAAAATTTTGTATTTTAAAATTTTTAAATATTAGAAAACATTACTGTTTCAATGCGTTTTTACAGCAAAGTGCTCTATCATGAAATTAAATATATAGATATAAATATTAATATTTGATTTGCACTTACATTTGTATATCAGCATTAAACTAGTTTAAGTGTTATTATAACTGAAGTTTTAACATTCAGTTAGAGAAGAGCAGTAGTGTGAAAAACTAAATATCAGCTGTATGGGAAAGTTTGCAAAAACCATATACTTTTAATCAGACTCCCCGTCCCATTTTTAATGGAAGGGGAAAAAAGAATATTTAGACAATATTTCGATTTTTTTCAGTTTGCATCTTTCTTATGCAAATTATGTGTTAAGTGTAGTAATATTTTCTTAACAACATTCCAAATTATTTTTTAAATTACTGAAATATTAAATTATTTTCCAATTCATATGTATAAATATTTATAATAAACAATCATTCATGAAATAGATTGCTTACTTCATTTGTTTCACATCAAAATGTAACTTTAAAATTGCTTGTTAATCATTATAGGATGAACTGGTGATTTGTCTTAATTTATTGATCCTGAAAAGATTTTATTTTAAACTGAATGTAGTAGGACTTTTTTTCTGCTGTGAAAACTTATGCTCTTTTGGGAGGGATTTTATAATTTAATGCTAAAGGGAACAAATTTATAATGCAGTCTATCCTGTCAGATGTCAATACACATTTTGAGATCTGGAATTATTAGGACATCAGTGCTTCAGAATTTTAGGTCATCCATTTAAATCTAGTAAGATGACATGTAGATATGGCAGCATTAGGGCTTATTGTTTAGGTCAGATAGAAAAATGCTAAATTCCCGCAGCCACACAAGAGCCAAAAGTGTGATCCTTGCCAACATAATCAATGTGTTATCAGTGGCCATGGTGCCATTTCCTAGCCAGCAGGTGTTTCAAAGTGACACAACACTCACTTCCTTTTGTTGAGTGTCATATTCTCCATTCCTAGACTTTAGAAGGGAAGAAACAGGGATTTTTTAATTTAATTTTATTTTTCCCTTAGTTGTCTGGAAGTTAGATCATTTGAGCTATAGGATTTCTGGATTTCAGACTTAGTACTGTAATTAATACATTTAAAAATATATTACTGTAATAATGTGAGGTAATCATTTGTAAATACAATAGCATTGTGATAAGTTATTTGTTTCAAATGCTAGAGATCCTGTCATATACATGCAATATTTTAATTCATGCATAAATCTAGGAATGATAAATGAATTGACACAAAATTATCATATTCTGAGAGTGTTTTGTAATATAATCAGTAAAAATATAATTTAATGTTTTCAGTTCTTGTTAATTTTTTAACAGTTTAGTTATTAGTTTGTTAATTTAATTAAGTTTATTATAAACTTGCTAATTTTTATTTCAATTAGATTGCGAAAGCTTTGGAGTACCTGCATCAGCAACATATCATATATCGAGATCTAAAATCAGAAAATGTTCTTGTATGGGAACTTCCACCTCCATTCCATTCATCCTCTCCCATTCCTACTGTTGAAACGAAGTTAGCTGATTATGGGATCAGCAGGTCCACTCTTCCTACTGGTACAAAAGGGTTTGGTGGCACCGAAGGCTTTATGGCACCTGAAATAATGAGATATAATGGTGAAGAGGAATACACAGAGAAGGTAAATATTTTTTCTTTGCCTCACCTGTAACCTGCATTAGCAAAGAATTGTGGTAGACCACATGAAGTGCAATTTGCAAGGGGAAAACACAATCTAATTGCAATCTAATTGCAATTTGCAAGATTGCAATTGCAATTGAGTTGTTAAGAGGTGTAAAACTACATGCTCTGACACATTCAATAATGTATCTCCTTGACATTGCAAAGTCACAATTTTACAACCAGTATAAAATTTTAGCAATCTACCCTCAGTTTCACATTACAGCTTGATGTTAAGGCGGTCATCGAAGCTTCTCTGAAACCATTTTCAATTTTAGTGAATCATAGGATGTAAAATGGAACAACAATAAGAAAAAAAGAAAAAAAAAAAAAGCTAAAAGGGCATGACTAATTCAATCTGCAGTATGTACCAGAGAAAGCAAGTATAACAGAATGCCCTGAACTCTCTACTAGAAAGACGTCTAGTAGAGAGTTCAGAGCATCTTCACATAATAAAAAGGATCTTCACATAATAAAAAGAATTAATTATACCTATCTTTGAAAGCTAACTAAATACTGCTTGTATGCTTATATTCTATTGATAATTTATTGTTAATAAGGTTGTTATAATCTTAAGCTTTATTGTAGACTATTAATAAATAAGTTAGTGTTCAGTACTGCAGCTCTGCAAGCAACCCGAGCAACATGTGACTAAACCACCAATCACTTCTTACTTGACTTACGGTGAAGATATCTAGAATTATACTTTAGGATGATATGATATAACCACAGGTTAATTGTAAATAGCAAGTTTTTGTGTGTCTGAATAACAGGTAGATGACAAATTATAAATTTTCATGTATCTCACTTCAAGATTACTTTCAAATTATTCTTCAAAAATAAAGGCCTCATTCAATGGAAACAACGATGATCGCTAAAACAGCGATCGTTGTATCCAGTATTAGCGATCACTTTTGAAAACGAGTGATTTTTCGTATTAATTTGAAACACTTCCCTATAGTTGAACTCGTAGGGGTTGCCAGAGGTTACTTAATGCGTGATGCTGTTTGTCACGGGGTCGGAAGTTGCGTTGGTTTCGAAATAACCAATGAAAGAGCTACCAGATGTGCAGGTTGACTCCTCGTAACCGTTCTTTAGGGTTGCAGTTCGCGTTTGGTGTGCCATCTTTGGCTTTTCAGTGCTATTGTTTCAAAGTTTTATCTATGAAAATTCTTCAAAGGTATTATTTCATTTTAATTCCTTTATGAAAACAGCTAACCTAAAAGACACATTCCCTTCACATAAATCATATACATGTGAAAAATATAGGTCAAGTAAGTTTTACGACGTGCATACTGAAAAAAAAGTGATTCAAAAGACCTTTTAAAGCAAAAGAAAAGAAAAATGTACCTAGTTCTATTAACAACTCAAAAAATACAATGTAATATATTCTAAAAGGAAAATTATATAATACACAATGATGTAGATTACATATATTTAATAAATACATAAAACTCTATAATGACTCTAATGTTCATAACTATATAATAAACGCCAACACATATCACATCATGGTACATAACACTGCTATGAAAGGAAGAATTTTTAATTAGAAACATACCTTTTATATTTATTTGATAACATAGACGAATAAAATATAAAGATGACAAGAAGTTATGAAAACACGTTATGCAACTTAAGAAACAGTAAGAAGCCTTTTAAGTTATTGCAATATCATAAGGCACTGATTAGGAAGTAAATATCATTTTTTCATTCTTTTACATCAGTAATACTTTTTTCATTAAAAACTTTAGCAGTGAAAGCCAAAACAGATTTATTATTGGCGCCTCTGATGCAAGGTCACACAAAAATAAACTTGATTTAGCAAATTTCTAAAACATTAAAATCAAAAGTAGTAAATTACAGTAACATATATTATTAAATTATTTTAATTACACATAAAAAATTGTCTGAATTAAATTAAGAATAACTGACTAAGCTTGTACAGCATTTTAAAACATATTTTATGTTGATACATTGGAAATAATTGACAGCAATCGCATTTAAATGAAAGAGCTGGAAATATAGTCTACATGATGTATAAATACAGTCAAAATTATTCGTTAAATACCTTAATTGATGCTTTACTTTCTTCAAAATGAATATAAATACGATATATTTATGTTACTATAAGGGAAACATTATATAATGCATAATTTCAATCATATTGTCCAATGTTTACATTTTTTTTTTTTTTTACATTGGAGGCTGACTGACAGATTTGGCGACAATATAATAAAGTCAAAAAATAACATACGATTTTAAACCATGAATCCCGCATTAAAATTTAAATAAAAAGTGCACTTCATAGTTATAATCACGCACAAAATTGAAATCAAATGTATAATATAATTATTTAAACTTTGTCCTTTCGCGATAATAACAATAAAGAAAATCACATCAGCATCTACTTATCGCCGTCGGTATCTGTGTATTGACTATACACATTCTGATATTCATTTTGTACATATAAATCAGTTTGTCATTAATTAGCAATACTTAAATGATAATACACATTTCGCTGAAACATGAACACTTATTTTTTTAACAATTATGAAAACATACGAAGCTGAACTTACTTCAAAAGCGCACGGTCTTGCGATCGGAATCTATTCCAATGGACAAGAATTAATTACCCATTTTCTTCGTATTTCTTCATTTCTCGGGAAATAGAACATACTAAAGTTATTTCTGGAACGATATGAATAATTTGATGCAGTGCATCCACGCATATTTCTCTGAATTAGGTAGCAATCCATCAACACAAATGTAAACAACACAACGCTAAATCAATGTCCACTAGCAACAAGTGCACTTAATTTGGATACAACACAGATGATGTGTCGGCTGCCCTTGCTAGGATCCTTATACACCCTATACTTTGATATAAGTTGCTGCTCACTCAGCAGATCTAAAGCATTTTCTTTAGCACACTTGATTTCTGTCCTCGTGAAAGCACAAACAACACAGCCGCCATATTGATTCGATCGTTTTTCGCAGCGGAATGATGGGTTCCAAGTGATCGCTATGAGAACAATCGATCGCGAGCTCAGAGTGATCGTTACGTTTCAATTGAATACCAAAACAGCAAAATCAATCGCAACTGATGACGTATGACGACTAATGATCACTAAATGTTTCAATTGAATGAGGCCTTAAATCATTTGAAACTGATAGCATGCATTTATAAATATGAAAGAAACTGACTAGCTATATTTGTCTCATATTTTTTGTTGTATCACTATTGCCAATATAATAAAATATTGATAACTGTATTTTATTTCTAAGGTTGACTGTTTCTCTTTTGGCATGTTCATGTATGAACTAATTACTCTCCACCAACCATTTGAAGGGCAAGAATGTGTCAAAGATCATATTCTAGATGGTGGGAGACCATCACTTACTAAAAGAGTATGTAGTGTATTTTTCTTAATGGTTCAAACTTTGTATATTTTCTGTAAAAACTAAATTTTATGTATTTTTTGTTTCCTTAAAAATTGGATTTTGTATAATGTGTCACATATGATATCCAATAACTTTAAACAACAACAGAAAAACTATGCATTTGGATTAGTGTGTGTGGACAATACAGACATCAGTGCATCTTGAATATAATGTCCTCTGTCTGTTTGAATGCCGTGTTTGAAACAGAATGGGAAGGCATTCATAATGCATCTCGTTATGTTCTGTGAAATAATATAAAAATACAACAGTATTTGTGCTTGCTATTGTGTCAGGAACCAAATTATATCTACCAACTTTCTTGCCAAGATTTCTGTTGATCGTATTCCCTGCATTTCCCACTGAGCAATGAGAGAGCTTATTCTACTAAAGACTTCCACTGCCACAATCCGCAAATGCATCAGTGGTTTACTAATTGCCTGATTCCTAGCTTTTCATACATATAGGATGCCACACATGTCCATGTGCACTCTGATGGAGGCTGGTAGATATAATATGCACCACCTTATTTATTACACATTTATTAAAAATTTGAATTTTGGATATGATATATTTTCCCCAGGATTGATTAATTTATTCATATATTTTCTGACTGACTAGCTATATTTAGATAATATTATTAGAGATACATTAATATATGGAATGTACAACATGTGGCTATAATGAAACTGGACAAATAAAATGCCAAATGCTAAAATAAAATAGTGAAAGAATAAATATATGTTTAGAAAGAGTGGCATCTCAGCTCAAGCCAGTTTAAACCGGTTATTTTGTCATTTATTTATTTTTTCTTGGGTATACCTTGTGTGCGTGTGTGCTTTTAATTTTATTTTACAGCAAATGACAGTATATTCACTGATACGTGTAGAAATAAGTCTGGGTTCTCCATATTGCCAAGTTTTTTTTTAATTGAATAGATTTTTTTAATTATAATTTTTAAGTAAAAATAATAAAGCATTATGTGCAAATTTTATTAAACATAATATATTTATTCTTTAATAGTTTGCTGCTTTAAAAATTTTAAATTATTAATGTCATTGTACTAATCTAAATACCCTAAATATGATTCAGTTAAAAAAGAAAAAAATGGCAATATAAATTATGTTTTTGATTATTTTACATAATTCTGAATGATCCCAGAAATAAGATACCTGTCATTTAGAATGTAATTATCAGCTTAAAGAACTGCATTGACTGGATCTTAAAACAGGTTAAATTTATTGTAAAAAGTACTAGTAGGGATATTTACATGTGACACATTTATACATAAAACCATTCTTTATGTCATTTTATGTATGACAGATTGGTTATTTATTTCTGAGAATGTTTTTCTTTGGTCACTTTTGGAATAGAATGTATTTTTTGTTTGTTATAATGCCATAAGTTAAGTTTGTTAAATTTGTTGTATTTTTATAAGGTTTTCAAAATAATCTATCTATAATGCTATAAATACAATCTAATTTTCATTTCTTTTGATTAAGAGAATTTTCATCTGAAAGTAGTATAATTTTTTCATAGGTGAGAAGAAAATGCCAGAGGAATCATAAAATGAATGATGAAATTTTAAAAGATCTTGATTATAATGTGAAATGAATTGAAAATTCTTTTATTTAATTCGATCATTCAAAAAGATTACAAAGAAAATTAACAAATTTCAGTAATGCACCATTAATGCAATGATATACATCATTGTGATGATCAGTTTCGGTCCAAAGTCTAGCAAGAAAATTTGATACAATTATTGATTCTTCCATGGTCAAGATTATTCATTCCTTGACTCTATGTCTTATTTTTATAAAAGCACCAGTGGAAAAAATCTAGTGAAGTAAGATCAGAACATCTTGCTAGCCACAAGATAGATTAATTTTTTCCAACTCACCATCCTCGAAGTTAGTGATTCAACTCATCTATCACATGATTCGCAAAGTGGGACAGTGCTCCACATGTTGAAAGAAGATCTGCAGCTCATCATCTTCTATTTCCATTTGCTAAATGTGAGAGAACAAAATTTTCTTTAGCATGTCCAAGCATCAATGAATCCCAGTGAATGGGGCTGACAGCACTAAAGTTTTCATGGTTTTCCTTATGTGTAAAGGGGATATGAGACACTTCTATTAAAAAGTCCCTTAAAAAGGTATCCAGATAGCCTTGTTGCATCTTGTCAAATTCAAGTAGTCAGTAAAGATGATATTTGTTTCAATGGAAGAAAAGAGCCAAGAATCTTGAATGTATGTTAAGCGTCATATGGAGTGTAAGAGTTTGTGCAGCAATAGCTTATTTGCACAATAAGAACATGTTCATGTTATCTTTTGAGTGACTGAATTAAATCAAAGCACCTTCAACCCATTTCATGTAACACATTCTTTATAAATATCTCATAAAATCATACCATTTATTCTTGGAGACACCGACTATTTCTCAAGAATTTATATCTCAGATACAAGCTAATTAATTTATGGCTCTTAAAAATTTTTAAATAGCTTATTAAATTATTCTGGATTATATTGTACTGTAATTTTATACATATATGTTTCATATTTTTTTACAGGAAATGTCATATCCAACTTATATTCTTGATCTCATGACTCTGTGCTGGTCCCAGCAGCCAAAAGACAGGCCATCAGCAAGTCAGATAGTTTCCATAGCTCAAGCTCCAGAACTAACTCATCTGATTGATGTGGCTTCCTTACATGATCAAATGGCTGTTTTAAGTGCTTGTGTTACAGCTTTACCCCCTAAAAGTGAAGGTATACATAGTTTCTTGATAAAATCGATTTTCCCCTCCATTCCAATAGTTATTGCATCTTTTAAGATAAAATGAAAGAAATAGAGCGGAATGCTCACATGTTTTTGCATCACTTTTTACAGTTAATTTCTATGAAATTCTAACATTACAAAGATTATTAAGACACATTTTAAATAGTATATAATCGATTACTCACAAAAGCCTGTCAGAGTTCAAATGATACTATCAAAAAAGTTCATGGAAATTGCTTGAAAGGCAATTTGGCAGATACGATTTTTTTTTAAATATATATGTATATCTGTTTTATTTAGAAGTTTTTATAGGCGATTCATATTGTATGTTTAGTATTTTTTTAGTCAAAACAGAAAAGGGAAAAAAAAAATATACTGTAGCATTGATGCATTTTATTTCATTTCATCTTTATTTCTTTTCAAAATGAGGTTATATGGGTAGTTAAGATCCCATTAGCTAAATTCTAAGGTTATTACTTAATAAATATCTTCACAAATGCATGAGAAATCAATTTCAATTCATAGTAACTTTCATATTTTTTAAGTGTAATAAATTTTTTCCTGAACTTAATAATTTCAAATTATGAGATTCAGCATATTCTATATTTTTATATCTTCTTAAATGTTGTAATTATGCATACATAATAGACTTTAAAAAAAACTTTAATTTTTGAAATTGATTTTGATGTAGAGTTGAAGTGATATCTTAAAAAATGTAGATCTGTAATGTAACTTGGACAAAATGAATATTTTTGTCCATGCAAAATAGAAATTATATCATAACAACAGAAAAACACAGCTATTAAGCCATTCTTAGTATCTGTATTTTTTCCCAAATAAATCATCAAATTTAATCAGTGTTATGGCTTTTGAAATACAGCTTTAAAAAAAGGAAGCACAGAAAATATTAACTTTTCAGTCGTGAATAATTATTGTAAACAGTTAGTTATTTAACTTCATAAGCCTTTTAAATAAGCATTGCTTTAATTTTGGAAGTTTTTGTATGTGTTTATTGTATTTACTTTAAATAAGGTTTTATATTTCTTTGTAAAAATACTCTAAATGATCCCATTAACAATTACTGTATTCTCGGGTGTCTAAAGACGGTGCGTATTGCACCGTCTTTAGACATCCGACAGTACAGTGGCATTGCGGAAATCAAAACCAAGGGTGAGAGACTGTTAATGACACATGTACAGCATACATGTTAACCCTTAGAATGCCAAGGCCTTTGCTTATCTGTTTCTTAAAAAATGGAAACATCTGAAATTCTATTTGAGATTCACAACAATTTCTTCCCCCTATACATTCGTGAACAAAAAGATGTGGATATCTTATCTAGTTCTTATCAGAGGAGCTTCTTCTCCCTCCCCCTCTGAATATACTAAGTCACCTCTAATATAAAGATAAAGAACCACGAAACAATCATTTTAGGATAAGACAGTCTGCAATAAAGATCAGTTTATACAATGTGTTTGGGTAAACTCCACCTTAGGTTATTGTGTACTTTAGGGAGTACACAGAAGAGGCACAAATATTGGATGAAAGTTCTGACAAAGATGACAAGTTAATATTAATAAACATCGATTTCAATAACTTTATGTAATATTTTTGCCTATTGAATTGTAATCCATCAGGTTAATAAAAATCAGTTTGTGGACCAAATAATTCTTTATTTTTTTAGTTTTGGGGACCCAAAAGTAAGGTGCATCATACAAGGGGAAATCAATTTTTAAGCCCTGTACAAGGGGAAATACAGTATATCATGTTTTAGTCTCATGTCTATTTTTCCATTTGCTGATACCTAAGCAACCACTTAGCTGATGAGGTACTCGGCCAACATTTACATTTAGTTACATTTACATTTTAGTTGACAACACATTTAACCTTTAGCTGATAGTATGGTATAATTGACAGCACATATACTTAGATGAAAACATGCAAAAGTGTTTTTGTAAAATTTGTCCATATTTATCCAGCAATAGGTCATTTCCAAGATATGCAATGAGAAAGTTAATGAATAAGTTTATCATTTAATCACATATTTGTCTACTTAATGGTAGACAGAGTATGGATTTTATGAATAAAACTAGACAGAAAAGCGACCTTAGGTTGACTTGGATTTTGAAATCAGTTTCGAGACTGATCACACATAGATCCCTCTATTTCAAGTGAAAGGAGGAGTTTGTAGCAGTTGGAAGAGTGAAATGATTTTGTTTGGAAAACAATGGGTGGGGCAAAGCAAAAACACATGTAGTGTGTGATCTGAAAGGGAAATAAGTATAAAACATATAAAACTAAGGTATTAAAATATTGAAAACATTAGGAAGAGCAAGATTGGAATTAATGTCATTGCCTTAAGAAGAAAATTATATGTTAATGTAAAAAAATTCGAATGAAGAAGATTTATAAAGTATTTTCACTCTCATTCCAGCATGCCTTTGTCATGTAATGGTGGCACACTCGGCCCCTATACGAGAGGTCCAGGTTCGAGTTTCAGCGAGGGCATTGCACCTTTTCAGTGCCTCTTGCTTTAAAAAAATCCTAATGATTCTACAGTGGCACCTGAACTAAAAGGTGGTGGAGAATAATTCATCACCACCATGATTTGGTGATTGGGTCCCCTAATTTACGGTCATCTTTTAAAAAGGGGGTATGCAATACAAAGTCCAAAATCTGGACTCATCGGGACTTCGGCAATTCTAGTAAGATTTCATACAGAAATTATAAAATTAAAAATATGAAAATCACGATTTATGAAATAATGAAGTATTTATGATCTAAAGGCTATCAAAATTTATGAAAAAAAAAGCTTAATATTTATTTTTTTACCTTATTAAACATTTCTTTCAATGTAAGTTGTTTAAATTGCTCCGTTTTTTTGTGCTAATACTTCCTCTTTAATTCTGTAGATAGACATAATCTCTTGTTTAGTTACATTGTTGAAGTCCTATAACTGCTGTTTCGAGAATTACGACTAAATTGTCAATCGAAATTTTCTCGTTTTCAGTAACTTCTCTGTCACTTTCTACACTATCGGTAGCAATATTTTCATGATCTTGAACCATACTACAGATTTCTCCATTCATTAATTGATTGATTATTGAGAAGCATTGTCATCACAATGAAAAATTTCTTTTATATCATCTTCATTTATTACCGCTTCTCCAAATTTCTTTATAAAATCCATTAATTGAAAAATTTCACCTTTGTTTTGCGATATATGAAAACCTTTAAAATTAGCGGCTATCATCATCAAATTTAGCTATCCTTCACTGGTGAAGCTATTCTTCACTGTCTAGCTGTCCTCCACTAGTGAAGGATGGCTATGCATCATGAGAGCTTGGCGACTAATGACAAATCAAGTTGTTCCGTTAAATTTTATCTTTCTTCTATTGCACACTGAAACAATTAAGCCTCAATTGTATTAGTTTACATCTATTTCTTGTATGTGCTTAAGGCTTATCAGAGTTCTGAATAAATAAATTCCCACATATACTTAAACCTTATTGAGGGCCGGGGCTAGATATCTTAACCGCCTGATGCAGTCTCTGTGGGTCCCAAATTCTGTGACTCCGTGCAGCCATACGAGTCCTGGCGCTGGTTCTGGGTTTATGTGAATAACAAATTAGCTATTCTGAATTTAAATAGCCCTAAATATAATCTTTGTGTCTATGAGTATTATCAACAAAATCTATTTTTAGCATATGAAAAGAAATTTCATGTGGTAATGAAAGGAAAGTATAATAAATAATGATTCACCAGGTTGGCATCAGATCAACGATGTATCTGTGTGGAATGTTTTGGTTTGAGATGTGTGGCAAAAAGCATATATGCAGCAACGGAGCCAAATTACTGATCGTACAAATTTATGCTAAAATGTTTGTTTCTTCAATAACAAGATATTTTATTTAGGGTCGAAGTGAAATTAAGAATCAGTACTCTCCAAATATTTTATTATGCTCGGAAGGGGGAATTAAATGTGCATACGTAAAACCTATGAGAACAACGTTGGAGGTGGTTTTGAGGTCCAAATTTTAGATAATTCCGGATGATGGACGTCCGGATTTTGGACTTTGTACTGTATAAGGTGTTTTCATCTATCTTCCAGTATGCCATGATGTAACAGTAGCACACTCAACACATATTTGAGGGGCCAGGTTGAAGTCCCGGCGAAGGCATTGCTCATTTTTCATGTCTCCTGCTTAAAATAACTCAATGGTCTCTACAGCTTTATGAATCTTTTGCAGATCCAGAGTCAGAATTATGATTTTGTGTCTAACAGGGATTAGTTATAATTTTTTTTTACTCCTACTTTCTGAACATAAGGTTTATGTTTCTTGACAAGAAATTTCAGCACTTTTTCAGTCTGCCCAATATATATCAAATCAAATTGGCAATTTATACTATAAATTCTACAAAAATTAAAATCGCAGATCGTAGAGAATTGAACAGCAAATTTTACCGACTGGTGAGAAAATGACTGGAAAGTTGAAATAGTAGAGGGTTCAGCAGTCTTGTAACTGATAGAAAAATGAAATATTATTTATAATTGTTTGTTAGCTAAATGAGCATGTCTGCTAAATGTGCTTTTGGCTAAGTGAAATAGATATGTAATATTTCATGCTAAAAATTATTATTTTCCATGCTAGAATTTATTTGCAAATATTTTATGACGAATCCTTTTAATTCTATAATAACTATTGAATCTTCAATAATTCTTTCATACTGCAAGACATAGTTAGCAGTATACAGTTTTTAATATTCAGTCCCCCTTATTCCCCCTAAAAATACTTTCCTTTGTTATGCCCTGTGTAAAACATGCCCCATACCTCTAAACCATCATATACAAGTTGAATTTTTTATCTTTAATTGTATTGTTGTTTCTTTTAGAGCAAAATGCACAAGATAATCAATGGGAGTTATGGTTTAGCAGATTAGGAAAACAAATGGATATTTTAACTTGTAGCCAAAAGTCATGGCTAGAATATAAGGTAAATTTTTGCATGTGTAATAAAATAATTATATAAAAATTAAATCTGATTTTACTATATTAATTATTTTATAAATTTTAGTGCAAATCAACTAGTGAAATATTATTTAAGCTGTTAATAGAGATAATTTTGATTTAATGTTTATTATGTATATAATATAATGAATTATTTTATTATATTATTTCAGACATTAACTCTAGAAACTGTTACTGTTACCTGCTTATGTGTTGTAGACGATAATTTATGGCTAGGAGACTCCAAAGCTCGTATTCACATATACAAGTATGCTGCTCTTATTGACTTTTAATACACAGTTGTGTATATTTTATATTAGCATATATAATTAGTTTATCATTATGAAATCTGTGAAGATTTCTACAATTCTTTGTGTATTATAATTAGTATGAATAAATACATTAGATATATATTAGCTAATAGTTTCAGTAGCATGTAAAAAACTTTTATTTGAAACTGATAGTTTTGATGAATAGAAAATTTAACTAGTATTTTTAGGAAAAGGATTATGAAATAACTTTTTAAAAATATGTTTTTCAAGAGCACTAAAATTCTTTCTGAGATGATCAATAGATGTTTGTTAGTAGCTAACCTCCCCCATGCTCCTATTGAATGATACACTTACCGTACTCTTCTTCATGTATCAGTTTCTAATGCAGTCCAGTAATATGTTATGTTAGAAATTCATGGTCTGGCTCTTTAATAATAGGAATTATTTTCTCTCATTAAATAATGAAGAATCTGTATGTATATTGCATATTGTTCCTTGCATTTTGAAAAATAGCGGACCCTAAAGCCACCATATTTTGTCACCATATTCAGTCTTCCACTTGAATGCATCTTGAAGCCCAAATTCTGAATTTGCAATTCTTTTTTATTTATTTTATATTTTATGTGAATTTAATAAATTTTTCTTTAACAAACTCTGCAATTTAAAAGCAAGCTGTTGCCCTTGCTCGAAAGAAAACTTTTTATCTTCTATGTGCCAGTATGTAGCCATTTTTCAAAATTAAGATATTTATCTTACATCAGATTTAGTCATAAAATGCTGTTATTTAAAAGTAGTGTGTTGCTACTGCTCAAAATAAAATATATCTTACTAATTAACAAACCAAATGATTTAAAAGCAATAAATACAGTTCTTAACAATATTTTGTTTTTAATTTTTAACCTTATTAATTTAAATAAAAATGTATTTAATTTTTTTGCTTAGTTGGACTTGTGTGAATAATTTGTATGGAAATTCATTGCTATTTATTATGTTTAGTTTGTCCTGATCTTGTGATATTATCAATTTAACCTTTTTTCTATTTTTTGGGGGGGGGGGGTTGCTGAGAAAGATTTGTTAGGCTTTGTCAAATAAGCGGGAAGGAAAAAATAATAATTTTACTACAGAAATCATTATTGTGTCCTCTGTCATAAAATTATTTAATTGAGCTGATATGAATACTGCTAATATGTACTGAAAATAATATGAATACATTTGAAAAGATCTGATGAGGGGGAAACATATTTCATTCTCTGTATTTAATTTTTAAGTGAGATGCTTTTATGCATTGAAATATGAAAGGTCTTTAAAAGTTTTTCTTCATTTAAGTTCTGTTCACAGAATAATTAAATGTAGCTGTCGTATTGGGGAAATTATAGAATAAGCTGAAGTAGTCAGTATTCTTCATTGAAGTAGTCAATACTCACATTTCTATAGCATCTTAAATCTGGAATCATTAGACTTGGAAGACTTAATTAAATTAATGTAATAGAAAAGCATTGGTTTTGGCATATTATTAAAAATCATTAAATATTTTTGTAAGTTTAAACTAGCTGAATCCAATGGAATTACACTAACAGAACTCATTGAAATCATTACATATTTTTTCCTTTTTGTAATAACTATTTTAGGCAGATAATCATTAAAAATTTTCAGATTAATTATGAAAGAAATTAATACATATCCATTACTGGGACCGTACAAAATCACCAAACTATTGTTGATGCCAATGTTGCCAAAAATAATTATGGTAACACTAATGCAAGGAACAAAGTATAATAGTAAATAACTATTTAAGAGTATAATTTTAACAACTGTGACTGTCATGCTAGTTTGTAAGGTAATCTCCATCAGGCCACGAGTGCTGCTATACCATTCATTAATTGTTTCAGCATTGTATTTTCTTCAAGTGAAAAAGCTTTTGTATACTTCAGTAATATTAAAATGCCTGCCAATTTTCAATTTAGGCTGAGCAATTAGAGCTCTGACACACACCTCATGCATGTAATTGTTCCAGTCTACAGTTGTATTGTAGTTCATCTTCAGGTGAAAACAACAAAATTCAACAAATATCATCTCCTCATACCAAAAATAACCTAATGGCTGTAAAAAGGGGGCTTCTGAACCTACAAACCAATTTTATGTTAAGCCTTTCTTTTAATATATATTTTCTGCAGTGCCGTTCCATTGTTGAGTTGTCAATAAAACACAGTTTTTTTATTGTGGTTCTTCAAGCATAATTTTTTATCATGAATGACGCCTTCTTTGAAAAAATTCTATTGGAGACTTTATCTTTGGGGGCAGTTCACTTAATTGTTAGAACATAGCGTTATAAAAAAATTTAAAAACTAAACCAAGATTTCAATAAGGACTTAATATTCTAGAACGAAGATTGTCTGTTGATTGTCTGTATTATTTAAGACAACCAAATTAGCAGTATCTTAAGTTTTTGTCCTTGTAACTTGCATTTTAATAATATTTGGGCTTTGTAAAAATTTTGAATTTAGAAGTAATTAATAATTTTACATCAAATATATATTATTTATACAGCAAATATATACAGCAAATTATATATATTAATGCATTCATAAAAATGCATTTAGAAATATTACTTCAGATTTTATGACTTTCTGCAAGTTCTACAAATATAATTGTGGTTGTGAGTGTTATATGTTACTTGCCTGTTAACTATTTTTGTTGTAAGAAAAGTCATTATGAAATATTCTAATTGTAATATTACTTACTTTTACTAAAATAGAAATAATTTGTTGAAATCAAACAATATTTTCTGCAAGAAGTTACTTTTATTGCAGGGTTTCTAGTTTTGTTATTAAAATATAAAATTAATTTCTTCAGCATTGCCGACCACACGATGACGACCTCTTTTTGTGTGGATCCTCATGCGCCAACTGTGTCTGCCATAAGGAGTATGTGTACATTGCCTGGCCAAAATGGTGTTGCGATGGCGACTAGTGGAGGTCAGCTATGGTTGTGTTGCATGGATGAATCTAAAACAGTGGAGAGAGAGGAAGATGCTGAGAATGAACCTGTTCATTACAATATTGAAGAACTGGCAAATAGTGGAGGATCTATATTCTGCATCACTGCTATTGATTTAGGAAATAAAAGGTAGAAAAATTGTGCATAGTTTGGTTGAAGAATACAGTCTTATACCTGTATATAGTTATTTTTATTGAAATCAAATAATTTTGAATAATATTTCATGGAATTTTTTTTTCAAGAGATAATTATAATCTACACTAGTTTTAGCAATGGATGTAACAAAAAATATGGTTTTACAGTTTATATATATATATATATATATATAAACTGTAAAACCATATTTTTTTATAATTAAATGTAGCTGTCGTATTGGCGTAATTTTATACATTATATAATATATATATATATATATATATGTATATATATTTGTTTATATGTGTGTGTTTATATCACAAAAGGTATACAGAGTGAACCTGAAAAAGTGGGCAAAACTGTACACAGTGATAAAAAGCAGCTACCTATAGGAGCAATATTCATCATAGAATGTATGATCGGAATGCAAGTGGTGAGAAGCCTAAAGGTAGTTTTTCACTATTACATTTAAAGAATTAATGCAAGAATGAAAGAAGATACTTCAGGATACATGGTTAACAAGTAACAGGCATGTAACAAGTAATGTACATGCTTAAAGAAATTGCTCAAAAGACGTTCTGCCAGCTGCAATGCTGGCTTCACATCTGTGAACAGGAACTGACACACATTTGCGAAGACACCAGGCATTTCTCGAGTACCGCTGGCAGCAATGGCGATCCTGGTGACTACATCCTTATTGGTTTCAATAGGGCTTTTCATATGGCCCCACAGGAAAAAGTCCAAATACAAGAGATCCGGTGATCGTGGTGGCCGAGCTATGGGACCACCGCATACCATAGCTCAGCAACCATGGCCATTAGGTGTGAGCACCGATCCTTTTTATGCCATTTACAATACGACCTAGCGGCTCACCTTTTGCAACATGCCCAACTTTCTATGTTGGCATGCCCAGACTTTCTATGAGGAATATTGCTTGTATAGCTATGTTCTATCACCCCATTAAGTTTTGCCTACTTTTTCAGATTCACCCTGCATATAAGATAATACGTAGATCAAAATTATAACTTAAACTAGTTGTATCCCCTTTTACACTTTATTTCAATTTGGTTATTTCCCCCTTCTTTCTAAAAACACTAATTGCTTAAAATAATTTTTTGGGACTGCATCATTTCTAGATTAATCTGTGTCATATGACTTTTACATTACGCTAGTGACATAAAGGTTTCCCACTTAAAACAGCCTATAATAATTTAAGATCCTTATTAATTGTACAATCAAAAGCTATTCAAACTGAAATCAGCCCACTCTGAAATAAAATTGTGTCCTAAACATATTGCATCTTGCCTAACAAGATTGCTGCTGTATTACCCTTTTCTTAATGCAACATAAAAATATAAATATTCTGGAACCGGCACAATTCATGTGCCAAGTTATTTGTGACCGTAAAATATTTAAATAAAATAAAAGGAATAATATTTAAATCTCATGTGGCTGCCTCTTAAATCTTTATTAGTTATTTAATAAAAATGTATCGAAACCGAAACTAACCTACTCTGAATTAAGATTTCATCTTGAACACATCGCATTTTGCTTCTGCTATAGGCTTAACTAAATTGCTCCTGCACTGTTGTCTTCTTACTCAACAATAATAAAAATGTAAATGTTCTGAAACAGGCACGATTAATGCGTTAAGCGGTTTCTTACCACGAAATATTTAATTAATAAAAGGACAGACATGAGTTATTGAAGCATGAAACAGCACTGTTTCATGCTTCAATAACTCATGTCTGTGGCTTTCCCAAATCATCACACGTATGTATACAGTTTGAGTAAATTTGGTAAAAGTAATTCTGATTATCTGAGTAAAAGGTGTAGTTAAGAAATTAAAGGTGTAAGAATAAAAATGTCTTTTGTATGGGAATCGTAAACAAGTTTAAACAAATTGTGAACTTAAAGTTAAAAATCCATAAAAGCTGCAATGAAAAATGAACACATGAAGCATAGTACAAAAAAAATGTGAAAAACAAAATATTAATCTCCCTTTTTGACCACTTCAAACAGAACTTGTCAAGGGGTAAGTGCCTGAAAGTGTATATAGTTGCACACAAACAGGATGTCAGCGGATTCCTTACTTCTTTTATTTTCCAAATTAATTGGTTGTAGACATCTATGTCAAGTTACAAAAATATTTTAAATGACACATATATTCAATTTTAAATTTTTTTAAAAATCAATTTTGTAAAAATTATTGGATCTAAATTTTTATTCATTTCCTCAGCCCCGATCGTTATATTTAGGAAAATATTAGACTCATAAAAATAAAAGTATGAATCCCTCATATGATATTAAAAACTGAGTGAGGTATTTAATTTTAAAGTGGAACATCATATGCAAATTGAAAAGAAGTGTTTGGATTTGTGCTTAACTAAGAATAAAATATCAGTTAAGGGAATGATTTCTGATGTTAGTAGATTAAGTGACAGACATGTCACTTAATTATTAATATATTATATTATTAACATGAAAAAGTATTAATATTATTATTTTTTTCCAAAAAAATTACAAAATTTTAACGAATTCTTGTTGTAGAAAACTCTGGTAGGATTCAGTATTGTCCTATTACCTATTTATGGCATATTAACATGAAAAAGTATTAATAATTATTATTTTCCAAAAAAAATTACAAAATTTTAACGATTAACGAATTCTTGTTGTAGAAAACTCCGATAGGATTCAGTATTGTCCTATTACCAACTCATAACATTATACAAATATTATATTTATTATTTGTATAAATTAAAAATTGGAAATATGTCTAATTTAATTAATTTTTTGTATTAATTTAAATTAGAATTTTGAAGTAATAAAACTGCCTGAAAATATTAATAATGTATTTGTAGTGTTACAAAATTTACAAATTATTTTCGTGAAATTCTTTCAGCATATAAATTGTAACAAAGTTATAAATTAATGAATATTAAAAGTAACACTAGTAAAAATCACAAAAAAAAAAAAAAAAATGTCTTTAACTGGCATTTAAGGGAACAAAAATCAACCTTGAATTACTCTAATTTATTTATTAACTAGAGGCTTGGTGGTGCAGTGGCTAGTGCATCGCGCAGCTGTGCCACAGGTCCGGGGTTCAATTCCCAGGCTGGGCAATGTTGACTCAGATTTTCATCCCTTGAATGGGTCGATAAAATGAGTACAAAGTTCTAAACTAACTAACTGGGGACTAAACATAAGCTGACTACTTGTCCAAGGCATATGCTGATACACCCCGGAGCCCAAGATCAAGAAAGCAGATTTTGGGGCACTGCAGGCTGTGGCCCACTAGGTCTGTTGTGCCACTGCATTTAGTTTTTGTATTTTTTAATTAACCCCTCAAGGTCAGATAAAAGTGGCATCAAAAGAAACAAATTTTGAAATTAATTAACTTTTTTTAGTGTTTTTCATATGAGGGTGAAACTTTTTGTACTGTGATTTTTATAATGAGTGTAAAATTTCGTTAAATTTAAGTGTAGAGACCAGGGCATCACATAAAAAGTCACATTTCACATTTTAAGCCAAATATTTTTTTAATTATAAAATATGAAAGCATGAATACTAGCATTATTTAAAGCATTTCAGTGGCTGGAAGTACATAGCTATGACAAACAGTTATGAAAATAAAGACGAAGTAAGGGCTTCTGGGTACACAGTTTATATATGAATCTAAAAGTCCATAAATATTCTGTTTCAAAAAATTAAAATTTACTTTTCAGTAGATCATATTTTATTATATTTATTGTTTAAGATATGGCTTTCTAATGCATTTCATAATAAGAATTCTGTCTTATTATGAAATTATTTATATTACTATTCACTCTATGTCTATCATTCTGCAAAAATTTCAATGTTCTAATTCCTAGTGATGCCAGAATTGCAGTGTGTAGAATTATTTTTTAATGCTTTCGGCTTCTTAACAGTTCACCAATTGCCAAGTGGTCTAAAAGCTACCTAACACTGGTAGTTCTCCTTTGATTATAATCCCAACAGCTGTACATGGTGGATGCATAAGATTTTTGCAGCTTTATCCATGTACATTACAAATAAAAACTTTTTCCATATGAAAGTCCACTAGAGGCATTCCTTTCTTTATACAGATAGCAATCATCAATTTAAAAAAGATAGAAAGACTACAGTTAATTCAACTTTATTATTAGGTTTGTCTCATATCACGTCAAATAAGTTGCAAAATGCAACGTGATATTCTTTTCTTTAAAGTTAGTGATGTGATGCTTATCTGTCACATAATATGCAATTATAGAAAAATTATTTTTAAAAAAAATTTAATGTTCTGTTTTCAATATTGTGATCTCAGTTAATTAAAAATTAATAATTTATTTGTATTAAAAGTTACTTATTGTTAGGTTCTTTATTATTGGTTTCTTAAATTCTTTAGTTGTGAACTATGGTGTGGTCAAACACAAGGAAAAATTTCCATCTATTCAGCAATAGAATCTTCAGTTACAAACCAAGAAATCGTCTACCATTATGATCCTGTTGTGGACAACTTGGATGTTTATCAGCTAGTAGGCGGTTTTTCCGAAAAACCGATCGTGTGGTCTTATGTTTATCCAGGTATAATGAATTATTTTGAATTTGTAAACATTAACTTTTAACTTGAAAGGGCTATTTATCACAAAACATGATTTTGTACTGTTTCACTTTTCATTTGAATTTGTTGTGTTTTGAAGAAACGTAAAATATTATTCTTTCATATTTAATCAGTCCATTATTAATTAATTAACTGAAGTATTTAAAAGTAACAGATGCCGTTCTGAAAAATATTATTTTTTACTTTTTAATCTGATTGATTTAAATAAAAATGCCTTTAATTCACAATATATCTAATTCAAAACATTAAATATTTTTATTAAATTACATTATATATTTTTTCATTTTATTCAGAAGATATATAAAATTCCCATGTTAGTCTAAATGCATATTCATCTAATATCCTATAAAATGTTTTGCTATTCCAGTTGGGCCATCTATGTCAATAATCTCTACTGGTAAACCATATTAAGTTATAAAAGAGCTCTTTTGGGTGAACGTTAAAATCTGAACTTCTCAGATTTTTTACTTATTTATTAAATTTTTTATTGATTATTTATTTATTACACTATTTTTTATTTATTTTTACTTTATCCGTTTTGTTATATTCTCTTTACTACTATCTATCTTTGGATTGTCAAGTGGCATCACCTCATGTGCAAGATCTATTTTTAACAATTTGCATCAGTGTTTTTGACACTGGGTTATGCCTCTTCTCCCTTGGGGTACTTCTATTATTCAGGGGCAGAAGAAAGTCTAAGTTTCAATAAGGAAGCAGCACTGGCAATAATTTCAGAATAACGTTATAATTGTGTGTAATGAGACTTAATGCTGTACGTCAGCTTTATTAATATGAGGAAAATTAAAAAGGTCCCTTTTCTAACTGGATATGTTATAAAATATTTTTATCATGTTCATTTTTGATTTTATTGGGATAAAATATATTTTCAGATTGTAATATTTTGAATTATATATCAAATGAGTTAATTTAAAGAATTCTCTGGTATTTTTAGGTTGTGTTGCATACCAGTGGGATACAGTTAATAGAACAATTTTACACAAATTAGACTGTTCAAAACTTGCACCTTGTTCTGAAAGCCTCATGTCCATCAGCATTGAAGAACACCTAAGTCGTAAGTATTCTTTATAATGTCCCATGTAAAGAAATGTAGAATTTTTGATTAAAAAATAGAAATAAAATAGTCTTCTTTGTATCTGCTCTCATTTTAATTAATCAGATTTTCATCGAGCTTTTTCTTTCCTCCACAAATCAAATTTCTGTTGCCAGTTTTAAAAAAAAATTACTATGCACTTAACAAGAAATTAAGAAAAGAAACGAAAAGAAAAATGCTAATTAGATTTGAAAGCTCTGAAGCTTATTCTTCATTAAATTGTTGTTGTTTTTTATATAGTTTTGCTTTCAAACAAAAAAATGGAATTAAAAAAAGCAGTTCACTCTATACCAGGTATATATACTATATATATCTTAAACTTTTATTAATTACAATAGTGCTGAAAGTGCTTATCATTGGTAGCTATATAGGCTATATATCATTGGTAGCTAGTATAGGCATTAGCCACTACTAATTCCATAAGCGGTGGTCACTTTATTATGGAGGCACCTAATAAGTATCTTTGACTGCTTCTGCTGGATTTCCTGCATACTTTTACCTTGTAAATACATATTTTATTTTTGTATATAGTCTTTCTAATTGTGAGAAAAATGCACTTTGATGAGTTTATGCACTGAATATTTGTAAAAATGTACTCTTCCTGAAACTTGGACCATCTCCTCTCCAGCCTACCAGATGCCGCTATAGCCTCACGTGACAAAGTGATCATGCCCTCTTTCACTTTGCATCCTGTCTGCGGACACACTCATGCATTTTTGCTATACCTGCAGTGTACTTATTAATTCATGACAGCCGGTATACAGCTTGCTATCTGCAAGCTACACATGGCAATAGTGGGAAAAGGAAAGGAAATGGGCCACTATAACCTCCTGTGAAGAGACAGCGAATTAACATCCATTTCCTTCTCTGGGATTCAAACCTGGGCCCTTTGGCATTCAGAGTCACTAATTACATTCATGTCTGGGTGATTGGTCAAAGTAAAGAACTTCTGCAAATTTTAGTTTTTTTGAATTACATTAATGGCAGTTACTGTCCAAAAATAATGACATCTTCCAGCAACAGAACAAACATTTGTTTGGACAATGAAGATGTAAAAACAACTCAGTAGAAACATAATAAAAATTTAAATACACAGCACATCATGTTTCTTGATCATAAGCAAAACTTACCTAGCATACACAACAAGGCAGGGTGAATCAGTTGCCAACAGTTTCCATAAAAGTCCATGCACAAAAATCTTTTGCAGTTTCTTGGATGAATACTGAAGCACCAAAGATTTATTTTGTGACCATATTGTCAGAATTGTTTTCTCATCCAGTCAGAAAATTGAGACTTCTTAAGGTTTTTATTGGATGACTACTTTTAAATACTTGCCTGGAAGAACTCTCTCAGTCTGTTTTAGAATAATGCTTTCAAGTACGGTAGATGCTGTTTAATGTTATCATTTGGGTATTGCTGTTGAATTGCCGAAGTTCCATCCATTTATATATGATGCATGCATTGGTTATTGTGATTAACCATCTGATTGATATTATGGAATAATTTTTCTAACTGAAATAAAATTGCCAAGTATGGTCAAAATAGATTAAAATTCACAAATATCAGAAAGGAATTTATTACCAAGCAACTTATTTTTTATTTTAATCAACATTTAAAGTAAGGCAAAAAACAACCTTAGTTCAGCTTAGGTGTTGAATACCTTTATCAATTTTGAGGATGATCAGACATGGGTCTGTCTTCTTCAGAAGCAAAATAAATTCTGTAAAATTTTATTCCTATGATCCCTTTAAAAAAAATCCTCTGAAAACATCTGCATGCAAACAAAGATTGATGATTTCTTGTCTATTTTTAAATTTTATATTTGCATGTTCTCTTTCAGTTAATGAGGGATGCCTTCAGAGTTTTAAGAGTAGGAGCATAACATCAGTCAAATAATTTCCAGAAATATTATGAACACTTCATATAAAAAAAACTTTTGCATTTTCTTAGTAAAAATTCTGTGAAAATACATTTTTATATGTTTCTTGTTGCATTGCTGTTTTAAAGGATATTTTTTCTCACCATTTAATTTTCTCAAAATAGCTGTGACCAAATATGATCATATTGAGTAGTGTCTTCTGTATGTAAAGTTGTATAGATGCTTTAGAACAACTCAAAAATACCTCTTCCTGTCTCTCAAAATTCAACTTATCAAAAACAAATTAATTGGAAAACACTATCATACTAAGGATCTGTTGTATTTTCAACATGTTAAGCTCCTAGCCCCTTTCTTTCTGTTTAGCCCATGATATCTGATTTCACTGATATGTTAGTACAGAATTTGACAGAAGATATGTTCAGTCAACAATGACTGATGCAGCCTGAATGAAAGTATACTTTCAGTCACCAGTGATTGATGCACTCCAAATAGAAACTATATTGTCAGCCACTAATCACTAATAAGGTACACTACACAAAAAAGGGGGGAACAGTTCTATATCTCGTTCTACTGGGCCAATTGACAAAATTCAAATTCCGTATTTCATGCCTCGAAAGCATGACTTATGATATATATTAGATTTATATAGAGCATCATTTGAACATAGATATTTTGACACAAAATCGAACTTTTTCTGAAATGACCTGCCAATTTTTCCCAATATTTCGATTCTACGATTCAAATTATGCCTAAATATTAAATTTTGTAAAATTTGGTGTGAAATTTATGGAGAAATTTAAAAATTTATCTTGACGTATTTTTTTTCAGTTTTTGCAAAGAATAATTTACTTGGCGAACTTCTTAATTCATGGCAACCTATTTTCGTTTTCTCTTTTTCATTGCAGATGAGCAGAAGAAAAGTCATCATTCATACTTTTAAATGACTTCAACAAAGTGCATAAACCACGTTTGCCCTTATTATCACTCAAAAACAAGATCCCAAATTTCAAAACACTCCAATATGTAAATTCATGTATATCTTAAAATTTTGAATAAGAAACTCTAATTATTTGCAGGTGTGAATAGAAATTTACTTTAAGATGATGTTAAAAATTTTATAGATTATAATACAAACATTTTTTCGAAAAAGTTATAAAAAATATTTAAAAATACAAATTTTTAAAAATAAATCATATGTGCGAATTATGTTTGGAGTAACCCTAAATTTTGAATTCTGGAAGAAGGAATCAAGTAAGTTTAAGGAAAAAGAGATATTAATAAATATATATTGAACTCAACATTGAGAAGCTAAAATTTTGTGAGCTAATTTTTTAAAAACTACTTGTGTGATTTTACAAAACTTGGCAGAGTCGTAAAATCGCAATATGGAAAAAAATTGGCATGGCATTTCAGAAAAGTCTGATTTTGTGTCAAAATACGTATGTTAGAGCAATGCTGTATATAAATGGAATATGTATCCTAAGTCACACTTTTTAGACATGAAAAACACAATTTGAATTTTGTCAGGTGGCCCAGTAGAACAGGAGATATAGAACTGTCTCTTTTCTCCCCTGCAGTATACTTAATGTTATCACAAAATGCTGTAGGTGTAGTTTCTCGGTGTTCAAATTTCCAGAACTTTATTATTCTTTGAAAATTGCTTCCTGACACCTTGATTATCAAATACCTTCAGATGTAATATTTAAAAAATCTGCCATAAATTAATAGTAAAACTTTCCTGCTGCAGATGAATTTTTCTTGCAGTCCGTTAACTATCATGGGTATCCTAAGTTTCCCGAGCAAAAAAATTACTGAAAGATCGTAGCATTAAGTAAAGTATCTATTTCTGCAAGCCATTAATTCCTGTAAAAGAACTGCATCTGAGGCACTTGTATACAAACTTCTTGTACCAATAACAATTAAACTTCATTTAAGTAACTTAGAATGCGTGAATATCTAGAATCCACATTCAAAGGTCTGAAATGTGCTTTCGGTGATTTAAATGCTTATTTAATCAGAGAAGTTAATAAATCCATTGATTATTATAAATATTTTTTTACATTCTTAATCTCATTATTAGTTTACTACAATGCAGCAATCTGTATTCCACTTTTTCTGAAACCCAACTGTAAATTGTTGGAGTGAAAAAAGATTCCCTGCAAAGCAAAATACTTATTCTGCCTAATTTTTATTCATGAGATGCTAGCAATCTCATTCTGATAATCCAAGTAATTTTACTTTTTGTAACTTGAAAAATAAAGATTTTATATAGCATCAAATGGCAACATCTCTGAGAACTGAAAATCTGTCAAACTGCATAGTTCGTAAATGTGAAGATCTTATAACTTGTGGAATGATATTTGTTGCCAGGTTAAATGGGTGCTGGTGGCATAAGTGTCAAAATAATAAATGGGTGATGGTGGAGTTAAATAAAAATTTAACCATGGGTGGGGGAGGAAAAGATAAGCCATAGACATATCCAAAATCTTATATTGTATGAAACAGCAGCAGACCTCAAAACTGGAATTTACGCTACTTACTAGATACTGCGGATATTTCTAATCTGACAAAAAGTGTTTTGTATGCCATCATTGCAAATCTTATTAAAAATCTAAAACTGACTTGATCTGTAAGCTCTGAAGCAAAATGTTTGCAGTTTTTTTTTAGATTATTTGTATTATTGTGACAACTAAATGAATTTATGAAATCATTCATATTGCAGCTGGAAGGTGTCAAGTGACAGCCATGGCAAGTGTAGGAAGTGACTTATACATCGGTACTACGTGGGGGTGCATTGTTGTTGCAGAAGGGACGACAATGAGGCCCATAACCGTATTTCGTCCTTTCGAAGAGGAAGTCAAAGCTATACTGCCTCTTCTCTCCAGGAAAACACCAGAAAACAAAGAGTCTTGTTCATCACAAAATGTTAATTCAGTCCCTTACATTGCAACAGTGGGCAAAGGTTACCGTAATCTCATTGGACGTTATGCCTCCATTAATGCTCCTGTCTTACTGCAAGACAACATGTATTTATTGTTATGGAGAGCAGATAACTGGGCACCTACATAACTTAAAATATTTGTATATAGAAAGACTTGTATGAAATCAAGTTTGTACATTATAATCATTCAGGGCATTTCATTTACATCCCTATTGTGATATGTATATTTTATGTGTAATTTATCTATTATGAATAAATAGTTTAGCTTTTTATTTTAGGATTGCACTCATTCAGCATTTACTTTACAGTTCTCCATCATCAATATTTAAAAACTGCCACTATGATACATACATGACAGATAATTATTTTTTTTATTTAATAAATTGTAATCGAACTTTGCAAACAAATCCACTAATATTAAGAAGTTTCCGTTGTTCTTTTTGGTACAGCACATCAGCTAAGCCTCAAAAGGCTAAATTCTGGCTGCCAAGATATTTTGTGTGATCTCAATCAGTCCTCCTAATACATTATCTGGATAATCTTTAACGATTCATTTAATTCCATGCTTGGATCATCATTCTCTTCCTGTAGAGTTTCATCAGTCCTTTCAATAATTTCATCCTATATAGCTGATGTTCTTTGGCTGGATGATGCCTGTTCTTTTGTAAACAACTGTCCTGCTGATTAAATGTGAACATCATTTACGTCCGCAGTAGTCTTCGTTTCCTTTATGAAATGATACATTACATCTGCCTGCTTCTGAAAAGCAGCATCTTTCTCAACTTTGCATGTACAATTTTGCGCGTCGGATGATTTCTTCTATGTTTCCATGTTATCAAAATTTCACACTGAAATTTAAATTTAAAAATTCAATTCAAATTATTAAATATGTAATCATTCTTTCAAAATAAACCATAATATCTGCTAAATAAAGATAAAAATAAAAAAAACAAAATATGAAGCTAATGAGAAACTAAAAAAGAATAACCTTTATAATATGTTTTCGAGCAGTTGGTGAAGAATTAGGCTCTTTCTAACAAATGACAAGGAAAAGTTTGACCTGTGATGGGTCAAACTTAAATGCTTGCCAAGTGCTTCTTGTACAATGACCTCCAAACCTCTCCCTTCCCAAACGCCAGCTAAGTCGTACTTCAACCCATTTGTGCAACACCATAACAGCACCGAAAACAAAACAAACATATACCAACTCATGGTGAACGTTAACCACATAACAATGCATCTGCAAATATCAACCATCATATTCAACAGTTTTATGTGAAGCTTACATTCTCTGTATATATCTTTCTTTTTGATGACGTACTGTGCGCATCTTTTATAACTGAACTATTGTGGACTTGTAATGTTGATTTTTATTTATTACTATCCTCAAGGTTGTAAATGCTTCTAATGTTTTATTGCATTGTTATTATTTGTTTTAATGTATCACTTAGCAAAAGCCATATTTTTAAAGGCATTACAGCCAAAACCGCCGATGTTTGGATATGCAATCCGTAGACAGTATCTAAAAATGGACTGTCCACAGTCAAGCTCCACTTCTTCTAAATTCTTACCAAGATAGAATTAACAGATGTTGTCGCGGACGCTTTGATTTCCCCGATGGAGGAATACAACCTCTAAAGTTTTAGCAACAGATAGAACCCCCCCCCCTTGTGTGATATTTTGAAGTTCTATTTTCAGTGTAAATGCTATTCGTACATTCTGCGAAATAGCCATTAAAAATACCCCTAAAAATTAAATTCAACATCTGAAATGCCTTTTAGTTGGGCGGATTCAGATTTCTCCAAAGATCGAGAGGGAGGGAGGGCAATGCGTACCAGGCCCATAACTGGAAAATTTCAGGTGACGAAAGTGCAAAACTTTTTGTTAGTATAAAAAAGTATATGTTTACAACTGGTATGAATTCTACTGTGTGGGGTAAATCAAAGCTTAAATGACCAATGTAGACAATGCTGTTTTTACTCGAGAGAATTAATCAAATTTTGAAATTTCAACTGTTAACGAGGATGACAAGGTCCTCAGTGGAATGCAGCATTCCCCAACGGGGTACGGGGCAAAGCCCCAGAAGCCACCTTAATATTAAAAATATAATAAAGATTCTCAACGTTTTATGAAAATTAACTGAATGTAAAACTCAGTTCTTCACTTGGGGCATCCCTGCCTACGTGCCTCAAGCCAACTTTTTATACCTCTTTTGCCTTTCTATACAAAACGCGTGCACGAACAGACCAAGATTAATTGGGGAGTCTAGTCATTAAATAAATTGTATAAACATCGAGGATTTGGACTTAATATACCCTTGCAAATAACCTATATATGCAAACTTTGAATCCCTGCAACCCCTTCCCCGACGAAACAGAAAATAAATCTTCTACACGACTTTGAATTTCCGTCCATGCAAATATTGCCCACCACCCTCCAACTCCCGTGAAGAAAATGAAAAATTGGCACCTGTGTTCATTCTAACATATGGCAAAGTGACAAATTTGCATCATAGAAAGGGCTAATCCATTCCCCCCTACCCATCCTCAGAGAAATTGTCAAAAAAAAAGCCGTATTTCACTGTATACATTTTAAATAAAAATATAATAAAATCGATTAAATAAGGATAAATAGAAATTATATTAAGTAAAATAAAATAAGTACGTACTTCATCAAATGGATTTTTCTTTTCCAACAGTAGTAAGGTTATTGTGAATCGAAAATGTTCTTCCCAAATTCAATAAATACAGAGGAGGAATTTGTAGATGATAAGTAACACGTGGCTTTCTAGACATATGGAAAATGACCATTAGATGGTACTAGGTCCACAGAAGGATTATTCTAAGTAGTGCAGAATGTCTGTGTGTGTAAGTGCGGTATTAACTAGTTTAAACGTGCTCACAGCATGAATTCCCATGGCTTTTAAAACTCGAACTTCTTTGCGTGATACTGTACGTAATTGATGGATGGGCTGAAGAAGAAAGGTGAGGGCGCAAGCAACCACAGTCCATGTCCTGTGTATCATTTAAGGTATATTTATTTTTCTTCCTAAATTAAAATTTAAGTAATTTATTTTTAAATTTAATTAAATTTTTCAAAGGCCTGATATGCACTTACTTCTCAGAAATGTGCATCAGAATTTAAGTAAATATTTGTATTATTTAAGTTTCTTCATTTCCTGTAATCTCCAGCTGTACAGTAATGAATTATGCTGTAAATAATTAAAATTCGGTTAATTCCATTTGTTGACAATGGGTTTCTTGGGAAAAAAATGCTATTCTTAAAAAACTATTTTTCTGCAGTTTGATTTACAGCTTTCACTATAAAAATGCTCAAAATATAAATATCAGCCACAGGCATTGAATAAATATTTTGCCACAGTTTAAAAAACTTTCTGGAATAACACTTTTTAGCCCAAAAGGGGATATTAGTCTCGAAGTGGGATTTTCTATTATCAGTATCGAAATAGGGAATGACTTTTCAAATTGTTGACCCAATTATTATCGCCCTGTATTATTTCTAAAGATATTAAAAAACAAACAATCTGTATATATGGATGGCTGTTTCTCGCAATGTGAAATAATACCCACAGCCATAAAATTTTGAATAACGTAGCCCTCCACCAGAACATGTGCACTCAGAAGCCCGAATTTTAAATTAGTTTTATTATACATTTCGTATTTTATAAAACATTAATGAATTTTTGATTAAAAAGCTAAACAATTGGAAAGCAATCAGTGGCAACACTGCTCAGTATAAAACTTTTTTTATCTCTGACGTGCTAGACTGCTGCCATTCAGAAAAATGTAAGATATTTAACTTTCAATTTTAACTACCCAATTCGGCTCTATGAAAGCAATGTACTGCCACATATCTTCCACACACACGTTGTTCCCATTCAGTAAAGGTTACTTTCAGATTTAATCTGGAAGGTTATCGAGTAATAAACTAAGTAATTTAAGAGCTTAAGAATATTTTTTCATTCTACAGTTCCTAAAGATATTTTTTCTACTTTTTAATATGATTAAAGTTATAATTCTTAACACTATTGAAAATCCTAAAGATGTAGTGTTTTTTTCTTTTTTAATATTTTGTGATTTTGCTGTTGCATTGAATTTTATGTGGTATAAGTGGAAAAAATGTTATATTTAATAAATAAAGTTAACACACAAAATGTTAATAATAAAAAGACAAAAAAAAAAAAAAAAAAAAAAAAGTTTAGTAAGCCAACTTGCTAAGAAAACAGAACATTGATATGATGAACTAAGAAAAGACTGGAAAAAATAGAAATATGTTTGCTAACACTTAGTACTGCACTGGGAATTCAAAACATATATTGCTTTTAAAAATGTCATGACTTTACTGTTGATTTGTCCGTGGCATAAGTGCAAAGGAATCAATGCTTACCAATAAAAGCCCCCCCCCAAAAAAAATTATTAACAGAAGTGTGTGAAAGTGAAGACTGGTAGACTGCAAGCTCAGCAAGATTGTAAAAACCTTAACAAACCCTTTTGGGCGACCGTTAAATTCTGAAACCTTTCAGATTTTTTTTAAAACCTTAAGCACATTTTATTAATTAATATGTATTAAAACATCTCATAAAATTAAAACAAAACAAAATATTGGCAAAATTAAACATTAACAAAATAGAGGTTTTCACAAAATACCCATCTGATTCAGCTAGGTACTAGTGCCAATCCAAGTCCTCCCACTTATATCTTTGTTTCCTGTAGAGTTCCTGACTATGGTTTGTATTTTCAAGATTTATGGACGGATATATGATATGTCTTTGAATCTACCGCTTATCTGGATGTCAATTCTAAGACATATAGGAACTCTGTGAGAAAACAATGAAAGAGATAAAACATGCCTGAGCCACTGTTTTCAGCTTTTGCCAACTAAGCAGATGGATCGGATGCAAAAGCTACTTTTTAATTCCCCAATATATGAACCCCTAGCAGCCTATCTGCTCAACCAATCAAAATGAAATTTCAGGTATAGTTATTTGAAGGAATGATATAAAACAATGGAACTCTTGCAGTTACGGTTACAGTAAAAAAATTCAATATTTTTTTAATGGCAATACATTTTTTTTTTCCTGTGCAAATTCATCAGCACCATTAGAAAACAATAAATGGCATTAGAACAATACATGTAAGATGAAAATTGCCGTTGTAAAACATTTGCAAAAGAACAGCACTATAAGAACCAATCAGCCAGGGAAGAATCTTGGGTTCCTCAACAAGCATTCAAGATTCCCCTAACTTAACTAGTATTGAGGACATGGTAAGTTCTTGCCTCTGAACTGGTCATGACTATTTGGGAAATCATCTTCCTCATACTGTTTTGGCAAATTCATCAATGTACCCATTATTTGGCCTGGCTGGTATGAATCAACACCACCTCCATATTTGTCTAATCTTGGCAATTCTTCCTAAAACAGCCCCATCTGGGCCAAGTAGTTACGACCACTTAATGCTCAAAATTCAATCCAAGGAAAGCATGATTGGTTTTCTCCATCTGTAAAACATATACAAATATAACACAAACATCTGTAACACAATATCGTCGAAAGTCCTTTATGAAGGCATCCCTTCCCTTAGGCAGATAGAACTCATATGCTTTTCCATGTTCATATAACCTAACCTAAATCTCCAAGAATTTTGTTACAGATTTTGTATTTAATTTGCTATTTTTAGTGGAATTATAATTAAAATTGCTTTATTTGCCCATGCAATGCAGCACACGACGTGCTTTAAGAGAAAGCTATGGTGAAAAAGTAAAAATACAGGAGTACATGCATTTAACATTTAATAAATAGATATCTCATAAGTGTACTCTTTCGCTTTCCAGAAACCTCGAGAGAATACCAGAATGTTTTCATGCATGATTGAAAAGCTTATAAAAGCCAACACAAAACATCTCAGTTCAGTTGTTTAGATATCTGTTGTTGTTGATTGTGGTGAATTTGCAATGAGATCGGATTCGCTTTCTTTGCTTTGAATTGTGTTCTATTAACATTTTAGTAGTTTAAAATATAACTATTATGTGATATTGCAGGAATATCTGTGAGGAAAAATTTCAGCGTTTTGTTTTATTTCTTGTGATAAGGATAAATTTTAACTTTACACCAGACTTGTGCATTCAACCTATTACGAACCTGTACGTACGCAACAATATCCTTGATTCTAGACTTTATTAGGCACTATAAAAGAGAATGATTAACAACTGATGTTCAGAATTATTTTATTTGTTTTGTGTTATTTTTCTTTTAATCCTAAAATCCTTATTCATTAAGTGTTATTAAGAATATTTTTCTATTAGATATATATCTTAGATATTAGATGATAATATCAAACATTTTAAATGGCACGTATAAATAAAGTTCTCTCCTAAACAGAAGTGTTTTTCACTGCTCGCACCAGTGGTAGGCACGATTTTTAATGCACCCTCGCTGAACTAATATAAATGTACGATAGCCAGAGCGATTTACTTAACTCTTGTCAAACGGCGATATAGAGCAAGTACTGTCTGACCACGTATTCCAGATCTATGTAAACATCCGGTTTGGGGCAGAAGTGGGCACATCTATCAGTTATGTAGGGGTGAGTGCAGTAGCCCAGTAGACACTAAATGTCCCCTGACCTTCAATTTCACCCACACCCCTTTGACCTTCGAGAGGGAAAAATACCCGTGCTTTTCGCCCACACACCCCTTCAATTAAACTGCCCCATCTTGGCTCTCAGCCAAACTGTTCTCGCTAGCATGGTTAGACAGTAGTCAGTTGAGTTTAGGATTGTGCATAGATTAGCAGTTTGCTAACCTTGAGCGTATCTAATAACACGCACGTATTTTTTTGTTAGTGTGTGATCGTATTTCGAATAGACCACGCGTAGACCGTGCATTTAAAACTACCAAGTAATCCGAAATAATTCTTTTCTTTCAAAACCCTTCATGGATAAATGTAAAAGAAAAAGAACATATTATTTTAACAATGAATGGGAACATCTATATGTTTCGTTGATTACAAAGGGAAGTGTATTTGTTTGTTGTGTAATAATAGTGTTTGCGATTCCAAGAAAAGTAATATTGAACGACATTTTAAGACCGTTCATACCAATTTTGATAGTGACTATCCAATGAACTCTGAAATTAGAAGAAAAAAAAATTTTGATTCTTGCTGAACTTAAAATCTTTAAAATCTTCAATAACTAACCAGCAAAGTTTTTTTACTAAACCACTGCAACAACATAAAGCAGCAACGATCGCATCATATAAAATATCGCATTTGCTAGCTAAGAATAAAAAAACCATTTACAGATGGAGAATTAGTGAAAGAAGCCATGTTAGAAGCTGCTGATTCACTTTTTTGAAGAATTTAAAAATAAAAAGGAAATAGTTTCAGCTATAAACACGTTGCAATTATCAGCACGAACTGTTACTAGAAGAATTGAAGTAATTGCGGAGAATTTGGAGGCAGAATTAGCAAATGATATGGAAAATTGTATTTTCTTTTCGCTACAGATGGATGAATCGGCAGACGTGACAAATATATCACAATTAGCAATTGCAATGAAGATGGTATTTTCTGATTTTACAACAAAAGAAGAATTCCTTAAAGTTCTGCCATTAAAGGGAAGCACCAGAGGAGAAGATATCTTTTCTTTTCTACTTTTAAAAAGTATATAACAGATGTAAAATTACCTGTACAAAAGTTATCGTCAATTACAACAGACGGGGCACCAGCGATGACTGGTAAGAAAAAAAGGATTTATTGCCTTATGTAGACAGGATTCCTTATTCCCGAAATTTATTTCTTATCATTGCCTCATACATCAGGAAATGTTATGCGCAAAAACAATCGGTTTTCAACACGTATTTACGATAGTAACAAAAATTATTAATTCCATAAGATCGGGAGCTATGCAACACAGATTGTTTAAATTACTTTTAGAAGATGAGGACGTTCAGTTCACAGATCTTCTTTTTACATACTGAAGTGAGGTGGCTGAGCAGAGGTAAAATACTTGAGCGGTTTTTATCATGCTTTTGCCACAAATAAAGGAATTTATTGCATCAAAGAGGCGAATTTTACGAGCAATTAGAAAATAAGGATTGGCTAATCGACCTCGGATTTCTGACAGATATAACGGCAAAGTTGAATGAATTAAATTTAAAAATACAAGGGAAAAATCAGCATATCGCTGACATGATTAGTGGCAGTAAATGCATTCAAATGCAAGTTAGTGTTGTTGAAATCCCATCTATTGAAAAAATCATTATCACATTTCCCAAATATAAAAAATATACTGTTGAGAGTTTAAATTTGAATAATGAATAATGAAAATTTTACTGCTACATCATACTTTAGAAATTATAGATAAGCTAATAGAAGAGTTTTCTTCTAGATTTGAAGATTTTGCAGCATTAGAACCCGTTTGTAAGATTTTTCATAAATCCATTCAATGTTACTGAAGATGATGTCCTTGAAATAGTTTTCAGTGTATTTCGAGCTTCATAATATCGAAGACCTAGAATTAGAAATAATAAACTTGCAAAGTGATATTATTTTAAAAGTGCATAGTCATGATAAAATGTTTTGGAACTTAGTCGATGAAAATAGGTATCCTATTTTAAGGAAATGTGCGACTAAAAATTTATTCATATTGTGCAACAACATACAATTGCGAGTCTTTGTTCTCAAATATGAAATATTTGAAATCAAAATACCGAACAAAGCTTAATGACTCACATTTAGATAATTGTTTAAGGACCGGGAACTCTAAATATATCCCCAATTATAAGAAATTAGCTGAAAATATGGACAAAATTAGCTGAAACCCAAGTTTCACACTGAATTATATGTATCACTTATGTATGACACCAACAAAATAAAGTTATAAAACATCTGTTTTTTTTTTAATGCCCATTTATACCTGCTGATTATCTGTAAAATATGTGCCCTCGGTGATTTTCAAATTTAGTATTGCGCCCTTAAGGACAAACAGGCTGCCGACCCCTGGCTTGCACCATATGCATACCTTTCCTTAAAAGATATTTACTTATCTGTACTTAATGCAGAAGTGTCTGTTTATCAAAATAAGTGAAATAAAGAGATACCACAAAATTCAGTTTCAATGAAAGACTTTCTTTTAATTATCCATACATTCATGTCTAATGAATTCCACTGCAATTGGTACATCAACTGAAAAGCTCTCGTCTTCTTCATCCTGCATTTTTCGCAGTATCCGCTGCGAAAATAAAATCAAATGACAAATACAGATGGCAAATGACAGATGTGAAAGGGTGTGAAAAGGGTTTAAACTTCAAACAAACAAATAAAAAAAGCAAGGACCACCCATGTGTCCATGATATAAAGGGAAAATGCTGGGGGCACGTTTGGCCCTGCTTTCCAATTAAAAAGGCTCTTAATGCTTTTTCAGTATTTATTCACTGAGCAATTACATAAAATGTGCTACGTACACACATGCAAACAGATCACCCAGTGAAATAATTACAGGATGAACAGATCTTTCATCTTTAAGTTCAATTAATTAAAATAACAAAACCAAAAAAGGTTACAAAAATATTGTGCAAATTAGAGAACGCAGTTAAAAAAAATTAAGACTAGTTCGTGTGCTTATATCACTGGGTTTCTCCCTACTAATCTAGGTAAGAAATGTATTTTAAAAAACGCATTTTTAGAAAGCCAAATCAAAGTTTGCATAATTTGTCAAAGACAAATTATTTCACTGGGCATTTCTTATTAATATGTTGTTTCCACTGAACTGGTGCAGTTAACTTTCTTTTCCACTCTGAAAAAGGAACTTATATGAACTTATGGCATAGAAAATCTGAACAAAAGTGCATTCAAATTTGTTAATGTTACACCACAAAATCAAATATACATTGGGTGGTCTCGTGGGAACGCCAACCAAGTACTCGAGCGGCGTACTTTTTTTTAGTTATACTGTAATCACAGTGATTTAAAAAGAAATCAAAGACTGCAAAAAAGCTGCATGTCACATAATGAACTACACACAATGTCTGAAAAAAGTTCAAAAAAACAAATTTTTAAAATGTCCGTAAAACATTAAGATTTTGCATTCTTCCAAGATGTTGAGTCTGTTTTCGATTTTGCTGAAATGAAGTACAATAGCCACAGAGGAGGAAAAAAAACATCAGGAAGAGAATGAAAAATTTTTTCTTCTTCTGCACCAGTTTCTCCCTTCCTCCTGAAAAAACACAATTTCGTTATCTGATCATATTTCGGATTCCGACGTCAGGCGAGAGACCTTCGGGGTGTACACGGAAGCGTTGGGATCCAGATTAGATTTGGCGACTTTCTCCTCACCCATGTATTTAGGTGAATACAGTAAGGATGACACAATTCCAGAGGACAGGCTGATGGCAGGTGGGTTTGAAGGATAACAGTTAGGACTGGAAGTGACCGGCATCACTGCCATCACCTCCGCAATCTTTGATTTCAGTTCATCAATCTCTTTGTCCTTCTGTGCCAGCAATGCTGAAAGACAGAAAATATGCATCATTCATATAATAATTTAATTAATAAAAATACACTCAATTTCAATACAATCTAGAACCTTCTGAATTTTGGAAATTTACATATTTCAGATCATTAATTTAAAATTGAGTACAATTTCATATAGAAATTTTATGATTAAAAATATGAAAGGTTGTTTCTAAAATAATAGCTTAAGGGAACTAAATCTTACCTCCCAAATAACCCCAAGTATTAAGATTTGTTTTGATATATTAAATGTTTTTCCCAATATAAGTTGTTAAAGTAATTTTGTTTTATACGTTAATACTTTAATTTTATAGAGACTTGTTTCATTAAATGTTTTATTTCCTATACAAGTTGTTCAAGTAATTTTGTTTTATGTGTTAATACTTTAATTTTACAGAGAAATATAGTTTCTTGTTCAATTACAAAGTTCTTTTGTTCAACACCTATATTTGCATCATTTATAATTCCCATTAAGCAATTAACTGTAATATGTTCAGTCCCAGTAGGCTCTTCATTACTTTCTTCACGATCTCTGGTTATGTTCTTGAGACTTGAGATCAAATTACAGATTTTACCATCTGGCTGACTGACGGAAGAATAATACAGACAATAGTTTTAGTAACAGCTAGCTGTTACTAAAACTTAAATTTTTATAACCTTGCAGTAATAATAATAATGTACTGAACAAAATCATGAGCTGGATCAAATCAGAAAACTAAAGAAATGCACAATTCACAATGCTAGCTGAGCTTAACCAGAATCTGATTCTTCTCTTACATGTGAACAAAAGGAAACGAGAATGTGCTCCAAATAAGCACTGGTCTTCAAGGTTTCAGTTATTATGTATTTATAAGATAGAAAAATGCTGCCTCCCACAATAATACGAAAGTTGAAAATAAAAACACGATTCACTAGCTGCCACGCATTTGAAGTTGAAAATAGCATGCAGAACGATTCAGTATTGTATGAATAGTATGTATATGTTACGGTGAAACATCGAATGTGGAGCATGTCGACTTTCACCGGGGAATGTCAACGTTCACATAGTCGCTTGGTGTATGTCCGAAATATTTTCCAAATATTCTTATTTTCTGACTTACACCGGCAAATATCGACATTCACCATGTACTAATGGTGAATGTTGAACATATAAGAATACAGTCAAAAGTCTTTAATCCGGACTCGTCGGGACTTCGGCGATTCCGGATTATCGATTTTTCCGGATTATAGATCATCAGTTTAAATCTGGTAAGATGGCATGCAGAAATTATAAAATTAAAAATATGAAACCGTAATTTATGAAATAAAAAACAATTATGATCTAAATGGTATCAAAATTTACAAAAAAAAAAGCTTAATATTTATTTGTTTACTTTATTAAACATTTCTTTCAATGTAAGTTGTTTAAGTTGCTTCGTTTTTTATGTGATAATACATTCTCTTTAATTTTATGAACAGACATAATTTCTTGTTCAAAGTTCCACTGTTCAAGTCCTATAATTGCTGTGTCGAGAATACCGACTAATTTGTCGATCGAAATTTTTTCATTTTCAATAACCTCTGTCACTTTCTTCGCTATCGGAAGCGAATTATAATGACGAGGAATTTGATTTAAATCATATCAAAGACGGAGTACATCGAGATGAAATACTACATTTAGTAAGGAATTATAAGCCAAATAAAATAAAAACATCTGCCCTGAAGATAAGGACAGTGCTGACAGATCAACTTCCAATTATTTGCGCGCCTGCCCCCGTGTTAAAGATAAACAAAGTTTAGATCAACAAACGTTGAAGTTTAGATAAACAAAGGATATGCCCTTATCCATTTTTTGCAGCAATTCCACTTTTTGTTTAACGGACTTTGAAACATACTTTCGTTTTGTATATCCTTTACATATTAGTAAATATATATCAGAAATTCTATTTGACATAATCGAAAGTTCAAGCTTACTTTTATAAAATTGTTCTAACAGTCTGCAAAAAATAATAAGCCGAATCCAATCCGAAGATTAAGGAACAATACAATCTGCAACATTAACTGAATTAGATAATTTTAGCTTAGCTTATACCGTCCAATATACATTACACGCGCATTCGTAAACGTATTTTTTGCACGCATATTCGCAGCCGTAAAGGTCTTACGCGATGCATGTGCAGAAAGTTTGTAGCTTTGAGGTACGGATTATAGATCATTCCGGATTATGGGTGTCCGAATTAACGACTTTTGACTGTATTATATTTTTTTCTCTGTAATTCAGTCGCGAAAAAACGCACTTGAGACTTAAAATAAGAACTTAAAACACACAGTACATTCAAAATGAGAAAGGAAAATAATAGAACTTAAAAACTTACTAAATTATGTGATTCAAATCTTATTTATTGCAACAACTTAATCTATTATGACACACTGAACTGCACAAGAGGCCCTTGTTTTTACAGCTGCATTTATTTGTGGAACACTTCCTTTTGCAATGACAGTGTGTACATATACTCCTCTGTTTTCGACGTACACCAGAGCATATGTGCGATTGTCAACAAACACCGGTGAGGGTCGGAATGTACAAGAATGTAATGCAATATTCGATCTTTCACCGACGTATTTGGTGAATGTTGACATTCTCCAATTACAGTCTTTCACGGTAACATATATAGTATTATCACAGATAACGAAACTTTTTGGCAACCCCCCCCCAAGAAAATCTCAACTAAATAAAGCAAAAATCGACTTATGGTATATTTGCTTGAGAACTGTATTATTCATTCCTACATTGTGTGAGAAAAAGGAAATAAGAAACTTTATAGGGAGGTTCAGATAATAAACCACTCACTTTGTTTCATTACTGGCATATTAATAACTCTTTAATAAAAATAAACTAACAAAAAAGTAACATTATATATATATCAATTGTTTCAAAAAAATAAATTGAATTTAAATACAATTTTAATTAATTCTTTGTACATATTTATTATACATATTTATATTTATTATTATACATATGTTTAAATATATATATATCAATTTTACACATAAATTGCTTTTCACTCAAAATTTGTATTAGCGTAAATCTTAATTCAGTACAAGTTCTTTGGTACTCTACTTTAGTTCTAAATCTCTTCGCTTCACGAACTCTTTGGCCTAACTTAATTTACCAGTTTGGCACCACCATTATTACTTCAGTGAAAGACGAAACACCTTCGTATTTATTAATTATTGTTCACTGAACGGGAGTTGGTTTGTTCCCTTGAAAAGACAACTAATTTCCGATCAATAGCAATAATTACTTTTTAATTTAATTTCTTTTTCAAAGTTTGAAATTTTGTTATTCATGATTTAATTCAAGTCTCTGTAAAACATTTTTAACAATTTACATTCAAGTTACTTTAAAACAATTTTCGGAATTAAACTTCTTACCTATGGGTTCACTCTTTTTAGATACTTCTACTAAAATTAATATTAGGAGATAATACAATCAATATTTATATATATATACATATATATATAATCTTTATAACAATTTTTATGATCTTTACAACAATTTTTCAGAAAATCTTCCAAATGTGTATTACAAATACAGGTATTATGGCAATGATGATAAAATGTACTATTTTTGATTTTGTAATCACAATTAAGTAGTTTGAATCTTGTATAAGGATTCATTTGCTTTGTGTTCAGTTTATCTTGGCTCATCTGATTAAAAAGGTTCACCAAATGTGTTTGTATCTATAGGAATAAAAATCCTTTTGATCTGCTGATTGAATTCAATCCCTCTGTCTCCAGCTTTGATTAAACCTTCTTTTCATTTTAAATTTATTATACTGCAATACCATATACAATTAAAAAGTGTTAAAATACGGTACCACTAATGGTATATTACATTATTTTCAGTGGCACAGTTTTTAAATGAAAGATTTAAATGAATGTTCAAAAGTAATGTAAAATGTTGTAATTTGAAAAGAAAATTACTTTTATGACGATCTCCATATTATTTATCATTTATGTGGTACAAAATTTAAACACCTAGTATAAGCGAAATATTGCTTTTAAAAAGCAATTCATACAGAATTACTTGTGGTATTTTACTAGCCTTCATCATACATCTCGCTTCTTCTTACTGATGCTATTTCATTGTAATAATATCATTTCTTCACTGCAGTTCTCATACAAATTTGAATTTGAAAACAAGCTTGACATTTCTAACATAATTATTTATAAATAATAAAAAATCAACTTACTTTGTGCAATTTCTAACTGACGTTTAGCTTCTCCCAATGCCGAGAACAGGTCGAGTTTTAATCTGGTCTCCGCACTGAGGCTGTTTTCGAGGCGCGCATTTTTCTCCTCCATTGCATTTAGTGCAGAAACCAAAGCTTGTGTGCTACCAATGTTCTCTTGGTAAGAGGACAAAGACTAAAAAAAAATTCAATATATAAGTCTCCTAATAAAATTCAACAAAACATTAAAATTTTTAAAATTAAACCTCACATGCAATGATGGATGAATAATTTGTCCCTTTAGTGTACATTGTAAACAAAGCATTAAAATTTTAGGAAACATTAAAATTTTTTTAATATTGTGCTTTTGTAGTTATTCTTCAAAGAAATAAATGCTTTAATTTTACAACTACTGAGGATTATTTAACATTCAGTTTCTCAAGTTTTAAGCAACTCTAAGAAACATTAAGCTTTAAATCATAAATATTTTTCTCATCATATATAAATATTATTCTATTAAAAAAAACAGAAGTTCGTTTATTTCTGCAAAATAACATTAATTTTCACACATTGTAAAATATTCTTGGAGTCGGGCAGATTTTGGGGTAAAACGAGTCAGAGCTGGAGTCGTTAAAAACAGGTCGACTCCGACTCCAGTTTTCATTGAACAGTTTGAATTTGATATGAAATTAAAATGAATTGAAAAAAGTAATGACGAGCTGAGTTATTATTTTTATTTATGAACTATATATATTAATAAACAGTTATTTTCTATTTTATTGACATATTAATAAATAAATATAAGGAAGGAGGATGGATGTGATATTTGCCATTAGTGATTAATGATTCATTTAGTTACAAATCTCACTGGTAAATTTAAGTAAGCAGCAATAGCAGCAAGAACTCCCAAAACTGATGCCATTCTTAGAAAGTGAGCAGGAAAAGGAGCAATTATTGATCAAGCAATGGAATAAGGAAGTACTATTTGATGATAAAGAGGTTGTTAGAATTAAGAATGTTTTTAGAAGATGTAGATAACCCTAATATTTCACTAACAGAAAGACTGTGGAATGATCTTGCAGAATTGGAAACTCTTCTTTCTACACTGTATATAGCCACAAAAAAGCTGCAATCTGAAGAATTAACAGGAGGTGAGAATGAAAGAGTGTGATAATTGTTCTTTCTGAAATGGAGGATTTATTGCAGAAGGAATCATTTCTTCAAAACTATTTTGCTAGACAATGAGATTTTGCTGGGTTCAATATATGCAGATACGAAACACCGAATTTTCTTGGATGATGAACAAATTAAAAAGGTAAAGAAAGCCATATATGAACTTTCCTTAAGAATGAAATTATTCTTAGAATAATTGGAGAATTTGAATCAGAACAGTCAAACTGCAGACACTGCAATTGAGTCTCTATCATCCTCTTCCAAAGATGGGTTAGATTTTGAGAAATATTTTTGGATAATATTGAAAAGGTTAAGGCAAAGCGAATGAAAATAAAGAACCAAGAGACTTTAGATACAAAAATGAAAAAATACAAACAAGATTTCTACACAGTTTTTGAAAAAATAGAGAAATATGATTGCACTTTTGAGACACCTCTTTTAGAACTTATAAAAATCTATCCTGAAAAGTTAAAAAAAGAAGCCCTAATAGTAAGAGCTCTTCCTCCTACTCAAGTCAGTGTGGAAAGTTCTCAGCTTTGAAATTTATCAAATCGGGTCTATGGGCCTCCAATAAAGAAGATTTTGACGAAGCTATACTGTTTCTTAGAAATAACTAATGCCAGTTTTTCTATTTCATGATAAATAATTTGCTATGCCATCATTTTTGTTTTCTCTGTAGCATATATTACTTCTTTCATATTAAAAAAAATAAGCTGTAACCCACGTGTACAAGTTTACACATATATATTGCTGCGAACTAATTTACAATATCATTTAAATTCTAAGAGCATATGTAAATTATATATGAGGGAGTTGGTCATTTTCCATACCGACTCCACAGCCCTGAGGGGGGGGGGGAATTGCTTGAAATTCATACATGAAATTTCACTTTTGATTAATATTTAAACCACAACTATCTAATCAGCTCAGAAATACTGCCTTCAATGCTGAAAAAATTAAAATCACATAAATTATGCTTGAAATACAAAAACACACTTAAAAAATCCTATGCTATTACCTTTCAAAAGTAATAATAATAGATTAGACTGCAAAGGATTATAAATATAGTGAAATTACATTAAGACCTGCAGTTTCATCTATGAACATTCAGTTTTCAACACAATTTATTAAAGAAGCCACTTAGTTCACTTTTTGACACATTACTGCATCTTTTATATAATAAGCTTTGTTTATTTTATTAAGACTTTGCATTTTCTTAAACATTTACTTGGGACCTATAGTGCATTATTAATAGTTTTTCATGTTTTTTTTATTTTTCCTATATCCACATTAAAGGCATATATATATACATAAAATAAAATTAAAACAGACTGGGTTTGCATTTTCATTATTTCAGTATTTGCTTAATTTCTATCTTAATCAATCAAATTAGTAGATGTTTGTAACACACAAAATTTTTCTGCACTTAAATTCATGCTTGAATCTTTACTTTGCAACATTATTAAAATATATGTATTTCATTATGGATAGATAGAATTGTGCACACACATGTATAAACATATTTTTTAATAAAAAAAGTAAACTTTTAAATAGTTTGAACTAAATTTCTGCTGGATTTATGAAGTGGTTGTTTCATCGAGTTTCATTTTTGTTCTGCTTCGCTGTATCTGAGTATATTTTTAAAAATTTATCTTGATTTTAATGATTATTTTAAAAACATTTTTCATTTAAATTAATTTTATGCAATGACTGTTTTGAATTTGCTTTTAATTTTAATTTTAAATTATTACCATGAAATTGCAGCAGCTTTCAATGCTAGCTTAACTACCATTATAGTAGAATTTATTTTTTATTACTTTATTACATATGGGTATCTATATGGAATTATCTTATTGTTTCTATTTCACTCATGGCCACAACAGATAATGTATGTCATCAATTAGTTTTCATAACAAAGATTTAAAAATGTCTTGTACTGGATTATTTTTCTTTTGATCCGAATAAGAAAAAAATTTGTACCTGTGCCTGTCGTTCCATCTGCTGAATTTTTTCGTCTCGCATTTTCAAATCACGACGCAGCTGTTTCATATCATTTTCCAGATCTCTCCTACGAGACTTGCAATTTTCTGAGCATTCCGTCCTACATTAAAAATAAATAAATACATAATATCATTGCATGCTATAGATTCACAGTGATCTTTTTAAACAAAAATGAACAGTAATAATTTAAAACTTTACTGAGAAGAATAACTGCTTTTATACACAGATAAACTGCTACAAAGGAGATCAAGGAGATAATGCAAAATTTGCCTTAACATGCAAAATATTTTACAGATGAAAACCTAAATGGGTAACACAAAATGTGATACACAGCTGTGAAGCTTGAAAAATGAAAAACTGGGAGTTTTCATGTGGTTCTTGAACTATGTGGTAAAACCATTTCAAAAGAATTACAAACTGAGTTCCATTTATAATACGATTCTGATGTAAAATATATTAATGTTTATTTAAATATTCTAAATTTTATGTTCTTTGGCTAATTTAAATTTGTAATTTTCTTGCACTTTTATACTGAAAAAAATGCTTTTACCTACCAAAGTACTTTTTATAAGATGAAAATCATACTAAAAATCAACGCATATATTATTATGCAGATAAACAATGCAATGTATTGTTATACAGATGATGTAAAACAAAATTAATTACAAACATTAGCAAATTAAATACGAGTTGAATTCCAGAAAAAATTCTACAGATGTCTACAGTAACTTATGACAATTTGTTAGTTGATTAGGTTAATTTCTTATTAAATTTTATTTAAAAAGATCACATAAAATTTAATAACAGAAAATCACTAGGGGTGAATAATGCAGCCTCATCTCTACATCTTTGTCAAAAAAAAGAGCTTAAACATTTATAGGTGTTTTGGAGAAAAACTATTCCCAGGGCTTCAACAAAAATATAATTTCTGGAACTTTCAGAATGTTATCAAATTCGAAGGAAATCGACTGTCAGCAAATTCAAAGGAAATCACCAAATACCAACAAGCCTATATAAGAGTGTTTCTTTTTTATTACTTAGCTATCATTAGAACACCATTATCAACTGAAAATGCAAAAATAAATACAAATGGATGAAGTAATGCTCCTCCAAAAAAAGAATAGAACATACAATAAACAAATACGACACGAAATGCATTAAGTAAGAAAATAAAAAGCAACTACGAGGCGTATTCGGAAACTAAGTACCATTTTGAGAAAAAAAAAAAAAAATAGTAAAATAATTTTTTCGAATCAAATTTTATTTTTACATGAAAATACATGTCTTAAACTATTTTTCAACATAGTTTCCGCCAATGATCAAACACTCGTCATAGCGTGTGACCAGTTTTTGTATACCATCGTCAAAGAAACTTCCCGCCAGTTTCGATAACCACGACTCCACAGCATTTTTCGTGTCATCGTCAGATCCAAAGCGCTTGCCCCCAAGCTCATGCTTCATGTGGCGGAACAAGTGATAGTCGGACGGCGCCAAGTCCGGGCTGTACGGCGGGTGATCTAACTGCTCCCTATGAAACTGTCGAATTAATGATTGAGTAACACCAGCAGTATGGGCCGAGCATTGTCATGGAGCAACACAATTCCTTTACTGAGCATTCCTCTTCATTTGTTTTGAATGGCATGCCTTAGTTTTGTTAAAGTCTCACAATATCGTGCCACACTAATGGTTTCACCTCTGGGAAGAAATTCAGTAAGCAAAACACCTTTCCTATCCCAGAAGACAGTGCACATGATTTTTTGTGATGACATTGTCATTTTGAACATTTGTTTTTTCGGAGAATGAGTGTGTCTCCACTCCATCAATTGTTGTTTCGATTCTGGTGTGAAATGACACACCCAAGCTTCATCACCTGTCTCACAATTTGGTTTAAAAAGTTTTCTCCCTCATCACTGCACCGCGTGAGAAACGTCAGGGCACTACCAAGTCGCTTTGTTTTGTGAACATCAGTGAGCATTTTTGGAACCCATCAGGATCACAGTTTGCGATAATTCAAGCGGTCAGACACGATTTCGAACATAACAGTACGTGAAATTTGTGGAAATGCCTCTGAAAGAGTTGTCATAGTGAAGTGTCTGTTCTCATGAATTGCTTCATCAACTTTCCTTACCAAATCATCGGTGACAACAGAAAGCCGACCACTCCGAGCCACCCACTTTCTCACCATTCCATCACTTATCGCGTATTCACCGTAAGCTTCTGTCACTTGACGATAAATTTCGGCCGGTTTAACATTCCTCGCGTTCAAAAATTTAATCACGGCACGAATCTCACAGTCAGAGGGAGAACTAATTGTCTTAAACATTTTGAATGTGCACAGCAAACTGAAAACACAACATAGAGCAACCAAAATGGCGACAATTGAAAGTCGGTGAACAAGAAAGACTAGTGCGCATGCGCGGGATGCCTACCACAGCGCTGCGACGGTGCTAGAATGAAACCGTACTTAGTTTCCGAATACGCTACATATTATAGCGATGGTCTTAAAGCCAGTGATCATGCACACACACTGACCCTTTTTACATGTGCACATCATTTAAAATTTACTCCAAATCTCTGAGGATTTATCATTACATAAATAAAAATATTATCTAACTACTGCCAACTGATAAAACTAAATCTTTACTATTAAATAAAACAACTTGACATTAAAAGCTCCAATAGCTCTTGCATTTCTTTTATGAATAAAAACTGATAAATAGATGAATCCAAAACTATTAAAGTGTCATAAAATTACTCTATAAGATCATAATAAACAGAATTTTATCCTCACATACCTCGCAGTTGCCATTGCTACAGCTCGGGCAGCTGCCGCTTCTTCTGCTTTCTTAGCTTTCCTTTCTGCTGCAAGCTGATTTTCATACAACGTACGCATCTTCCTTTCTTCCTGTACACGTTTCTCCAGAGAAGAGATAGTTTGCTTGTCTTGCTGCCGCGCTGTCACTAAATTGTGAAGCCTGCAACACAAAATTCAATTATTCATTACCTAATAAGCAATAAAAGATTTTATAATGAGAATGGGCTTCACTTTCCATTTTCATCACAAACATGAGAACAAAAATGCTAACTAAAACCCACTAACAAATGTATTCTGTGTGATTTCATTAAAATTTATACAGGCAGCTAAGAACAGAATTATAAATATCCTTATTATTAAATAAATAAAAAGCATTAAATTAATGAATATATGCCTTTGTTATAATTTGAATACATAAATTTTCAAACAACTAGCAATGTGGGACTGTTATTAACAAGCGTTAAACTGACATATTGAGTACAAAGGTTTAAAAAAAAAATACACTAACTGTAAATATCTTGCTGATTGCATAAAAATAAAATGATATAATCTGCATTTATAAGAGCAGATCATCTTGTTAGTATTATTATTAAATTAAAAGATCCTAATTCAGAACAGATTAAGTTTTCTATTCTAAATAAATACAAACAGAAATTCTTTTTACCCATAAGGAAAACATTTTACTATCTCTTTACTCGATATATAAAAAGATAACTTGATATTATCACTTTTTTTTTAAGAATTTAATTAAGTCAGGAATCGAGTATATTAATTGCTTTCTTAACAAATAGCACAAATTAACTGCAGTTGTAAATAAAATAAGCAGAATAATGCATTTGCAACTGTTATTAATTTTAACTGCTTCTGTCATTTGGCATTTTAAACAATTTAGTATTTTAATTTAACCTTTTCAGGATGGGTGGCCACTATATTGTCAGTTGAAAGGATGGGGTTGTCCGCTTTAATGGTCATGTTTTCCCCCTCATTTCCAGGCTAAAAGATTGGGATGAAATGTCAAATGGAGTTTTAACCATTAATCTCTTTCAAAGGCCTTTGTATTACATAAATTTTCCCTCATTGAGGAAAAGCATCTAAAAGTTTAGTCACTTATTCCTACATTTCCCTTCTTTCTATGCAAGAAATTCACCCCACTGAGAACCGATTAAGCAACACACAAGGATCTCTGTTGCAACAAGAGAGTGATTTCTTAAAGGGGATAAAGCATTAGGTTCAAGATTCCTGTTCTTTCAAGCCTCTTACAGCAGCCAATGCCTCGTCCTCAAAAGGTTAACAGATATAAAGAGTTATTTTGATTTGTTGCTACCTTTTATTTACATATTTAATTAATTGTCAACTGGTCTTGGATGAGGCATGTGTCATTATTAAATACTTCCTTTCATGCTTATATAAGCAACCTTAAGTCTTAAAAAGAGATGGAAAAGCTTCAAATAAATACTAACTTTAAAAAAAGGGGGATTTTTTTACATCCTTCTTTTTTAATATGCATAATGTCGGCGGTACTTTTCCATTTTGCCAGTGCAAGTCATAGAGTCACTAAAAATGGTACAAATGCCAAAAGGAATATCCTCGTTGGTAGCCTTTTATGCCTCATTTTCAAAACAAGTCGTAGCCATTTCTTACCAGATTGATTGTTTCTTTCAATACTGGCATACAATTACATAGAAGTTTTACCAGATAGTTCAATTGTATGCCCTAAGGCTTATTCACGGTAATTAAGTCAATTAGAACACAATCGCACCGCTCACCTGAAGGCAAAAATATAGAAAAGGCATAGTCAAGGGTTTAAATTCATCAATTCTGATGAGAATGCACTAACGAAATAAAGCACTGTGGTTTTACATAATTTCCGAGTAAGCTATTCGTATGAATTGAAATAATTCTTGCATTTAAACCTGTATTCCAAATTAAAATTTAACTTGCAATTAATGTACATAATTTACTGAGAGAATTTGATTTTTGTAGTGTAGTTTATGTGAGATGAGATCACTTGGGATATGAAACGGCAAATCAGGATGTTGTATCATGAAAGCATAGTAAATTCTTAAATTAATGTCTTTTTACAAAATTTTAAACAATATGTTCAAATACCTTTAAAATAAAAATTTCTTAGAACTAACAATTTTTATGTGTAAACTGCTTGGCGAGATTTGCGCCGGCGAAACGGAAAAATACCATGTCAGTAAATGGTACATTAATTCATTAATATTAATACTATTTTATTACACGGGCACTGTTTTATAACTCTTTTTAGAAACAAATGCAAAATAATTACTAGAATTATTAATTTTTTCACATGTAAGTTTACATCCTATGACCAAACAAGCAAATGTTTACTTCTATGTAATGTTAAAACAATCAAAAGTCATGCCTTTCATAATTCATAAAGTACTCATCAAATTTGCTTAAACATATTAATATTTCTTCAGTACTTTTTTTTTTCAATCTTCCTTTAATTCTCTTAGCATATAATTAAATACTCTGATCTACTTCACAAAAACTACTAATGCATGGTGCAATAGTACACAACTGTAGCATAGTTTTCGAGCACTTAAAATTAGTATACCTACAAAGGAAAAGTTCTTCCAAAGATAAAGAATTAAAAAAAAAGAAAAAAAAAACTATATAAAATATTGCCAACCCATTGACAATTAATCACATATATGCAAATTTCATTTCATGGAGACAAAAAAAAAAAAAAAACGCACTGTATGTTTATAAGCTAAATCCTAGTCAAAAGTGCAATCAATATACATTAATTTCAAAAACTAAATAATAAAAAGTATAAATTAATGCCATACTTGTGTTGTAAACTTTCATTATCTTGCTGTAGCTGAAGAAGCTCATTTTTTATAGAACGTTCTCCTACAGATATGCTATGTATCTGACTTCTGAGGTCCTGTTCACACTGCCTGCTGGATTGCAGATCAGCTTTCAGCCTTTTTATGTCAGCTTCTAGCCTATAGACCAATTATGTATATTTTAAATTAGCATTGCAAAAGGACAATCATTTTTAGAAAATATACATAACAAGAAGAGACTACAACTATATCTTACGTGAAATTATTTTCAATAATTAAATAAAAATAATTCAGCATCATAATATTTTTGCAGACACATCCACACAGGTTCTTCTAACTAAAAAATAATGCACTTGTTTTGGCTCTTAAAGTAACCCCCAGAGCGGTCAATGTGTTAAGATAATCCTGCTACTGATGGACAATGTGAAATTGATTTTCCAAAGTTTTTTTATGAGAGATACATCCTACTTTCTGAAACTCATGATAAAATTATTGTAATCCAAAGAAAATCGATACATAGTGAAAAAAGTGAAATTTTAAGTGTGTCAATTATTAATATACATTCAAAAGCCAATTAACATTTATCCCACTTTAATCAAATAAACATGATGCCACCGACTATAAATTCTTAGATTAAACTATAAACTATTAATAGAGAGATACTATAAAACAAACTATCAACTGAGGGGGCGGGGAAAAACCACTTATAAATAAAAGGAAAATTACAGTAGCAGAGAAAAAGCACAGTTTAGGATGACAATATTAAGTACATGCATTTTTCATTCTTTAGCTAAATCAAGGAATTTAAGTAAATTACATAATTGACAATCTATATCCCTATCCCTAAAAGACTGTAATAATGTATCAAAAAAGGTCTCTATCCTTTCTGGCTATATATATAAACTAAAAATGGTACAGACAACAGCACAATCCTGCATGGAGATGGGGAAAAAGAAAAGGAAAAGAAAGAAACTACAGCTATACTTTTCTCTGATCAGGAATTACTTAGAAGATTGCAGTAAAAATTAGATTTGAATTCTCGGATATTAAAAATTTTAAGGCAAACGCGATGCAAGGCTTAGAGCTTTTCTCTCCCCCAACCTATATTAATCACATCTTTTACTCAAAGAACACACCACTTAGTGTAATATGAAGAGACTGCATTCTTTCTACAAGCGCAATATGAACAGAAGCATCCTCAGTGAAGTACATTTTTGTGTGCAGCAAACAATTCATTAGAACTTGGTTCAAAGATTGCAAATTAACCTTACAGCACACGCACTTGGCAATTTTAAATGAGCACGCGCGCGTCATATTTTTTTTTTGCCACATCAGTTATGATCTGTAATGACCTTAATGGATGGCACTAGTTTACAGAATATATTGTTTAACAAAAGCTGGCCGAATTTGGGTAGAGATGCTTGTGTCTTTCTCTATTAATAAATATTTTAATCTTTTTAGTATGCTTTACATGGAGAAAGTTCCAAAATAAAACCATTAAAGTATACTCTGGAAATCCTCTTTTACAGCAAACCCAAAAAAAGTACAAATTAATTTAAACAAAGAATAAATTCATGCAAACCACTATAAAATTTAACATAAAAGATCCACATTAAGATTTAGATTTGTTTTTAGGTATTAAAAAAATAATTTTTCATTTTAATATAATTTAAACATTATACCTATAATTAAATTAACTATAATCATACAAAAAAAAAAAATATAGGGTGAAACAAGAGGAAAGCCTGAAATAAAAATTGGCAAAATGTGCACATTTAAAAAATTTTTTAAATAAAATAATTTTTAAAATCTCTATAAATTAAACTAAAAATAAAGTTTCAAGTAAACGAGAAAATTACCACATCAAATCTTTAAAAGATTTAAGATTTTGGATTATACGAAAATATGAATTAACTTCTAAAAATTTGCAATTTTTAAAAATAAAATTTTTTTAGAGAATTTTATTAAGATATTTTTTCCCCAAGGAAAAATGTCATTTAGCCATTAATGGAGCACTAGGTATAAATGGGTTAAAAGGAGGAAAAAATAAACATCTTTCAAAATCTCAAAACTAAGAGACACTTGGATCCTTACAAAATGGACTCATAGCAAGTTTTAGTCCTCATTCCGTTACAGAGGTGAGATGAACCACAGCTACTAAAAGCAAAATGAAACATTTTATGTTGTATAAGATTGATAATTGCTTATTATTTTCATAAGGTGTCTCCCTTCCAAGGAATATTAATTTCCCATGTAGGGAAAATAATACCACAAATTTTCAGACATTTTTAATTTTTTAATTCTACCGAACACTACTTATTATTAAGAGGAAAACACTCCCCTCAATAATAAGTAGTCAGTGTGAAATAAGTAATAACTTTTAAAAATATATACTATCCTTCTAACATCAAATAAAAGTGAATTAAAAAGTGAAGAAGGAATTTATACAACCATTAAAGTAAACCAATATATACACATGTATACAGAATACACATAGTATACAGTGCATGCAGGACAGGTTGAAAAAGATGAAAATCAAAGTTTGCAAAAAATTATGTTACAAAAAAGAGATCTTCAACTCATGTAAATTGAATATCTTATATCTTTTTTTAAATGGATTTAAGATGAAACATATCTATTTTTCTTTAACATAGACATGAATAATTTCACACCTTCATTTCTTCATTTTACAGCATAAGAAAAAATTCTGATTAAAAAAAAAAATTGAGTGAATTAAAAAATAGTACACAAGATGTTCAACCACATAATCAAAAAATCCTACCTAAAAATAATTAGAGTGTTACTTCAAAGTATTATTTAACTAAATCCATTCAAATAATAACAAACATGGAAGTAATGAAAAATGTCATTTAACTTGCTCAGTTTTTAAAAAGGAAATATAGCAGACCAATATTCAACCTAAATTTCATATATTATGAGATAACATGCATAATGTTTTACAGAAATTAAACAACAAAAATATTATTCTATAGTCAGCATAATTGTTTGTAATACATGGTCATCAGCAAAGAGCAAACATTATGTAATCAGTTTAACAATATGGAAAAAAAATCACTCTTACAGTTCAGAGTTTGATAATACACAAAAAGAAATAATTTATGCTTTTTACATAATTTTGGGGCAAAATATTGTTTTTTCCCAAAGGTGCTTGAACTGACGTTTTCACAAAATATGAACGGAAAATTATCAAGAGATGGAAAAATTTTGGAGTTCAAAATAAGACTAAAATTATATTCAGAAAATTCTTTTAATAAAAATAAGTATACAACAAATTCAAATCATTTTATAATATAGAGTTTAAGAAAAAGTCAGATGCAGCTGATAGCATATACATATGTGTTAAAAGATTTTTGATTTAATCAAACAGTTATACTATAGCATTTAAAAATTATACAGTACAAAGTCTGTAATCCAGACTCGTCGGGACTTGGCGATTCCGGATTAGTGTTTTTTCCGAATTATAGATCATCAATGTAAAAATTTAAAAATTTAAAACAATTAAAAATATGAAACCATAATTTATGAAATAAAGAGCAATTATGTTCTAAAGGGTATCAAATTTTACAAAAAAGAAGCTTAATATTTATTTGTTTACTTTATTAAACATTTCTTTCAACGCGCGCATGTGTAAAGCATACATTGTGCGCATGCGTAAAGTTTGTGGCTTTGAGGTCCGGATTATAGATCATTCCGGATTACACACTTTGTTCTGTATTAAGCAAATATTAATGTAATTTTTTTTTTAAAGATTAAGCTAAGATTAGAGCAAATAATACTGAAAGAAAACTTTTATATCAAAACTTTATATTCCAATCAAAATACATTTACTTTACTACTCAATCAAACATATTTGTAGATATTAGCATTTAAATACAAAGTGCACTTCTTTGATCCAGGACCGTGTGTTCTGGTAACGTATGCGATTTCAAACCTATCACAAATATGAAATATTGTGGCTTTGTCATTTGATACCATGGCCATGCAGTTATTAGTTGCATTCAGGATAAAAAATCATTTCATGGAGCAATTTTTTTGTTTTACAGCCCTGTTATTTTCTTATATTTAGTTGTGTTACATCCATTCAAGGTATCAAACATGATGCCATAAAAAAAGTAATAAAAACTTAAATCGTTATACATGCTAAACTATAAAAATATTGTTGAGAAACATTAACGTGTGTATTCTTTCTTGTTTTAAATTTATTATAATCTCGATATCACATCAAATCCTGCATAGACTGAGCTTGCAAGCCCAAGGGTTGGCATATGTTTCATTTATACATGGGAAATTCTTTTACACTTCTATTTCTATTTTCTGTATTGCAGTAATGACCAGATCACAAGGTTGTTGGTTTTAAAAGCTGCAACTTATAATTATCTGCAAATACAATAGATTGGGGAAAAAATCTATTTCTACAAATTAACATTACTTTAGCCACTAGATGGAAAATTTCTGAATCTGTTTGAACTAAAAAATGTGGTTTTTAAACATACCTTTGAACTACAAAACTAGATATAAAATAGTTTAAAATATTTTAATAAAAAGGCAGAATGTGCAATGTGTACTGAAAATTTTAAAAATAATAAAATATAACAGATATACAGTTGATGATAAAAGGAATATTAAACCCTTGACACACAATGACATCTTCATTGATTGCATGTTGGCACTGTAGACTTTGACATCTTTAAGATGTGAAGAACTATTTTCGGCGAATCCCGTGCAGTATATTATTAATGTTACACAGCAATGTAAATTTGGAAAAAAATTTTCTTTCTCTAAACTTGCGCACGAGTTTCCAAATTAAATGGTATTCTTCAGACAAGTATTTTATTTGTATGTCAAGAAATAATTCTCTAATTTCTTAGAGAAGTTTTACAAAGCTTCAAGAAAAAATAGTATTTTATCTGAATTATTCAATTAACATGCAATACAAATATATATATATATTAACATGATAAAACAGTATGATGATGTTATTCCCACAATGATCCCCTCAGAAAATATACAATTTTACAAAAAAAAAGGAGGGTAATGAAGATATACAAATGACAAAAAATGGGAAAATAAAATAATTCATCAGATAAATAATAATAAAGCTGTAGGAGATATAGAAGCTCATATGCAATCAGAAACTTCATAAGTACAGAAAATTCAAAAATCCTCCCTCATAGAAAGAAGGAAATTATGTAATAAAAAATGAGCAGAGGAGCCTAAACTGCACATTTTTTAATGGAGAAATCAACAATATAAAACAGATGTTTGGTAGGTTATATTATTTGCAGTTAAAATGAATATAAAACATCTGTGTAACTAAATAAATAATAACTCTAATTCTTATTATTGAACAGTTTATGATCGATCATCTATCTGTGAGAAATTTTGTTACTTTCTTATTATCTACATCCCTATCCTCATTCATGACTTGATGAATTTGCAAAAAGACTTTGCTGTCTTTACAGGTTTTAGGTACTACTCTGTTTATAAAAACAAAATAACAATAACAAAATCACTTTATAAAAAAACAAGCAATTTTATGGGAAAAACAAAAATATAAATGAATAACACATTTACATTTTTATAATCAATGCAAATTGTTCAGTGAAATATGTACAAAGCATACAAAGCTATGTGAACTTAAATTGGAGTGTTGTACATACACAAAGGTTGACTACTGCCGCAAGTATGAACACGTGTACATTGCTATGTGTTTGTAAATGCCATAAACATGACATTTCTAATGTAAGTTGGAATAACAGGTGCAGATAAACAAAAAGTACTGAATTTTTATCTACACAACTCTACACTTTCAAATAATTGATCATAAATGAAACCTTTTATACAAAAAAGAACAACTCAGTGACAACAGTAGATTTAAAATAATAAATTCCAATTTAATGGCATCTTAATAGTCACAAATTATAATACTTGTTAATACGTAGCGTATTCGGAAACTAAGTACGGTTTCATTCTAGCGCCGTCGCAGCGCTGTGGTAGGCATCCCGCGCATGCGCACTAGTCTTTCTTGTTCACTGACTTTTAATTGTCGCCATTTTGGTTGCTCTATGTTGTGTTTTCAGTTTGCTGGGAACATTCAAAATGTTTCAAGACAATTAGTTCTCCCCCCTGACTGTGAGATTCGTGCCGTGATTAAATTTTTGAACGCGAGGAATGTTAAACCGGCCGAAATTTATCGTCAAGTGACAGAAGTTTATGGTGAATACGCGATAAGTGATGGAATGGTGAGAAAGTGGGTGCATGTTTAATGCAGGTCGAACAAATGTCCACGCCGAGGCTCGGCTTTCCCTGTTGTCACCGATGATTTGGTAAGGAAAGTTGATGAAGCAATTCATGAGAACAGACGCTTCACAATGACAACTCTTTCAGAAGCATTTCCACAAATTTCACGTACTGTTTGTTCGAAATTGTGTCTGACCGCTTGAATTATCGCAAACTGTGTTCCCGATGGGTTCCAAAAATGCTCACTGATGTTCACAAAACGAAGCGACTTGGTAGTTCGCCCTGACATTTCTCACGCGGTGCAGTGATGAGGGAGAAAACTTTTTAAACCAAATTGTGACAGGTGATGAAACTTGGGTGTGTCATTTCACACCAGAATCGAAACAACAATCGATGCAGTGGAGACACACTCATTCTCCGAAAAAACAAAAGTTCAAAGTGACAATATCATCACAAAAAATCACGTGCACTGTCTTCTGGGATAGGAAAGGCATTTTGCTTAATGAATTTCTTCCCAGAGGTGAAACCATTAATGCGGCACGATATTGTGAGACTTTAACAAAGCTAAGGCGTGCCATTCAAAACAAACGAAGACGAATGCTCAGTAAAGGAATTGTGTTGCTCCATGACAATGCTCGGCCCCATACTGCTGGTGTCACTCAACCGTTAATTCGACAGTTTCATTGGGAGCAGTTCGATCATCCGCCGTACAGCCCGGACTTGGCGCTGTCCGACTATCACTTGTTCCTGCACATGAAGCGCGAGCTTGGTGGCAAGCGCTTTGGATCTGACGATGACACGAAAAATGCTGTGGAGTCGTGGTTATCGAAACTGGCGAGAAGTTTCTTTGGCGATGGTATACAAAAACTGGTCACCTGCTATGACAAGTGTTTGATCATTGGCGGAAACTATGTTGAAAAATAGTTTAAGACATGTGTTTTCACGCAAAAATAAAATTGGATTCGAAAAAATTGTTTTACTATTTTTTTTTTCAAAACGGTACTTAGTTTCTGAATACGCCTCGTAACACTTACATTAAATAATTCTCAGACTAATTACCTTAGAACATGATACAACTATTCATAATTGATCATAAATACACCAACAACGTGTTGAACATAATTAAGACAAAACAGAGTTTAATAGCACAACAAACTATAAGGAAAGCAGTGCTAGACCCACTTGGTTTAGAAATGAAAGCAGGGCTAGTTCAGTTGCTCACCTTACAATCAAATTTAAGTAATATTCATAAACATTTCAATGAACATAAAAAAATGATATAATGATGACAAGATATGTTTCAATAAAGTAGATATTTTTAAATGACAAAATTTACAAATGAAAATTATTATTCATAAAATACGAAGTGATATTTTAAAAAACAATAGATACTATGAACTTATTTTGATCATAAATAAATATAATAAATTCACAAATGCAATACAGTAATAAGTTTTCCACATTTAGAGACACAAAATTAATTATAAAAATTGTGATTCTGTAAAAAAAAAGGGGGGAGTTAAGTTCAATTTGGCTTTTATTTAGCTATTAACTAATTAGTTTGTTTCTGAATTTAAAAAAATACTTTTATTCAAATTTTGGTATTCTTTAACATTTTCTATACTCTTTGTTGTTCAATTTATAAAATGCATTAGCAAATAAACTAAACCTAAATAAATGTACATAAGTTTTTATCAAGTTTTAGAAGATGATCTAGCAATGATGAAAGGGTTGCATGGGATAAAAAAGTTGAAGGCCCCTGCTGTACAGTATTTAATACAACATTCTTAAAGCATAGAATATTGGCAGTATAAATATTGGCAGAACATGATACAGAGACATAGAAGACGGAAATTTTATAAATTTACATTTTAAATAATTTAGGTCATTTCACTTCTCTTTGTAATTCATTTCAAAAGCTCAGTATGAAAAACACAGTAAATTATAATAAATATTATAGAGAAAAAGTAATAAATGCATACAGAATAGCAAAACAGTAGTAATCAGTATGAAATAACTATCACTGTTATGCAATGAATAATAGATAAAAAAATGGCAACTTTTTATCATAAGGTGCCATGCAATAAAATACAGTGCGGAATAAATTTAAATATTACATAAGGAAAGAAACTGAGAAGCTAATACGAGCACGTATTAACTAACACGGCCTATCTGATTACAAACAAATTATATTTCTTTGCCCCCTGAAAAATTGCCTTTTTAATAATATTTTTAAACGTGATTATCTGTAGCAGTTGCTACATCAGGGGGTTGCCAATGAGGGGAGAATCCCTGCGGGCAAATTTCATAATTACAGGACAGAATGCAGTCAGCCTTTTATTTAGCTGTTAAGTACTAAGTGTTAGTTTATAAATATAGAAAATTATTTTTATTCAAGTTTGGGTACTTAGCAATATTTTCTGCACTTTCATGTTTAATGTAAAACACATTAAAATCTAAATATCAAAAAATGTATATGGATTTTTCCAATTTGGGAAAGGAGGGGAGATTAATGAGCGATAGTGAAAGAGATAAATGGGGGAAAAACAGGCTGAAAACGAATGGGCTAAATTTTACATAATTCAGCAAAAGAAAAAAGGAAAGAAAAAAATTAAAAAGAAATGAAAGAAACTGCTTATGTTTTCTTTTGTACTGGCTTAATATATATATGCTGACATGGCTTCATGCTGACAAATCTGTTCACAAGTTTAGTACATAATTCACTATACTTCATGTTCATTCCTTACGTCCTTAAATAAATTCATAGGAATTTATGTCCGTATTTTTAAGGATATAACTTTATGTTCATTCCTTATGTGGTTAAATAAATTCATAGGAATTACTGTCATATTTAAGGACATAAACTCCTTATGTCCTTAAAAACGAATATGTATACAATTATAAAGCGATTAAAAGATTTTTAATGATTTAAATATTTATAATGCAATAATAATACAGCATATTGGGTTTCTCTCCTTATGTAATTATATGAAATTTTTAAACATTTTTTAATCATAAAATAAAATAACTATCTGAGATTGATTCAAATGACCAATGCCTCAGTTTTAGGTATAGTAAATTTATGCAATTCTAATAATAAAACATTATACCAACTAAAGCACCAACAACTTTAGATCTTAAGATATTTTTCGTATCCTACTTCAATTTTATAATATATTATGACTGCTTTCAATAAATGTAAGTTGAGCAAGTTAAAAACACCACCTTTTGCATTTCTGAATCAAAGCATTTAAAGTAAAAAAATCTCAATTTAAGTTGCTAAGCTAAACAAAATAGTGTAAAAAACTAACAAATTTTTCACATAAATAAATGCATTAAACATATTATTTGGTACGTTTTTTATGCTGATTCCTGAGCTATACGAAAACTACAAAGAAAATAAAAATCCGAAATTAACAAACCTGAATGTGTGATCATCCTTCTGAGAGCTAAAATTATTCGTAGTAATCTCTTTTGAAGAATTTCGATTCCTCTTGGAATTTCCAGTGTGAAGAGTTGTGGAGAGATTGTCTTTCACACTATTATGATTCCATTTGCCTCTGCCTTGGGACGAACCAGTCGTCGCAAGGCATGCAACGCCGTTGCTCTTGAAAACTGCTTTATCACGTTCACAGCTCTCATCACTGTCATCAAAGTCATTAACACTGTTAGTCTGCTTTGCGAGCTGTGTTTCCATATACTGATAATCATGTTTATCCACAACAACTGAAGAATTGTTATGTTTCCGCGACTCCCTAGAGTCCAGTTCTGTGTAAGATGTGCTTTTGCTGTCTGCACTACTTGCAGGCGACAGCGGCGTCAAACTGTTCTGACTATTTGAACTATTCTGACTGTTGCTGATGCTGCTTCCACTACAAATGCTTTTTCTCCCATGGCCGTGATTTGCTGTGACGCAGTGACCATTAGAGATTACTTCCTCTGCTACTTTGGAAGCTGAAATTTATTTTTAATTTTTAGCTTATCTCAACAAATAATATACATGACATCAAATACAATAATTATGATGTACTTTAACTCAAAATTAAAATGCACGTATAAATTACAATAATTACAATAAACATAAATAGAGAAAACTCTAAATGATTTAAAATTATTACTCATCAAAACCATTTCCAGAACATCTCATATATAATTACCTAAAATACCTAAAAAAAAAACCTAAAATTCTATACTAAACAGCATGGTTAATGGATACTAAAAAAAGAAATTTACTTGAAATAAACTAAAGATAAAAATGAGTTGATTTTGAAAAATCTAGCCATTTATCAAAAACTGTTGCTTTCATAAAAGATTCTACATGAAAAAAGAATAGCTTAAAATATACTTTAAATTTCTATATAAGTCTAATTACTGTATACTATCGTATAAATATTACGACTACATGTATATAAAAATTTATGATTTAATTACGAACATAACAATTTTAAAAACTCTCAAATGAGCAATTTAAATACGATAAAGAAATTACAAGGCAAGACAAAAATTTATGCTGAATTAAAGTAAGTCAAAAAGAGGGAAATTTTTATACTGCTTAAAGAAAGCATGTAAACCATAAAAAAAAAAAAGCAAACATATACAGTCTTTTTTACTTTCCAGTAGAATGCATTCACAGACTACTGCTCAGTCAATTACTTCAACTTTAAAAAAAAAAAAAAAAAAAAAAAAAAAAAACTATAAAATGATACTTAGTCAAAATGATCCAGTTCAGCCACATTACCTTTTTCCTTCTCCTGTAAGCATACGCTTGCTATGCTTGGTGCTTCTGCAGGCAATGCTTGTTGTAATAATTGCATGTAAAATTCATTTTCTTTGGCAACTTCTTTCTGCTTTCTCTGAAATGTCATAAAAATTATTTATTTAAATCATTTATATTTGAAATAAAATTAAGAGTTTTCTAATATTTATCCCACTTTTTTCTTTCAAAAAATTATTTAATGGCACATAAAAGAAACAATGAATTAGTATATTTAATTTCAAAATAAATGATTTGCATAATTTTGATAGGCCTTTTTTTTTTTTTTTTTTTTAAGAAAAAATAAAAAAGATATTCATGCTATAAACATTGATACACAACCACACCTCTCAGAATGTATTCTTAAAAGTGATGTATGAAGGAACTCAGTGATGTATAGAAAAATACATCTCAGCACTTTTACAGAATGTATTTTTTTAAAAATGGTGTATGAAGGAACTCAGAGATATACAGAAAATTATATCCCAGCACTTTCCCACAATATATTTTCTAAATGTGATGTAAGAAGGAATTCAGCAATGTATAGAAAAATATATCTCAGCACTATATCATCATAAAAAGCATAGGCAGAATGACAGCACATCATGAGAATTCTGAAAGAAGCTTGACAGTAGGCATAACAGAGATGGGTTACCATTTCCAAGTTAAACACAAAATTTAGATTTTTAAGTATAACAATTTAAATGGGATGTAGAGTCATTAGGATATTTTTAAGCAGGAGATGTGAAGCAAAGCCCTCGCTGGGACTCGAACATGGGCCTCCCAAATATGCGTTGAGTGTGCTACCGTTACACCATGAAGGCATGCAGAAAGGAGGGAGAAAATACCTTATAGATACACACAATGTCACCGAAGATATTATGATATTTTCTGATTATCTGCAGCCTACTGAAAATATTCATGAGGCAATACATTATGTCGCCAAAACAGTCATGAGACTATGATGTTACCGAAAAGTATTTATGAGACAAACCAGATATCCATGTAGCACACATTTGTCTATTTGCACTTTTGGAATTCAACTATCATTTTTGTGAATAGTGTTTCTTTTTTCATTGAGTATATTTATTTTTCTTTCTGATGAATATTATAATAGGAGACTGTAGTTGGCCAGCTCATGAAACAAAAGAAATTTCAGAAATAGTGGTCTGCCCAACAATAGAGAATTTGAATTCTATGAAATTGTACTTCTAAAGCCAAATTTTATAAAATGCAATATTAAAAATTTATGTAAATGCAATGCCAAAAACTGCAAGCAAACTGTTACACGGGGGAAAAAAAAAATTACTATCTATGTTTCTTCCTTTTTAAAATATTGTAAAAGATACAATAAAATAAGTTATTAAAGAGTAAAAAATAGACAAAAGAAAAAAGTTAATTTTTGTCTGTTATAAACCTTATTTGTAAAGCTTGATTAAATAACTTCAAAACATATTTATTAATATATACATCACAGTAAACAACTTTCAATAAAGTTCACAAATGAAAAATTGGCAAAAGCAAAACTTTCAAGATCTACCTTATTCACTTTGTATACTATAATTTAGGCATCTGGACGCTTCCCACCCCCCCCCTAAATCAAGCAGGCTTTCTTGGTGAGTAATAAAATAAATGTCGTTGAGAAAATACTTACAATATGTTTTAAACATAAAAATTAAAGTGATTATAAAAACAAACATAACCAATGAATTTTATTTTCCTGTTTGATATCAATGGCTTCCCTGGCCCTGAACTTGTGATGTCAGTTTAGTTATGTTTGGCCTATAGTTGTCATCTTAAGACAAATACAAGCATGTGAATAGTGGGTAGTTAAGTTGCTCCTGCTTTTACTTAAAATAAATATCATGCCTGAAAATATTTATTTGCATTTTATAAGTTAAACCAAATGCAAACAAAATAGCAAAGAAAAGTTTTTTTAGTCATAGATTATGGATCACCATTGCAGATTTCTCCTTGAAATTATGTTATTATTTTTATTTTTAAAAATACATGCAACTTTGTAATTAAACAAAAATGTTAGAGTTACTATTTAATTTCAGTTTATTTTATTATTTATTCTTCAAGTGCTGGTTTCATATTTATGTTTTATAATTTGTTTTCATACATTTTCAGAACTCAAGTGGGTCACTTGAGATTATGAAACAGATCACTGAGTGACTGGCAGGTCACAGACTGGGGGAAGGGACTGCTTTAGAGAGAGAGAGAAAGACAGACAGACAGAGAGATACAAACACACCACTCTGCTCCTAATGATAGACTCTTTTTTTATAATTGCAATTATTTTTACAGCAAAGTTTTCATTCAATCCCTTCCAGGCCCACACGCAGGCGTGCCAGAGCGGTTTCCCACTCAGCGCCGACTGTCACATATTTGTGCCAGTGTCCTGGAACGTTTTAAAAACTATAATTTCTGCCACAAGATGGCACTGTATGTCCATATGGTTTCAGATACATGTACATTAGACCTTCTACTCGAAATGAGAGAAGCATGACTCACATACAGGTGTTTTTGATTATATAAACAAAAGGGGAAATAAATGTTTCCGAATGGCTTTAAATCCCACTTGAATGGCTTTAAATCCCACTTTATTCGCACCTGGTAGTTGTTTATTGTAAGTAGAGAAGTTTTATTTGCCCTAAAGTGTTGGGTATTTCGGTTTGCAGTTCAGTTTTTAGAAAATAATTAGATCTTGTTAGACGTTAATTCTACCGTTGCAATGTCGAAGCATCGAAAATGTTTAACAGAGCATGAAATAGCAGAAATGATGCAAAATATTCCAGATACTGATTCTGAAAGATTAACTGAAAGACATTTTCTAAAACTTTGTTCAGAAGAGACTGATAAGAAAATGAGACGACAATGCTTCGTTTGTTCACATTCCCGGAAAAATCCTCCAAAACGGCAAACGAGTTATTACGAGTGCAAGGAATGTAACGTAGAACTGTGTGTAGATCCCTGTTTTCAAATTTTTCATACGAAAAGAGAATTTTAAGTAATATATTTAGTTTTCAGATGTATAATGTTAAAAGTCATAAAATGGTGAGTAATGAAAATAAAATGTGTAAAATATGCATTTAAACAAGAAATAAGGTAATTAAAGTATATAGTATAAAATATCTATAAAGCATAAGCCGTTTAAATACTCTATAGAGCATTATTAAACAACGCGTTGATACTCCGGAAATTTCATAGATTTAGGCTTAATAGCAAAAAAGCCCCCGGCCTTGGACAGACGCTAGCGTAAAACACTGCCGGCCTCCGCGATAAGCGCGCGTTTGCGCTACCCGGTGCGAAGGGGTTAATCATTATTTAATGCAAGATGAAATTATGTGTAAAGTATATTAAACATGAAAAGAATAAAGAGAAATTATGTAAGGCCAAACATAAAATGACACAGAATGCAAATTTCTGCATTTTTCACAATCACAATTTCTGCTCAACAATATTTTTTCAGATTGCTTTCATATCAACAGTTCAAAAAATCAACATTATAATTAAAACAAATTAAAATGTGTTTTAAGAAAATTACCCTGCTGTGAGACAATAACTAAAGAATTTTATTTTTAATAGAGCTAAAAGAAGGGGGGAACTTCCAAATACTGTATGTAGAATTAAGGGTGCATACAGTTTTCAAAATCTAGTTTTATGCTCACATCTGCTTTGGAACTCTCGTATTTTTTAACTCCCCCCCCAATATGTTATTCCCCCCTATTTTAAGCCTTGCTAGTTGAAAAAAATCATCAAAGAATTACTTGAAATAATCCCCCCCCCCCAAAATGTGTTAATCAGTGTCTTACATAATAATACAAACACAAGTTTTATCGAGATGTTTTTGGTGGATAATGTTTATCAGAAATGGTAGGCGTATTCAAAGTATCTAAAAAAATCTTTTGTGTAAAGTGTTTGGGTATATATAATGATGAAAACTGCACAAGATTTTTGAAAATGCACGAAAGTCTGAACCCCATTCAAAATCAACACCGAGAAATCAGTTGGTGCAGTGAAATTTGGTTGCAGATTTCGAAAAATGGTTTGCAATAAAAGTCAATCTATGAATTGCTAGAACCGTTATTAGGGTATATGGATATACTGGCCAATCAGCAAGAACAAAGTTCTTTACCAATAGGAAAGCATGAAAAATATACCTGGAGTTTGCAAAATCCAAGGTAAGCGATGATTTATTATATGGGAGTAATATTATGTTTGCAGATTAGTCAAAATTTAAAATACTTAGTTTTGATGGATGAATTAATATGTGGCAAAAGATGATTGAAGAACAGAATCCAAAAATAGCTATTGATTACCATTTAGAATGGGGATGTGGGTATAATAGTTAAGGGATAATTTAGTCTCTAGAATAGGAAATTTAGTTTATATACAAAATAATATGGCACTCAGTAAATATATAAATATTGTTAATGAAAACATGAAAGCCATCTTCCAGGGTTCATAGCCACATTTTAGTTAAAAAAAATAAGCACCGATAATCACTTTTCAAGCACATTTTAAGAAAAAAAAAAGCACCTGTCTAATCACATTATACACAACTGCATAACTTTAAAAATTAGATTTGTAATTTAAAATATGAGAAATGCAGTATTTATTAAGAGAGAATAAGCATTACCTCAACCATGGAAAATAATTACTTTTTTTTAATTTTAAATAACAGTTCAATTTACAGAACTAGTTTACAATGAGAGAAAAAAAAACTATGCAGAACTAAACTATATTACAAGATTTAAAGATGAAATTTCAGTTCAAAATAGAGAAAATAAATAATAATAAGGCATATTTATTGTATTCGCTTGGAACCTAATAATAAATACAATTTATTTTTCCACTCATATTGATATTTAAATAATTTAAATCTAAATTCTGAACATTTCTAAGTTTTCATTGTATATCAGTTTTTTCCTTAACAGATATTGCAAGCAAAGTAATTTAAATAAAAAAGAGGAACATTTCTGAAATCAGAAGACAGAAATTTGCTTCATGCAGTCATACTTTAACGGTAAAAGCTTAACTAACCCGCATACTTGGAAATTGGCGAATATTTGCACAGTCGAGCATAACTTGAAAGAGAGGAGAGGAGGGGGGGTAGACGTTAGCCGCTTTTTAGATTTTTCCGCTAAATAAATGCTTTTGACATTTCCGCATCATATAAAAATAAACCAATGGAACTAAAAAATATTCTGCTTAGCAAGCACAGTAAAACTCTTAAGTGTTCATAAACAAATCTCGGACAGAACATCAAAATTAATTATCTCTGCCAAATATCGCAAACGTTATTGCGCAATACGTGTGCCGTAATTCTTCCCTACGTGATATTATGCAATCGGAATCAACAGCTGCCGGTATTGGGAGACTAAAGAACTAAATAACTTTCGTGTTTTTCATTCTAATTTTCAATAGACTGCATTAAATTTCCGGAATAGAATCATTCTTCGCTTGGGTTGGTAGACTGCAGAACTTTTAGTCCTATTTAATCCAAATTGGAAAGTGACAAAAAAAAAAAAAAAAAAAAAAAAAAAAAAAAAAAAAAAAGAAAAAAGAAAAGAAAGAAAGAAAGAAAGGTTCGTTGCTTGTTTTGCAGCGAACTGTAACAGTTTCAATATTCGAGATTTTGGGGAGAACCCAATCTTCGTACTGTATAATGTATTGGCCAAAAAAATGAAATTATTTTGACTATTTGATTACATTCCCTTTAGTTAAATCATTCCGAATATTATTTCTTAGAAAGCTAATCTGTGTTAAAACACAACCATTTTTGGAAGTTTACTATACTTCAGCAGTTACTGCAACTATGTTATTATAAACATTCATACGTATGCTCATAATATAAGCATAATGATCATAATAAGCACGAATATGAACTGACCAAGCGGAACGAGAATGCAAATTATTAAGAAATTGATAGAAATTCAAACGTGTGTAATATTTGATTGGGAGGGAAAAAACGCCGAATGTACCGGAATTTTCTACTGCTTTCGCAATTCTTTGACCAATCACCTGTCTGTACTCTTCGTGCACACCAAAGGTTATATTAATGCAGAGAAAGGGGGAAAAGTTATTTCCGGGAGTATGATTCACCATCTGACATTCCATATTAGGAAGAAAAGTTGTTTATTTAGTTTCAGCTTTGGTACGGGGGAAAATAGTGCGTTCATAAAAAAAAAAAAAAAAAAAAATTAAGGGCTTTAAAGAAAAAGTAAGCACCTATAAGGGCCTTTATATTTTATTTTCAAATATAAGGACTTATAAGCACTTATAAGGACCGCTACGAACCCTGATCTTCAAGAAAACTTGGAATGCAAAATATTATCAAACACACAGCCCAAAATATCCACTTGTGATTCTTATGCAAATGTCTTGAAGTTATCAAAACTTCCTATTCTTCAGACTTACATTCTAACAAACAAATATGGAGTAAGCTAAAGAATAAAGAAATATGATATTTCTTCCAAAACTCTATCAAAAGCAATTCTTACAGAGCAATGTAACAAAATATAGAACATTCTAACAGTAACAATAGTTGAATGCATGCCAAAAGGCATAAAATGTGTAATTTTAGGTAAATGATATCCAACAGAATATTACATGTTTTAATTAAATACAAAACTGTCTGTTCAAGGTGTCTGAATACTTATAACAGTTCATTTTCAGAATTTTTTGAATAAATCATATTTTTACTAAAACTGTTTTGAATAACTTTTTCTAAAGCAAGCAGGTTTCAAACAAGATGGTTAATAGTATATGTGAAAGAAAAAAATTAATTTGTTAATATTTAGTAACAGATACTTGCCCCCCCCAAAAAAAAATAAACTGTGTTTGAAAACAAATGTGAGCCACTGTCTGTTATTTAATTTCTGCAAGCATCTGATAGCAATTTATGGAATGCTCTTTATGACTAAAATTTACTTATAAGCTAAGACTGTTATGCGAGTAAATGACATCAATTTCCAATTTTCAACAATGCTTCTGACCCTACCATGTCAAGTAAACACACGGCTTTGTGTTAATAATAAAAATATTAGAAAACCAGACTATTTTTAATACGTATAAACTGCCAAATATAAACAGTGGAAGACCGACAGAAACATTAATAATAATAAATTTACTTACAAGCCTCATTCGATATCCAACGTAACTTTTGAAACCAAATCCAAGAGTAACGACTGGATAACCTATGCTGTTTAAAAGATAAAAGATACTTTTTAAAGACAGATAATTACCAATTGAATAAAAACACTCAAAAATATATAAAAATAATTGATATTCATAAAAATACGAAGTTATGATTAATTAATAACATACCAGTGAGCTGCAAATGGTCTACAAAGATCTAAGTGAAATGGCAAATTTTTAAGTTCTTTGAGCCGCACTGAAGCTTCAATATATACAAAAAGTAACCATAGAGAGATGGTAGGAAGACAGATTCCCCTCTCTGAAAAGTAATAAAATGTAATTAAATATACATACAGTTTTGTTTCAATGATCAACACATTGTTCTAAAAACAGAATTATTTAATTTATATACATTCTACATATAATACTTTAAAAAAATTTATATTACAAAATGTAAATGAAGACAGAATTAATCCACAGTTGGGGATACAGTTGGCAATTTTTCACAGATTAGTTACAAAATACACAAGAAAAAGCGTCAGTAATTATGACTGTCATCTGAGGATCTTCACATCACATCCCATAATATTTAAGGAAAAATAATTCATTCCACCCAACATATAACATAGTTTGGACTAAAAGATACGTTAAATTCAACAGTATTAAGGGGAAAAGACATGACAGTAGTTTTTTCAGCTGAAGATCAGTATTAAAAAAGTAAAGTTTAAAGCAAATAGTTGATACCCGAAACAAAAAGTACACAACAATTAAAATTAAACACAATTACACAATAAAATTATCTCTAATTATTTATTTTTATCTTCATTTTCTTTTTCCCAGGCAACTGCTTTATTATACGTATGTCTTCACTTTTGCGAAAACTATCTGCATATAATGTAAATTAGCTTCCTATTCGACTGATTCACTTTTAGATGTTTATATTTGATTGATCACTTTTATACACTTATATTTCGTTGATTACAATTCTACAGTAGATATACATTACACTTTAATAAAAATATATTTTTAACGATTATTTTTTAGCTCTTCTCAATTTTATTATCAGCATTGGTTTTAAAAGCTGCACCCTCAAAAACTAGATTTCTTTTTAATGCAATACTGGCTTAGGATCTTAGATACTTTTCTGTTAATGGAGTGCCAGTTGCTAAATTTAGTACCCTGCTGTTTAATGTACACAATGATAATTTTTTTCACAACACCAACGTTTTGTAATTATCTGATTTTTTTTAAGCAGAAATAGATCACTGTGCATATGGGGAGGAAAAAAATTTTGTTCTCACCATATACACAGTAACCTGTTTTCATTTAAAAAACATCACAGAATTGCACAAAGTCGGCATCATGCATTATATTTCATTACCCACAATAAACATATTTTCTTTGCCTTTATTTTTTGTATTTATTCTAAATTTAATAAAATAAATATTCTTTCAACAAAGTTTTGTGTGCCATTAAAGTTGCTGCCTTCTAAAATTTTTACTAACGCATATAACATGCTTGGCACTATGCGGCACCCTGTTTACAGACAAGTACCAGATCTTTTCTGTCCTAGGGTAGCATGGCAAACTTCTTTTTTCAGAAAGATACATGCACTAACTTGATAATTCCAGAGACAGAGAGGGTGGGAAAAAAATAAAGTATGCAGAAGAAAATTTTTCTTTAAATGATATAATGTTTCAAATGTATTAAGTATATCTTATAATGGTTCAAAATCAGAAAAAAATCTGAAAGCTTTCAGATTCTACATTATGCCCAACGGGGTGTTTTTTTTTTACATTTTGTGGGTTACCTTTATTTATTAAATATCATGTTCCTCGCACTTAAACCAAAAAATTCAGTTCAACAGCAACATAGCAAAATAATTTTTAAATGAGCGTATCTTTAGAATTCCCGATACACTGTCTCGCGCACTGGTGATACCACCCCCCCCCATATACGGCAATGCATATATGCTTGATGCTATGTGGCACCCTCTTTACAGACAAGGACCAGATCTTTTCTGTCATACGGTAACGTGCCAAACTTCTTTTTTCAGATAATTCCAGAGGAGAGGTTGGGAAAAAAAAATAAATCATGCAGAAGAAAATTTTTCTTTAAATGATATAATGTTTCAAATGTATTAAGTATAACTTATAATGGTTCAAAATCAGAAAAAAAATCTGAAAGCTTTTAGATTTTACATTATGCCCAAAGGGGTATTTTTTAAACATTTTGTGGGTAAACTTTATTTATTAAATATCACGTTCTTTGCACTTAAACCATAAAATTCAGTTCAATAGCAACATTGAAAAATAATTTTTAAATGAGCGTATCTTTGGAATTTCCGATACACAGTCTCGTGCACCTTTAAAAAATTTAAAACTTTAATAAAAACCCCCCCTCCCCCCAAAAAAAAAGTTGGCACATAAGCATTCTTAAAATTAAAACCCAAAAAAAAAAAAAAAAAAAAAAAAAAAAAAAAAAAAAAAAAAAAAAAAAAAAAAAAAAAAAAAAAAAAAAAAAAAAAAATAAAAAAAAAAAAAAAAAAAAAAAAAATAAAAAAAAAAAAAAAAAAAAAAAAACAAAAAAAAAAAAAAATAAAAAAAAAAAAAAAAAAAAAAAAAAAAAAAACAAAAAAAAAAAAAAAAAAAAAAAAAAAAAAAAAAAAAAAAAAAAAAAAAAAAAAAAAAAAAAAAAAAAAAAAAAAACAAAAAAAAAAAAAAAAAAAAAAAAAAAAAAAAAAAAAAAAAAAAAAAAAAAAAAAAAAAAAAAAAAAAAAAAAAAAACAAAAAAAAAAAAAAAAAAAAAAAAAAAAAAAAAAAAAAAAAAAAAAAAAAAAAAAAAAAAAAAAAAAAAAAAAAAAATTTTTATAAAAAATTTCGACCAGTCGTGCACCTTAAAAAATTTAAAACTTATATAAAATTATATTATAAAAAATTTTAAAGTTTTCATAAAAATTACCCCCCCCCCAAAAAAAGTTGGCACATAAGCATTCTTTCTCCATGGACAAAAAAATTTCTGGTACAGTCAAAAGTCTTTAATCCGGACTCGTCGGGACTTCGGCGATTCCGGATTATCGATTTTTCCGGATTATAGATCATCAATTTAAATCTGGTAAGATGGCATGCAGAAATTATAAAATTAAAAATATGAAACCGTTATTTATGAAATAAAGAGCAATTATGATCTTAAGGGTATCAAATTTAAAAAAAAAAAAAAAAAAAAAAAAAAAAAAAAAGAGCTTAATATTTATTTGTTTACTGTATTAAACATTTCTTTCAATGCGCGCAAGCGTAAAGCATACATTACGCATAGTCAAAATTAGAAAATTGCAACCAGAAAACTATTTGATGTGTATTCATGATATTTAAAATGACGAGGAATTTGATTTAAATCATATCAAAGACGCAGTACATCGGGATGAAATACTTACATTTAGTAAGGAATCATAAGCCGAATAAAATTAAAACATCTACCCTGAAGATGAGGATAGTGCTGACGGATCAACTTCCAGTTCATTGCGTGCCGCGACGTCCCCTCCCCCCCACAGAACAGCGTGAAATTGATAAACAGATTTCGGAATGGTTAGAGAAACAAAGGATATGCCTTTACCCATTTTGTGCAGCAATTCCACTTTTTGTTTGATGGACATCGAAACATGCTTTTGATTTGTAGATCTTTTGGCAGCTCCAGAATCGTAAATTCTTTTTGACATAATCGAAAGTTCAAGCTTACTTTTATAAAATTACTCTAACAATCTGCAAAAAATAATAAGTTGGATCCAAGTGGAAGATTAAGGAACAACGCAATCTGCAACATCAACTGAATTAGATAATTTTAGCTTAGCTTATACCGTCCGTTATACATTAAACGCGCATGCGTAAACATATTATGTGCATGCGTCGAGGTATTATTGCACGTGCGCAAACGCATTATGCTTTTACGCATGCGCAGAAAGTTTGTAGCTTTGAGGTCCGAATTACAGATCATTCCGGATTATGGACGCCCGTATTAAAGACGTTTGACTGTATATGCTAAATTATTGTATGCAAGAGCTGTCTGCCTAAAGGGAGAGATGATATCATGCAAGATTTTCGAAAGAAAACTGATTTTGAGTGGGTATTAAAAATAATGTGTAATTTTCATTAAAATTATATTTATATATATTTCTTATGTTAAAAATTTCTGGTATATGCTAAATTATTGTAAATTATTTTTAAAAGATAGTGAAGAAAAAGGAATTAAATAAAAAATTGCACAGAAATTTAAGGTTTGCACATGTCAAAAATGAAAAATATTAAATATATATGGGTACTTATGCATAAGTTTGCAAAAAGCAATGTATCTGCCTTTACCAAAATATGTAAATATTTATTACATTATTTATACATATATTAGGGAATGAAGGATTTATTCATTCATAAACCCTGATGAAAGTTACTGTGAAGAAATCTAGTTATTAAATATATCTAAATTTATAATGATTATAAATAATATCTAAATATTAACATTTAACTGTAAACATAAACTGAAATTCTGTCAGAAATATGTTTATAAAACTATTTAAGCAAGATCTGTTCGTACTGGAAAGCAATCTGTTAAAAAGTATTGTAAAGCAAATTCTATGAGATGCATACTCAACACTTGGCATGCGGGCAACATATTTTTATGTTTTTTGCAGTCTGTCACTGGAGCACGGGCCACATAAAAATATGTACGGTATGCGGGCAATGTATTTTTATGTTTTTTACAGTCTGTCAATGGAGCACGGGTCATGTAAAAACACATATGGCATGTGGGCAACGTAGTTTTACGTTTTTGCAGTCTGTCACTGGAGCACAGGTTACGTAAACATACGTATTTATTAGATTTGTGGTGGATACCTGCTAACCACCACAAATAATTGTATGGGTGTTGTTTGCATTGCTAAACAACGCTTTGCATTTTTTCTTTCAACAAGTTACGATTGGTCGAGTTACTTGGTGTTTTGTTGAGTTATTTCATCTTCAATCGAATTCTTAGCTCCAGAACGTACAAGTTGTGTTTTGTCAATTTGAAGCTTGGTTTTTTATTATTGATTAAATAAATTGATAAAATGAACCGCCGTGACAAAGATAGTGATGAAGAAATATGTGCTGACAGATTATCGGACTTTTCGTATGATAGTGATTATGTCAAGTCAAGATATCGAAAAAGTGACGATGATGACATTATTCCACGTTCTCGAGTGTTCCTCCGAAGAAGAATTTCTAGTAGTTCCGAAACAACTTCTGATGAAGAAGCAGATGAATGGTCATCGATTGACAATCCTCCAAACCTTGAAGAGTTTTTGAGTCATTCTGGGATAACTAACATGGTTAATGTTCCTGAATCCATAGCTCACGCAGTAAAGTTATTTATAGGCGATGACTTTTTTGCATATTTAGTCACGGAATCAAACAGGCATTATTATCAAAATATGAATGAGCTCAAAATATCTCCCAAAAGCATGAAATGGAGAGATATTACGATTCCGGAGATGAAGAAATTTTTGGGGCCTATTATTTTCACGGAACAAGTTCGTAAAGACGCCCAATACGATTATTGGTCAACTGATGTCTGCACAAGTACACCGTTTTTTTTTCTTCAAAAACTATGTCAAGGGATAGATTTCGCCAAATATGAAAGGCTTGGCATTTCAATAACAACGAAGACATCATGGACGATTCTGATCGATTATTCAAAGTCTTATTTTGTTGAAACTATACTAAATTATTTTGTTGAAAAATTCAATAACATTTACAAACTGAAACAATAAGTATCATTAGATGAGGGCATAATACTTTGGAGAGGACGATTGTTATTTAGAGTTTAGAATGCTGGAAAAATTATAAAATACGACATACTCATACAAATATTATCTGAAAGCGACACTGGTTATATTTGCAATTTTGAAGTTTATGCAGCTCAAGGATTATGTTTGATCGAAATGATATTCACAGTAGCTTCGGCATATACTGATATCTGGCACCATTTGTACATGGACAATTAGTACAACAGCATCGATAACACAGAAGCACTTTTAAAAAAAAAAAAAAAAAAAAAAAAAAGACGAATTTGCGGAACAATTAGGAAGAATAGAGTGCCTGAAAAAAACTAATTTGAAAAAAGGAGAAACGATCTTTCGAAGAAAAAATGATATATTGGTGCAAGTTTGGCAATCCAAGAAACAAGTCAGTTTCATCTCTTCAATCCATTCCACGGAAATGAAAGAAAGTAGTAATGTTGATCGTATTAAGAGACAAAAAATTATAAAGCCAAATTGCTTTGATTGACTACAAGTACACGAAAGGAGTAGATTGATAAAACGGTGAAGTGGACAAAGCGCTTAGCTATGTATATGATGAATTAATTGTGCATTTTTCAATGCATATGTAGTATACAATTCGACAAAGACGCAAAAAATAAAATACAAGAAATTTTTCACGGCATTGAGTTACTAATGAACTACCTAAAATTAGGACTGAAGAACCAGAGCAAATGATATCAAAACGTGACCCTTCTGGAAGATTGTCCATGGATATGGGCAAACATGTATTGGAGAAAATTGTTGGTGCCGGGAAGAAGAAAAATCCACAAAGACAATGTCGCGTGTGAACAGTGTTTAAAAATGTATTCTTTTTACATATTTAGGACTCTGAAATAATGTAGAAAAAGAAAATACATACGATTATATGTATATTTACGACATAATTACAAAAGGTTTACATCCGATCGTGTCAAAACCCATTGATCTTAACGGGAGTCACTGAATGTTTTGGTCTCTACGAAGTGCTTCAAAGTAGTGCGTGCGAAAACCGATTAGGGCCTCTCCTCTTACTTCCTACCTCTGGCTTTGTTAAATGCCCTTATTCTCCTCCTTTGTCAAATGCCCTTATTCTCTTCCTTTATCAAATGCCCTAATTCTCTTCTTTTGTCAAATGCTCAAGTCTTTTGCCCCTACCCTTGAAGAATTTCTGGGTTCATTCATAACAATCTGTGAAAGCATGGTCTTGATTGAAAATTATGTTTTGACCTTCTTGGAGGTTAATGTCAAAATCCAGGAAACTCTTCCCCCTCACAATGCAAACAGATATCATTCTAGTACAAAACATCTGTTTTTAAAGACTGAGTGAACAACCAATCAGGCATTCCCAAAATTTCATTCTAAGATTATTATTTGTTCCTTGTTTACAAACATGTGGCACTGCCAAAAGCCACGTGGTGGAATGCAAACCACATGGTCTTACGAGCCACAGTGTTTCAACTCATGTGTATACACATGGAACTGTCCATAATGTTAGGCTACACTGCATTCTTTTTCTATGGACGGTAACATTGCATGAGCAAACTGAAGAACCAATTCAGACAAAATTAAGGACTTTTTAAGGATCAAAATCGCTTGCAAGAAACCTACGAACATTTAGGGGACGTACGAAAATTGCATTGAAAATTAAACAAGAAAGTAACAAAGAAAAAAAATTATATCTCATACTTAAGACTAATAAGTTAACATAATAGCATACCTGTGTGCCACACATACTGCACCCAAACATATGTGCTCGCTGCAAAAAACAGCCAATGAACTGGGATAAAAAGAAAACAAATCATGTCGGAAGTGAATGCAATGAAAACAAAGAACACTGAGAAAGCCTAGAACAGAAAGAAAAATATTTATTTTAGTAAGAAAATAAAAAAGAAATATTACAAAACACTAAACTCTTAATTTACAGTTTATAAATTACATAATTAATATAATAAAAAATTCAAGAAATTTAAAATTTGATTAGAATTAATATAAATCTTCTTAATTAAAGTTTCAAAAACATACTTGCATATATGAATGAATATATATATATGTAAGAAAAATAAAGATTCTTATTAAATTAGCAACGTAAATTTCCCTTCTCTATTCTAAAAATAGTAACCCCTCTCAGCACCGTGTCATTTCACTATTCTATGTCATATGATTCTTACATAATTATGATGATGTAAAATGGAAGTAAAACTCAACCAGGCAATAGTAATTTTAGAGCAATATTAACTATCCAATCAAAATGCTTTGAGAACCAAAACTAACTCAGTTTGACTTAAGATGTAAGCCTTTTGGAACAGGCACATTTAATGTGTGAATTTGTGTATAGTCGCAACATGTCGCTCAAAATAAAACTGAAGATTTAAATCTGCCTTCGCCTCCGATTTTCTAGTCACTGTGGATCATCACTTCTACGCAATCAAAATTCCTGTTCCTGGTTTCTGTTCCTGTGCTTCCGAGTTTGAATTTATTACATATATATATTTCTTACTATCAATTTTGAAATTTTCGCTACTGCTGTATTATTCCACGTCTGGAAATGCTAGTGCTATTGATTTGCACAGGGCAAAGGATTTCTTTTGGAAAAGGGAAACTTTTTATGCTCAGATTTTCTTTATAAAATTGTATATCTCTGGAATATAATTTACATATATTCATTCATTTTTTTTTTAAACTTGGGAGAAATTTATAAAAATTTGGAATTTGCTATCAAGAGATGCGAATTTAGAATTATATTACCAAAAAAAGGGGAGAAAATTATACATCACAATGTCTTATCCAAAACAATATGCTATAAATGACAACACAACATTTCTGACTTCAGAAAATGGATAGAAAGATGAGGACTACTAGAAGGTTTATACATTTTTAAGAGCTGATTCCATCATATCAGAAATCAAACATTATTGTTACCTTATTTATTACATTTATCAAACATCATTAAAATATTTCTCCTTACATAAAAATCTAATTATCATTAATGTAGCTAACATTTCCAGCGACATAATAATTCAGAAATAAAATTTTCTAATTCTAAAGAAGCAAATTCAAAATTCTTAAAATCATTTTTGATATGGCATTTCAACATTATGGGGGAGACAATTTCTTCAGATTATAAATCTTGCACAAGCCATCCAGATGGTTAGTAACTCTGACTATTGTATTGAAAGGCCGGATTTGAATCTAGAGAAGGCATAGGTGTAAATTGTCTGTCTCTTCTTAGAAGACAATGGTGGCCCACCTTTTAAGATGCCTCCTAAATAAAGTGATCGCTGCGTCCGGCCTAGTATTGGCCATCGCCTATAATGGCTGGTGCTTGCCGCTGGGGGCGGGGGATTTTATAATACAAACTATTACACAAAAGTGTTTTACTCAAAGGAAGCCCTAAATAATTAACTAGGTACAATCATTTTGTTTTTTAGAGGAGAAAATTTGAAAATTGTGCAATGCCATTGCTAGAATTCAAATTCTTCACTTTTCCATTGCCATTTTGATGCAATTTTCAATCATACCATTAATACAAGTGTTATGGAAGAAACAACCTTACAACTATAGACTTTTTTCCCTAATAAGTCATCTACATATATTGCCAATGACCTTTATGAAAACATAATTCTGTTACAGCTACCACAAAAATTACATAAGCATCCAAAATTTAATAAAACCAATACTGGTTTTCATTAGTCCTTTGACAATCTTAAACTGGTATTTAATTCTATATGATGAAATACTGCTACATGACAGCACTGCCAACTCAGCACATATCCTTTTTGTAGAAATGAAACCCACCTTCATCCCATTTAGAGAAATGATCTAAAAAAAAATTTAACCACATGAAATTTATTTAAATTTTTTAACATTCAGTTTGAAAAACAATTCCCCTTCCATTAGTTGCATTTTACTGTCAGTTTTTTGCCATTGTACATTCAACTTTTTGGCAGCAGAGAAAAAATATGTTTTCAAATTACAAATGAAATTATGCAGTATAATGGTAAAAAAAGGAAAGAATTCATACCTTGCCAAAGTTTTCTATTTGATAATTAAAAACAAAAATATACTGACTGAAACATTTCAATCACATAGTTTGCAAACAGCAACAAAAATAAATAAATAAAATACATACCAGCCCTTGGTATTTAAAAGAGTCGTATACGCTACGAAGCAAAAGCCAAAAGGGCCACAGGTACTCGAAGCGAAACTCCAGAATGAAGTCAGCCAACAGCACCAAGGCCCACACAACTAAGAACTTCACATACAGAAATGTACTGAAAACAAACAAATTAAAATTTAGTACATATTTTTACAAGTATCAAACTATATATTTTTATAAAACATATAATAATGGGAACAAAACTGAGTACTATTCTGTTATTGGGACCGGATTCAGAAATGTAAGTGTGTATGCACATTGTAAGGTATATCCTAATTTTATTACAGTTATTTTAATTTTATCACACTTTGCTATCTCTTCTAGCTTCAGCTTACAATTCCTTATCAGAATGAATTTTTAGAATCATGTTAAATGCAAATGAATAGTAGAAAGTATTTAAGTCAAAGTTCCACCGACTTTGAGAGACAGAGTTAGGATTCCTGAAAGCGTACATTTTGCTTATGGCTAAGTCTCTCTATCAAAAGGCCATGTAATAGCTTTGCTGGCTAGTTTAATATTACGGGCCACCTAGGTTATAATTTGTGTTAGCTTCGGCTAAATCTCTTTAGTTAGTCATTAGAATATTCTTATTTCTTACATTTTAAGTTAAACCCAAGTGGAGGCTTTGTTGTATGCCCTGAGAAAGGGGCTATCTGTGAATCATTATTTTGAGCAATAAAAGGGTAACCATGCTTGAGTTTGCGTTTCTGTTACTGGACTTAAATGATTATTCGCTTAGCTGTTTACTAAGTTCCTCAACAGTTAATTAATAGATAAAAGGGAGGAACATAACAATATGTTCTGTATATATTTGCACATATGTGCATGTGTATACATAAGCATTTATCCACTCACACACGCATGCATATATATATATACAAATTACTTCAAAACATCTTTCAAAATATAACTTACCAGTATGGATGCACACTTTTAAAATAATTCTACTTTAATTAAACTTAGGAGATAATATAATCAATTAATCAATACTGTTTAGGAAATAAATTATTATTTATATATATATATTTTAGGAAATAAATTATTATATATATATATATATACACATTTCTGAATCCTGTCCAGATAACAGAAGAGTACCCAAAGCTGTTATTCCAACTGTAGCCTCTATATTTTATTATTTAACTATTTGTTGCTAATTTAATTTATTATTTTTAATGTGCATTTTATTCATTTATTCCCCCCCCCACACTTCCTGATACCTCCTATCAGGCTTTAACACTTCTAATTTTAAAAAAATTAGCATATATAAGCATGCACGATGCTCACAAAAATTCTTACTCCACATTTGTTTTTGCAACCGTTAATTGCAGACATACACTTTTAATTTGAAAAAAAAAAAAATGATGCTTTGGAATTTGAAAATTTAAACAATTTTACATAAATTAAAAAATGTAACTTTTTATATGTTTCTCCAGTCCCAATAAAATGTCATATTCATTATAAAAAAATATAAATACACTTCTAAATTTTTTTTTTCATTATAAAAAACTGAAAACTGACATTCTCTTGTGATTTATAAGTGCATGATTTTTTCTTGGTAAAATCCTACTATACGGTACGGCCTTGGCGCGATTTTTGAAAACTGTCGCCAACACCAAAATGACTCGTTTACTGCTCATATAATGCAGCCAAAAGTCGCCAAATCCCGCGTGTACCGTATACAGGGGCGTAGCTAGAGGGGGGCAAGGGGGACATCTGTTCCTGGGCGCAGAATCCAAGGGGCGCCAAACTGATGTTAGGACATTTTAGAATTAAATGTTTTCCATCCTTGGCAAGCAGTAGAGGGCGCGAAACCTTCGGTTGTCCCTGGGCGCTGAAAACCCTAGCTACGACTCTGACCGTATACTAGGATTTTAAACATATTTCTTAATTTATAATTTTGGTAGAATTGGTTTGCTGAGAATTTTCACACAAATACGTTTTCAAATGCTGATTTATTACTTTAAAATCATTATCTAAATGTCTACAAACAATTGCTGAAAAAAAGTTTTTAATTTATGCTATACTCACTTTAAAAAAATAAATATTTAACTGATTAGCAATCAATACTCTTGTATCGATATTTTTTTTATGGTTTACGTTTGTATAAATATAAAACGTAAATATTTTAAATTATGTTCTCCTAAATAATTTTATAAATTTCAGTTTATTTTCTTGGGGCGGAAAAATGCAATAAATTAGATATCTTAATGAACACTTTATCCCCTTACATAACTATCGCACATATAAAAGAGATAAAGTACAGGAAAAACAAAGGAACAGTTTTTAAAATTCTGTATTAGAATTTGAGAAGCAAACTTAATTCTTTTCAAAACTGTATCAACATACTCAATCAGTGCCGTGAGAATAACTTAAAAAAAAAAAAAAAAAAAAAGCAAAGCGCAATTCATAGTATTATATTAATTACAACTAATCCTTTTTTCTTGAATAATTCCTAATATAATTTTAAAATATAGATGTTTTAGCATCATCTAATAATCTTACCGAAATTCCAGAAATGATTGCATTAAGCTTATAGTTCTACTTAAAAAATAAAAAATAGAAGAAGAAAGAAGAAAAATGTCCATAATCAAACAATTACTTCAAACAACAGATGAAGATGCAGATCAGTGATTAAGTAAACAAAAACGGCAAAAATCAATTCAAATTATTATCTAAGAAAGGTGGTTAGTTAAATAATTAGAACTATTTAAAAGCTCCACAACGCTGAAAGAACATCACAATTTACAGAAACCAAAAGCCACCTCTTTTTTTGGTAAAAATAAACAAGCAGTGGAAAAAGAAATTAAACAGAAAAATTAGCTGAATTCTAAAATACAATTTCTAGAAGGTAATATCGACAAAATTCACCAAAACCCTCTAAAATACATAACAAACTTTTAACCATAACATACCTCTTAATAACACAAACACAAAATGAAATAAAAAAATGTTCTATTACAAAATCATTTAAATTAATCTTAAAAAATTAATTCAAATATCACTGAAAGTTTTTCAAAGTTATAAAATGGATAATATTATCAAAATCATTTTAATCACTCGTTTTGGAAAGAGAAAAAGACAATTAAGTATCCCAAATTATAATTCTTACCGAAGAAATATGCATTTATAAAGCTGTAACAGCCCGGAAGGTACATTTTTATTTTTTCTCTTAAATCTAGGAAGTGGCATTATCTGGCCCTTCAAACGCTTGACTTTCATTTTAAGAACACACTAAAAATTCACAGCCTTTACAATGAAATAAAACAACATTCACCACATGTAAAACTTATAACAAATATGTAAAACTGCTGTTGCCAATTATAACAAAAACTTTCCACTTAAAAAAATGTTGCCACCGAAAGTAGAAACTTAACATTTGAATAAAAAGAAAAGTAAATAAATTAAATTCGAGTTAATATAATTTCACAAAAATATTTAATATTTTTAATTACATGTCATGAATTAGTTACATTTCTATTTAAATCATTCAGATTAAAAAGTAAAAAAATAGTTATTACGAACCCCGTTTATTGCTTTCAAATCGCTTACTCGAGTGCCGAAAATGAAAGCATATTTCCGGAAGAGACAACAAATTGCTTTTTATTGTAGATGGCTGTAGGCTAACGAGCCCTAACTCTATGGAAATTCATAAATAAAGTTCGTATCAGATGAGAACATATTATAGTGTTAGAATCATAACTCATTCTTTGAGGTAATGTACTCCGAAGACACTATTTGGTCAGGAAAGTCACATGACGGCAGGGAAGCAGGAGATTGGCTACTGTTTGAAGAAGTACCAGAGATAGCAAGCTTTCAGGGGATTGTTTATTAAATTTGAAATATATTTTACATTTTGCGAAATGGCAACACACTAACGCGCAGGAGATAAAAATGTCTACAGGGCAACACATCATTTAAATTTCTCAGTTCATTAATCAAAATTTATTACATTCGCAAAAAATATGAAATAAATAAGCAACCCACTGTAAGTAAAATAACCGACATAAAGCCGACGCAATAACTGAAAATAATAACACTGTGTTATCCCATAAATAATATTTTTTCAAATAAGTTGAAAGTTGGAGAGGAATTAAATTGTCTGCATCAGCTTGCTATAAAAACAGGTCGTAATTTTACCTTGTTCGTATTTTATAAAACTATCTTGCGTACATATTATGTTATGCCTGCCCTGCCTGGGCATAATAATGCCATAGACTACCCAAAATTTTGTTCTGCTCATGGTACATGGCAAAAGCCAAAAACAGCTGTATGTGGTGCAAAATACTCACAATAAACTGTGAAACAATTTCATGAAAAATCTCTTTTCATTCACAATGCATGCATAAATTTATTGTGAATACTTATTTTGCACCATATACAAGTGTTTATGGCTTTTGCCATGTACAACGCAGAACAAAATTTTGGGTAGTCTATGTATTTGATCAGGACAATTCTTAATGACCATATTATTTAAGGACTGCCGATAAATGCAATCCGAAAATTCACCGAATTTTCTGTTATTAAACTATTTACCTTTGAGCTTCAAGTTCAACGAGAACTCTAATACAGAAACGTTAAGTATCAAAGAGATAACATAAAAGAAAAAGAAAATTAAAAAAACAAAATCTGAAATGTTTCAGATTTTAAATTACGTCCAAAGGGGCGTTTTTTAACATTTTGTGTGTTACCTTTCTTTATTAAATATCATGTTCCTCGCACTTAAACCATAAGATCCAGTGCAACAGCAATATCGCAAAATAGTTTTAAAACGAGCATATCTTTAGAATTTCCGATACAGAGACTCACGCGCTGGAGATAAAAATGTTTTTTTCTGCAGAACGTTGCCATTGCTCGCTTTGAAATCCTTGAGTTTGTTAATCAAAAATTCGTCAAAGTTTTAAAAAATAGGAAATCGATCATAAAACAAATTTCAAATTTGGTCTTCCACATGCTCATATTCGTTGGAGGATTACGTTATTCAAAATTCGATGACTCTATGTACCGTTATTTTATGACAATGTGAGAAATATACATACATTTACGCAGATTTTCATTATTTAATTTCTTCAAATATAATGCAGGACTCTAACATTTTATGGCAACAGTTTGAAA